AAAAAAAAAAAAAAAAAAAAAAAAAAAAAAAAACTAAATATTCATTTGGCATGGTAATGCTTTATGTGCGTGTCTCTTTTTCTATCTGTTTGTGTGTATGTGCGTGTGTGCGCATGCACGCACGTGTGTTGATTACCCATGGAACGTTAAGTGAGAAGACCATAAACAGCACATAAAATTTTGCATGGCTTCATTTCCGAGTACATTCTGATATCCAAAATAAGATAACATGTTCATTCCGAAAAGTTTAGAAAGGGCACACTCGGATCACAGAACCATGCTATTTGTATCCTTAAATTGTACCATCTAAAAAATAAAAATAAACATGTAATTAAGGAATGCTCTCCCTTTTTAATATCCTGTATCTTCTGGTCAGGGAGTGTAGCTAAGCTCTGAATCATTGCGTTATATGCTGGAAGCGATTACACAATCAGCTATGTATATTATATAGTTCCGTGACGTGTATAAAGTGTTTTTAAATCAGCACCAGGCTCAGGTAGGAGGCTGGTTCCCCCCCTCCCCCCTTCCCCAATATCTGCCTAACAGTAACTAAAAATGAGTTTCACCTTACAACATATATATATATATATATATATATAGCGTCGCAATTCATTTTTATGAGAATATCCTTACTATGATATGCTACTTATAGTAACGAAACCCAAATTGTTTCTTGTTACTTTTGTCAGTTTGTGGTATGAGCTTGATAAATGATATACAATGAGTAACACTGCGCACAGGCATTACAGTTGAACATGCTGACGAAAAGGAAGGGGCCTGTCTTATAATTTTATATCTGAAATCTTATCACTTATTTAATTTGGTTTTTACTGCTCACAATCAATATAGTAATAGCAGATCGGCTGAAGTCTTTTTTTTTCACGTTTTTCTCCCAAACGACAACTATCTGTTGAACTGACAGGTATTAGCAATACCATAGGCAGTGGCGGATTTAGGGGTGGGGTGGTGGTGTCAGGGGGGTCCTAAACCCCCCCCCCCCCCGCCCCTTCGATTTCTGAAAAAAATCAAACCAATGGTCCCTTCTTGAAATTAGAATTTTGACTAGCTGAATCATAAAAACCGGGCCCCTTCAAATAACCCTGGATCCGCCCCTGCATAAGGCAGTGGGAAGATAGTGGCCGTAGTTTCAATTTGATTATAATTGTTAAAAGTATATTTTAAAGGCATTTTTTTAGCCTCCGACAATTTCCGTAAAGCTTCGGCATGTGTGACAGGTATCATATATTGTCAATAACACTACATCAGATAGCAGGATTTGTCGGCCGAGTGGTAAGTTCCTTGGCTGCCAATCCCCTCTGTTTTCTTTTCTTTTTTTAAATTATTATTATTATTATAAATATATATTAATATAAAATGATACTAATCTCTTATCATGGTTCAACGATTGTTGTGACCGGTATCAGCTAGTTAGAATGTAATCCCTGATAACAAGTACCCAAATTAAATAAGCGAAAAAACACCTTTGGTTTCAGGTTCCTATGGAGGAAGAGGTGGAAGCTCTGCAAACATTTTTCTCTCCTCAAATGAAGCAGTCGCGTATGGCAGTACGGTTGCGCCATTAAAATATGGCAGCGGGGGTGGTGGCGTCGGTGGGGGAAATGGCGGTGGCGTCATTCACTTGTCTGCCAACACTACCATAACAATTGACGGCACGGTAGCAGCTGATGGGCAAGACGCCAAGGATCCAGTATCTGGAGGTGGGAGCGGAGGCAGCATTTTCATTGAAGCTCCAACCATTTCTGGAACTGGACGCATATCTGCAGTTGGTGGCAGCGGTGGGATGAGCGGTGGCGGCGGCGGAGGAGGAGGCCGTATAGCCCTTAAGTATGCAACCACTACCTCGCAGTACCATGGTTTCAAATTCGCCTATGGAGGTCTAGGAGGTGAGTGTAAATTTGCTATGATTCTAATTATATTGAATTTATTCAGCGAATTACATATTGCATGGTATTAGTAATCCATTAGTACATGATTTATTACCTGTTTTTAAGGCAACGCAACCCAGGTGTTAGCGACATCAACGACAACCGGTTCATCCTATTACTCATCCTCGACTACCTATACTTATGGCGATCTCACTCGACATTCTGGACAATATTGGCGTCCTCGGTCATATTCTGGTGAATACTTAGAGACCCGGTTTGCCCAACCAATGTATATGACTTCCATAGAAACCCGTGGTTACACATCTGGATCATTGTTGGGTTATGTAACTAGATATTACCTGATGTACCGAGATGCAAACACGGGAAGCTGGCAGGAATATAAGGTAAAAGTTTTTGCAAATCTTCCACTTTCAGATCCAATAAATAAAAACAAACCAACAAATTAGATAAATAAATAAATAAATAAATAAATAAATAAATAAATTTAAGGATAACTAACTTAGCCAGAAACGTGCTCTAATAGAATTCTAATACACGTCAATGCGTCAATGCTAAAAGTTATTTCACGTCAGTTTGAAAAGTTCTGCATCTACAAAAATTTGCGAGACAGTAGATAATATAACAGATATAATAATGAATATCATAAAATTATGTACCATTTGTTTCTCATTATAATATATATATATATATATATATATATATATATATATATATATATATATATATATATATATATACTCTTGCCCAAAATGGTTGGTACACGGAAATTTTGGGATGCATATCGCCCTGTTTCTTTCATTATTATTGATAGTACCAAATTAAAACTGTTTATATTGTTAAATATGTGAAGCTGGAGGATTGGTTAAGTCAGGAGTAACAACCAATGCAAATGTAAAAAAAAGCGTTAATTTATTTAGTTTTTTTTATCATGCCCCCAAAAAGAGTACTTTTTTTACATAACAGTACCAAGTGAAAAATTAAACATAAATTTATACTGTGATTGACAATTATTCTGAAATTAGGGGAAATTGTCAAGAAACATCTTCAGAGTTCATTATTAATCTTAATAGCGGGTATGCCCACCCCAAGCTTGGATAAAGGCCGGGCGTGGGGTGGTTCTGTACGTTTGGGGTGCCATTTGCAGCAATGGCATTTGCCCATTGGTTCCTCTGGATGAAAACCTTAACGCTGCCAGATACAGAGACATTCTCTAGCAGAACCTGGAGCCGTTCGCAAGAGGGATATACAGAGACAATTTTAGATTGCAACATGACAATGTAACTCAACACACAGCCCGCTTAATTGCAGACTTTATCCGACAAAACAACATTCAGCTGATGCCACAGCCAGCAAGAAGCCCAGATGCAAACCCAATTGAGCACATGTGGGACGAACTTGGTCGTGCTATTCAGAGGAGAAACCCTCCCCCTGCAAATCTAGATGAACTGCGAGATGCCCTTCAAGATGAATGGACCAGAATTCCTCTCCAAAGTGTTATGACTCTAGTGCACAGTATGCCACGCCGTTTGGCGGCCATTATCCAAGCTCGGGGTGGGCATACCGGCAATTGAGATTAATAATGAACTCTGAAGATGTTTCTTGGCAATTTCCCCTAATTTCATATTAATTGTCAATCACAGTATAAATTTATGTTTAATTTTTCACTTGGTGCTGTTATGCAAAAAAAGTACTCTTTTTGGGGGGCATGAAAAAAAAACCTAAATAAATTAACGCTTTCATCACATTTGCATTGGTTGTTTCTCCTTGACTTAACCAATCCTCCAGCTTCACATATTTAACAATATAAACAGTATTAATTTGGTAATATCAATAATAATGAAAGAAACAGGGCGATATGCATCCCAAAATTTCCGTGTACCAACCATTTTGGGCAAGAGTATATATATATATATATATATATATATATATATATATATATATATGGAATTTATTCTGTGTAGGAACAAAGCGGTGACACAAGAATACCATTTGAAGGGAATACGGACGGTAGCAATATAAAGATTCAACAGTTCCCCCATCCGGTCTTCGCCAGCGCTGTCAGGATATACCCAACTAATTACAGAAATTATATCTTTTTGGCAGTACGGTACAGTGGTTACCAGAAAGGTAATTTTTTTTCTCCCAAGGCAGTAGAATTTTCTTTAAAAAGGGCATAGGTATATTGCAGTTGTCTTTGAAACGCAGACAACCAAGGCAAGTTAATGACAGTGATTGTCGTCGACATATCCAACTTCACTTAGAATCTAAAGAAACAGTAAACTGAAGCAAATTACCCAGCGAATAAACATTAGTTAGATTATTCAGACGCTAAATCTGAAATTCTGGATGTAAGAAGCGGTACTGGTAGTAAGATTTAAAAAACATAGTACACAAGTATACAACGAGTACTTTTCTAAGTCCTTATTGCAGAACCACATAGCTATGTACATCTCTACTTTTTATTTAAAGTAATATCTTCAAATGTAGGCTATATCAAATTCACGTTTTACTGATAAGTATTTCAACTTTCAGCTGACGACTCCATCATAACGGGAACTACATGCTCCAATCAAGACAAAGGTTTGTAAACTGTTCGAAACTCAGCAAAAAACAATTTATTACAAGTACGAACGGATACATCTAAGTAAAATGTCACCAAATAAACTTTACTTTTTTACCTTAGTATAGAGCCATACTGCTAACAATATCACACGTATAGCTCACATAAGGTTCTGTTTTCAATGTCATGAAAATGTCTACAGTGTGATATTCACATGCTTTTAAAATAATATTTTCCGAACCTTATATTAATTTCTTTAGTAACCTCACAGTTTTTTTTTGTTTGCTAATTCTAGGATATTCATACGTTTATTCTTTTAGGTGAACCAGGAGGTGCTGGCACTGTGGCAGAGTATCAGCCTGGAAGCGGAATTGGTGAAATACGGATTGATAACGCTGGGAAATCCGTCTTTGTAAAAAGAACCCCGGATTGCAGCAGACCAACACCAGATGTATCAGGTAAATATGGGACAGTTCATTTTGTTGTTGACTTTTAACTTTCTGTTATTAATGTTATATATGTCATAGACTAAAAAAATCTGATGCATTTGGCCATAGCTGTTTCAAAACACATTAAAAGAATACCATTCCATTACAGGCGGCGCAACTTGGATAGTCGAAGATTCAACAGACCAAGCATTCGAAATCATTCGTCTCATGAACGGCGCACATGTCGTTCTGGCACAAAATTCAATGGATGCATCGCTCATCACAGCCGACGACACTTCTGCGTTTTACGTTACTGGAACAAGCACGCTACGACTGGGCAATGAATTGTCCGCGCGCACCTTCGTGTACGAGAGGGCGAGCATTGAACTAGTTGGCGATCCTACTCACATAATTAATGGAGATGTAAAATTCTGGGGTAGATTAATAGATGGTCACACCCATAATCTCCAAATTGGTAAAAATGGACTATCTAGTTCGCAGTCCCGAACAGTTGAACTGGTGTCAACAAGTGATCAAACCGTTGTACTTCAGAGCCTGGAGCTGAAACCTTACACGCGTTTTGTTCTGGGGGCATCTTCCGCGCCAGGGTCCTGTGGATACAGCTTAAATATCGCAAGCAGTTCTAACGACATGACCGTTCTCGAGACTAATTCTGATTTGAATGTTGCCTGCAATACTTCGGTCAACACAGAACAGATGCACATCCGTGGCCGTTTCCAAACCAACACATTTCACTTTCAGGGTAATGTTTTCCATACATATGCTCATAGCAATGTAACAGTACTTACCCAAGATGTAACGTCAATGAATGCCCAAGAAGTGAACATTGGCGGTTACTTTCAAGTAGATATCCTTAATACAGAGAACTGGTCCAAATTTACAGTTGGACCCTCTGGTAATGTCAGATTCACGCCAGCAACACAAGATGAACATCTTGGTCGAGAAATCAGTATTCTGGGCACGCTGAGACTCGGGTCGGAACTAAACATTTTGTTACCATGTGATAGTTTCGCGATTGAAGCTGGTGGGTCGCTCTCGTGGAATGGAAATGGTGTAACAACCCTTGATTGCATTAAGGTGACCATAAATGGTGTCTTCCGTCCAAGTGGTCCTTTAGAATTCGGCTCAAGAACAAGTGCCCTGCAGGTGGGCCCGGTTGGACAGTTTTCCGTCACAGCTAAAGGACCAATCGCCAGTGATAGCGTGTCAATTGCAGGTACCATGGTAGTCAGAAATAAAGTTATATTTACGAGTAAGAACCATGCCGACAGGGTCCACACGTTTATCATTCATAGTTCAGAAGCACATGCCGATAACGGTAAGCTGTATCTCGACTCGCAAAATAGCCAAATGTTTCCGGCAACAAATGTTTCAGGAAATGTCTCGACAGATACATTTGACTACAATATCATAAGAGCAGTAGACGTGGTAATAGATGGTCTGCTGGACGGAAAAGACCTTTCCGTTGGAGAAGAATGGGACTCGTTGACAGTTGGCAGGACTGGCAATTTTACATTTACCGCAGTAGGAACTTTTTACTGTCCAATGAATATAATTGCAGGAAGCATGACAGTTTTAAATCCAATCACAATGAGGGGTGGCCGTAGCAAAGTGGCAGTCGTATTGCTTCGAGTAAACTCAACTGGGCGCCTAATTTTAGATGAGCCAGGGCAAAATAACCACTCCTGGTCGAATATATCCAACATAGCAGCCCACCAGGTCATTGTAGAAGGTACATTCAAGGCAGGTGCCCTTCAGGTAGATAACTCGGAACACGTTAGACCGGGTTGGGATGAACTGAACATTGCGTCTGCGGGAGGCATCTTCAGTTTTGAACCTGTAAGTGACTTTGTGGCCAACACCATTACTGTTCACGGAAAAATGGTTACATTCACGCCCGTCAGGATAAGGAGTAAACTTCCTGAAAAGGAACATGAAGTACTGTTTTACATTGCCGAAACTGGCGTAGTCAGACTTGATACCAACGGAGGTGCTGAAGATGCACCGCGTAACGTGTCGTCTATTCTGCGAGCATACAGCCTTACAGTTAAAGGGACATTCCACGGAGCGTATCTTAGCATCGCTGATGGAATTTCCGATCTAAACGTCTTGACCCCAGGGCTATTCACTTTTTACCCAAACGGCACTTATAAAATCGATCGATTTATCATCAATGGGACCGTGAAATCCTTCAAACCCTTGACGCTCACATTCAAGCCATTACCTCTGAATGCCACATCGGACATGGGAGGTCTTCTTAATATCCACCAGGGTGGAGTGCTGGATGCAGAATCGAGAGGGACGCCCATTGCACAGAGTAAGGGAGCTGCTAGTTCAGTTTTATTGCTCCACAGGATTACAGTGGCAGGAACGTTGCGAGCAGGTTCTCTAGATATCACAACAACGTATGTGACTGTGAGCAGCGGCGGTGTCATAGACGTCAGTGGCGGCGGTTCATTGCCAAACGAAGGTCCAGGTAGGCGTCATATTTCTTTTTGACTCAAAGCTCTAAACAGTTCATTATTTATGATTGTAATACAATCGATTGGAAAAATTAATTTTTTTCTTTTCGTTTAGGTCTTTAGTTGTCGCCTTTGTGATACTTGGTTTCAAGAGGAAAACATACCACTTACATCTAATCTATGAGGAAGTTTTTCGCCATGTCCATCTGTTACTTTTTTGTGGCACCGCTCTCATTTATTTCTATTAGGTGCTGGGATGCTTTCGGTCTCGGGGTCCTCAGGCGGGAGCCACGGAGGCCGAGGAGGAAGAGGGGCTGGAGCCTTGGCCCAGAACTTACCCTATGCTAGCATATATGANCTCTGAACTGTTCATTATTTATGATTGTAATTGTACAATCAATTGGAAAATTTCGTTTTTTCATTTCGTTTAGGTCTTAAGTTGTCGCCTTTGTGATACTTGGTCTCAAGAGGAAAACATACCACTTACATCTAATCTATGAGGAAGTTTTTCGCCATGTCCATCTGTTATTTTTTTGTGGCACCGCTCTCATTTATTTCTATTAGGTGCTGGGATGCCTTTGGTCTCGGGGTCCTCAGGCGGGAGCCACGGAGGCCGTGGAGGAAGAGGGGCTGGAGCCTTGGCCCAGAACCTACCCTATGCTAGCATATATGAGTTGGGTATTTGGGGTAGCGGCGGAGGCGGTTCCATTGGCGGCGGAAGAGGTGGAGGCCGTATGAAGATGTCCATTACTGGCAGTTTGGTCCTTGATGGTGCACTTTCTATGAATGGGGACAGTGCTACGGTAATATTTTTGTTAAACAATATTTTTATAACCACCTTAATAAGATTTTACTTGTTAATTCACAGTGATACAGTAAAACTTGTTAAATTCGCGCTAAAACGCCGCCCATAAAAAGGGAATTTATTTTTTTTTTTATGATATATATATATAAAATTTGCGTATACTGTAGTGTAATCCACATTATTAAACCTAAATACTTTTTTTGTAGGCCAATGAAGCTGGGGGTGGTAGCGCAGGATCTTTATGGCTCAACGCATCTCATTTCACCGGCGGAGGTCGTATAAATTGTAATGGAGGTGCCGGGCACGTCAAAGGTGGTGGCGGCGCGGGAGGAGTTGTGGTGGTACACATGAGGTCTGGTGATTTTAAAACAGGGAATGTCTATTCAAAAGGTAGGTCTTTATAGTTTGGAAAAGCAAATTTATTCAGTGAAATTTATCTAAAACCTGCATATTCTTTCCACTGAATGGTCGGAAAAAGAGAGCGGTAAAATCTGGGAAACGTAAAGATGTTGAAAGAGGTTACTCATGTCGGTTGTACTTCAAAATGAATCATGTATAGGACTACATACAGATTAAGGTATTTTGATGAAAAAGGCGGCTTCCTTCCTTCCAGTATATTCAAAATGGACTTGGAAAAATGAAGTTAATGGTCACTTTTATATATTGTTAGACGCTGGGGATTCATATGACTTCGTTTTACTGTAGCCTACATGTAGGCCCTATAGGCTACTAAGTCTCGAAACTATCATCTTGTATTATTTTTTTGTATTATTTCGTTCAGGTGGAACAGGTTATGAGGCAGGGGGTCCAGGAATCACGTATTTTTACTGCATAACACCGCACAACAAAATTTTACGAGTCGACAACAGGTGTCAGCTACCAAAGGTAGGACTAAACCAGACGCTGTGGTTTACTAGCGAATTGCCATAAATCGATAAACAAATAGTTTAAATAGGTCAAATAGATTTATTAATAAATTTTTAAAGTTTAAGGTGAAAAGTTAAAGGTGAAAATTTCTACACAAACAAAATCATAAAATAAAAATTAAGTTAAATGTAGGGTATACCTGGAGAAAAAAAGAAAAAAGGTGCATACCCAGTAGGCCTACATGTACTTAAAAAAACTAAAACGTTGGTTGAAGTTTTGAACATGAGTTGTTTTTGTTGAGAGGATTTCAGTAAGAGCCTAATGCGTGTAAAAAAATCCCGTGGGGGGGGGCAGGGTTATGTGGTCATGACGTCATCAATACGCGTGGTCCTCTTCCAGCGTGACGTACTCCACATTGAAGTCCAAACCCCGGACGTTTCAAAGAATCGATTTTATTGAAATCAGGTGTTACAACCCGCTGTGGACTATATAACTGTTTCATTCAACCGTTTACATTACGTACGTGGTGATTCACATTTGGGAAATACGCCGAGACAAACTCATATAGCGTGCGAAAAATTGACAGTGGTATTTAATGGTTAAAAGTCCACTTTTCTTCAGAAAAAGACCCCACTGCATTTCAAACACTGTAGGCTACGGGCCTAAGGAGTTACTTTGCTTTAGTGTAAACTACATGTATATTTCAGGTTACCATGCCAAATGGGGTGTCAGAAAATGGTTACAGGGCAGCTGCAGAAGACTATGCAAAGTACATGGAAACAGGTATGAGCGTTGTTCAACAAAAATGTGCTAGCCACTGGTCTACTGTCTGCAGTAATAGTGGCATATTTTTTTGGCCTTTGAATAATGTATACTCAGGGTGCTTAAGTGATAATTAATTAAAGTATTTCAAATACTTAAGTATAACATTCCTTTACATTAGAGTATGGTTCTAGAACCATAGATTACTCAGTATAGTGAGCTTTAAATGCTGTATAAATTGGGGGTCTCATTTAGGGGTGGAATGACTAGATGCTGCCTACATGTATACCTGCAGTAATACTTAATCTTATGTACTTTCAGGTGGCATTGCATATCTTATACCTCCTAGAGATGACTTTGAATTTGACTTCACTTTAGTGGAGGTGTATGGTGGTTCTCATCTCACATTCACTGGCAACAAAACCACAGTAACCACTGTAGAAACCTCAGGAGATGACACTGGCTATATACACATAGCACCTTATCATGTGTTGAATATTACAGAGGTGTGTTTGTTCATATTTATTTTATTTTGTATGAAATTATGCATATTTGTGTTATATTTATTTCTATGAGAAAAGATTTGTTCTCAAGTTAAATTCCTATTTTCTGAAGTACAGCTGCCTTTTGCAGTACATGTGTTTAATTTCAGAAAAAAAAGAACTTATATAATGCTTCTTTTTTTTTTTTTAAATAGATTTCACCCTATAAGCGTGCTAACATAACCTGGGCTCCATATGTATATGAGTCAGCCACTCTTAGCCTGCCTTCTGCTACAGTGGAATGGAGGGGTCCTTATGATGAAGGTACATGTCCAACAAATGTGCTGCTTACAAAGTCCATTAACATATGGGGAAATCTGATAGGACACAGGACTCACATGTTGGTTGGAACAGGTAAAGGACAAGGGTGAATTAAAGGATAAGAATTGTCTGGAGACCGATTTAACTGTTTTGAATGCTAACTTGATCCTTTTTTGTCAAATGAAGAGAACCATATACTTTTTAAAAGCAGCTAGGCAGGTTGGATGATCTATCATTCTAACTCCATGCCATTCATTTTTCAGTCAAATGCCAACTATTAAATTTCACCTTTTGTGTGTCTGTGTGAAATAGCTATAGGTTTTACCGTTGAAGCTGTTACTGACTTGATTACATGCTGACAACTTATTGCCCGTTTCTCCAAGAGCCACATCTTTTAAGACATTTTAAAGATTATATTTTGTTTTAGTTTTGAAAGTTGATGTAGGTATCATGTTGGTGTGAAAAACTTTTTTTGTGCAGGTGGAACACTGCGTTTCCAGCTAGCCAGCCCTAGAACAATTCAGTTTGCTGAGGTATCAGTGCAAGATGGAGGTTTGCTGGAGTTTGTCAGTAGTTATGGAAACAGTCAAGATATCTGGGATTTGAAAGTATGTTTCACATCTTGCATAAGTATAAAATGTGGATTGAAATTTACTGAAATTACTGAACCTCAATGGGACATTAAGATTTTGGTCCATGTTTTTGCAGGTATTTTACATGAAACAAATTGCTGTGATTGCTCTTGAAATGATACAAGCAATATTTTATCATAAGATGTATACGTAATTTAAGTTTGAGATTTTGTATATTATGATACATAATAAAGTGGTAAAGCTTTATTTTCCTAGGTTGTCCCTTTGCCAGGAGAAGGCAAGCGAAGTGGTACCCTGACAGTGGAGGGAGGGGGCACAGTAAAGGGGTCTGTGTTGAGGATTTCGGCAGTCTCTGTGGTAGTGGATGCATATGGTCATCTACACACTGATGGTGCTGGCCTGATAGATGGACAAGGAGCTGGGACTGGTAGGGCAGGAGGAGGGTATGGAGGCCATAGTGGACAGGGAAACCCAGTTTCATGTAAGTGTGATGGCAGTGATTTTGTGAACATATGGGTGAAAATTTACAGATTGACTTTAAAAAATATTTATTAAAAGCATATGTGTTCAAATCATAAATGCAGTTTTGGGAGTTGTGAAAATTTTGGACTAATAGATTGATATTTTGCATATTTTGGTAGGATTTTAAATTTAAAATATGATATACTTGGTTGTCATCTTCTAGCTATGGCAGGTGCTGTTTATGGATCCATTTACAAGCCAGAGGATTTTGGCAGTGGAGGAGGTGGGGCTACCAATTCATCAGGAAAAGGTAATTTTAGGGAACTTCTGGTGTTTTGAAATTGAATGTTTTGTGTATGTATTATTTCTTACTTTAAAAGGTTGTGGAGTGTTCAAGATATTTGTCTGAAACCTGTAATGTAAAAATATCTTATTTCACCTTCAGCTTGTGATTATTTTTTGCCAATTGTGTTTTTTTTCAATTCAAAACAAGTGTTTGCTTATAGTTTGGGATGTATTGGGTGCAATTCTTTGTTATGGTTTAACAAATTCAGACATTTAACATGAACATATAACAAAGACTATAGAATGTGTAAACCCTGTTGCACTTACTAGTGTATTGTCAATACAATGCTCTTGTCCAATAGATTGACCTCTATATATGATATTCAGGTGGTGGTATACTTTACCTGTCTGTGAGTGAACTTCTGCTAGTAGAAGGTACAGTCAGTAGCAGTGGTCAGCCTGGAGGAAACACTGTAGGTGGAGGAAGTGGAGGTAGCATTACGATTTCAACACAAGAACTCAAAGGATATGGAACCATAAGGGTACAGTATAAGTCTTATTCTCTTTTATTGCAATTTTTTTCTGTTTTAGAAAAATTGAGAAAGTTTAGGATACTTTTTATTGTGGCATGTGCACTTTGAGACAAGGTCAACATTTACGTAATCATGAGAATTCAATAATCATGCAGATCATTTTGGAAGTTTGATTTTAAAGTAGAAAATGCAAACAAATATGAATTAACATTTTATAAAAACATCATAATTTGTAAATAAGTAAGGTCATATAGGCTGGTTCAGTATAAAATGATGATGTTTAATGATGGAGCACCAGTAGGTATTTTGATTTTGTTAGAACCATGCTTGCAGTGAGGCAAGCAATTCAGTTGGGACAAGACGTGTTTCTTAAATAGAAAAAGATGATAAATATGCGAACAACATTAATTTTTTTCTTCATATAGATATGTATTGTGTAAATTTGTTCTTTATATCAGGCCAATGGCGGCAGTGGAGGAAGCAGTGCCGGTGGAGGTTCAGGCGGGAGAGTGGCTGTTTACTGGAACAAGCGGGACTGGTGGTTAGGCAGGACACAGTCTTATGGAGGATCAGGACACAGTATAGGTGGAGCTGGTACAGTGTACATGCAGGTACATATATTTTTGATGAAATATGTTTTATGATCACGAAGGCTATTATGTGTCTATATCTTATGTTTTTAATTTGATTAACTTATAAAATTTGTTGTTAGATAAAATGATTAAAATTCCATGCTTTCGAAATTCATTGAAAGCAATTGTGGAACATCTGTTTTATATATTAGATTTAAGGATAGTTTTTTGTAGTTGAAACTGTGAACACTAGCTAGTTTATATTTTTTTGTGCTCTTTTTACACCAAAGTCATTTGCAACATCTTTTCAGAATAGAATGCTGTAAAAGACAAAGCTGTCAAATGCAACTTTTAGTGTGGACTTGTATCAAGTTACAGATTTCAATTTATTGAATTTCAGGATCGTACAGAGCATGTGCTGAATAGATCCTTAACAATTGCCAATAACAATAGGCAGCCTCCAGAGCCATATATCTCAGACTATGCAACATTTGAGATGGACTCTAGCAGAACTTGGTTATATGACAACCAGACAGAGGTGATAGAGGAGCTGCATGTCATTGAAGGAGCCCATCTAGCTGTGCATCCTAATGTTACCAAGTATGATAATCTGGCAACTTTCAACCACTCAGTGTTAACAATGAAACGCAAATGATTTTTTTTGATAAAAAAATAGAAATTTTCATCGCCACATTGACAGTTTTTGCAAAATGCAGTGCCATATACATTTAGAATTTATAGTAGGATTTTTTTATTTAAAAAAATGAAAACAGTGTTGATTGATTGATTGATCCTTTTATGGCCTTTTCAGTCACATCAAATCATTCAAGTTCATTGGAGACCGCACTGGCTGGATCCATGTAGGTCCTGGCCAGAACTTGGTCAGTCAGTTTGCTGACCAGTCCGAGTTTGAGATCAATGTGTATGTCCATGAAGGAGGCACCTTCATTCTGCCACCCTCCTTTGGATGCTATAATGTCACCATTATTGTAAGGTAAGGATTCTGCACATTTGTGCATTAAAACTTAAACAGTTCTAGGTTTAAACAGTTACTATATTTTAAAATAAAATGTAATGTGGTTTTTAAGTTATAATGATATAACATTAAATATTTTTACATCAGCATTCAGTATTGCAACAATAATTGTCATGATATAATAAATTTCTTATACAAAAGTTATATTATATTGAAATGTTACACTTAAAAGCATTATTAATTGTTTTTCAGGTTTTAATTTTTATAAAAGTTGAGATATGCAAATTGTCAGACTAAGAATTGGGATGCATATTGTTCCATTCATAAATAATTTATTGTAATATCAGGGGCGTTCTTGGTGTGGAAGACATATTTGTTGGTGATGGCTGTAAGCTGTTGTTCAGTAACACCGGTACCACAAGAACAGCGTACCATGTGTATCAGCCTGGGGTGTATGTATTCAACACCCTGACTGTAGGACATGGCGGGGAGGTCGCCATGATGGACGGAATACCAGAGATGAATAGAAATGTTACAATTAATGTGAGTGAACGGTATAAATCCCTTGTCTTTTAATTAATTTTAAAGTGTTAATAATGTTGGCTTGATTATCTTGGTTATTTTATGCCATTTTTGATATTGGATGTCTCTTAATTGACTCTTGCTTGTTTCCCCTGTGTAATATGTTTTTGCACTTTTTCTGTAAATATTCCTTTCATAACACTTGGTTTAGGGAATCTAGTTTGTAATGTTATATTGTCCTGTAATTGTTTTTTATTCATATTTTTGTAAACTGATATTTTTTTATGTATGATTTTAAAATGTGTGAAATTTTTTTTACATTTCTAATGCTTCATAACTGTTTTTTTTTATACAGCCCTTAATTCATTTTAACACAGCCATACTGGTACTTTCTTTTCTATTCCTTAGGCAAGTGAAATCTACATCAAAGCAGGTGGTCATGTTCATGGAGTCCATGTAAATATTACTGCTAAGAACTTGACAGTGGATGCCGAGGGACGGGTCATAGGAGATCTCCACAATATTCTGTGTCCAGAAGGATATGGCATTAATACTGCAAGTGGGGGAGCTTCAGGCAAGTCAATTCCTATATTATATGGATAAGGAATAGTTTGGAAATACTTTTGCATGGATTCAAACTGTGACTGACATTGTATCTTTTATTAAGTCTGTACAGGCCTGTAGCCAGCAATTTCAAAGGGGGGGTTCTTTTTCTGAAAAAGTGGACCTTTTACAGTATAATCCCCATTTACCTAGGTCAAATTTTACCTAGAGTGGACTTTTTAACAGCAAAAATGGGGGGGGGGGTTCTTTTGAACCCCCCGAACACCACTGGCTACGGGCCTGCTGTAATTTGTTAGCTCTACCAACGGTAATTACAAAAGTTCATTCCACAATAAACCTTGGCTGAATACTTATTTATTCACTTATGCATTTAAGCAACTGTTGTGTTGTTATTAATCTATAAAAATCTTATTTTCATATTGTCAAAATGTAAACGTGTACCATGAGGAGATCACATAAAATAATATGGTTCGTAACATAGGTGCTGGACATGGCGGCCGAGGAGGGCGTGGCACAGGACAGAGAAAGACAGGAGCAGCCTACGGAGACCTCTTTGAGCCGTACACCAGAGGCTGTGAGGGTGGCACCAGAGGGAGCTATGTGCCAGGACAGGGAGGAGGCACCGTGGTTCTCAGGGTCATGGAGACACTGAAGATAGATGGAGAGATCAGTGCTAGTGGTGGTTCTGGAGCTGGATATAGTGGTGGTGGAAGTGGTGGATCCATTAACATTGAAACCAATTTGATGCAGGTGGGTTTTCTATTCTGAGGAATTTTTATTTTTGGGTATGCTAGATATAAGTGTGACTCACGTACTGTTGTTGTTGGGTATGTATTTCTTGATCTGCTTGCAGTACAGAATGATAGAATTCTGAGCAAATTTATAATAAGATAAAAAGATTAGTCTTTTGTTAATCAATAAGTAAACCTTCATACCATTACAATTTATAGTCCAACATTTATTAAATATTTAAATGAAATAAATGCTTATATGGTAATATCTTATCTTAAGAATGTAAAAATCAATACAACCTCTGATTTCAGGGTTTTGGCAAGGTGGCAGTAAATGGTGGAGACAGCCCATCAGGAGGGGGAGGAGGTGCAGGAGGGAGGATAGCGGTTTATTTTGCTCAGAACAGAACTTTCTCGGGTAATTTCCAGGCACATGGTGGACAGGGTGGTGCAAATGGTGGCAGTGATGGTGGGCCAGGGACCATGTTCTTCTATCACACAGGTATGTGGCATTGGCAGTTTGAACCAATCTTTTTGTATTTATCTTTTTTTGACTGTCCTGGAAATATTCTTCCTCATCAGCCTTGTTGAAATTATTAGTTCATTAATTTTTCAAGTGAAAACTTAAGTAAGCATTCCCTCATGTGCATCAATATTAATTATCAGAGCTATGTACACCTGACTTCTGATTAAGATATGTGGCATTATGATATTATTTTACTGCATCTTTTGAAATCTGTTGTATTTTCTCAGTCTGGCTGAGAAATCTTAATATACATCAGCTTCTTTTGCACACGTTTTCAGTATACAACCACACCACCTTAATGATCAACAATGCTGGCCGGGGTCCTGCAGTAGATGAAGTGGAGGTGATTGCATCCTATGATGACATCTCAGAGGATGAGGGCAGAGCTTGGTTCCTACCACATCATGGGAGACATGAGTTTGCTGGTACCATCAAGATTCTGAACAGTCTTTAACATCAAATTTTTCTCACTGTCAGACATTTCCGAATTTAACTGTGAATATAAAGATGTTTCACTTAAAGTAACTGTGATCATTTGGTATGGATGGCTTATTTGGGAGTTTATTTATCATGTTAATATAAATAATTATGTGAAACAAAAAATATTACATATACTCCATGGAATTGTTATATTTTTTTTCATGGCTATTTAATGGTATATTAACCTCAAACAATTTATTCCTATAGATGAATATTGTATTTTATGGGTAATTCAATTTTTCTTGCAAGGTCACAACAATGAATACTACTTTGATGAACTCCAAATCTGGGGCCGTGCTCAGCTGGCCGTTCTGACCGAACCGCCAGACACTGCAGCCACAGTTTTCTTTGCCAACATGATCGGGGACAGATCTGGAACAATTCACATCAGCAACAACCAAACCATGGACCTTGAGAGGCCACAGATAGACCTGCCATTCAATGTCCATGTTTACAACAATGGTTTCCTAGGCCTGGCACCAGACACCGTAGTCCACGGTGTAACTATATTTCATAATGGAACACTAGCCTATGTCAATAACCTGACCTTACACCATGGTGGCAAGCTCCTACTGAGAAGAGAGGGAAGAACACTCGGCAGAGATCCAGGATACTATGATTTTTACAGCGTTCATGTTCAAACTGATGGGTACATAGAAATGATTTCAAGACCTGTTCAAGATGTCGGGATTGTCTTTAACGTCACCACTCTCCATGTGGATGGGGGAGGGCTTGTGCGCGGCACACACATGTACGTTTTTGCGGAGAACATAACCATAGACTCTGGAGGCTCCATGGAAGCCAATGGTCAGGGATACAGTGTGGCTGATGGCCTAAGTAAATGGGCCAATGGCAGCTATAGGACAGGGCAGCATGGCATCATCAACCCTGGCTTAGGATATTCTGTAGGATACAGTTCATCTGGAGCAGGGCATGGGGGAAGTGGTGGACATGGTCAAGGTAGGTAGAGGATTTTAAAGGGGGCAAGTAGTAATATGTCATTTTTTTAATTAATATCAAGTTATCATCATCATTACCACCACAATCATCTTCTCTGTCTTTTTCATCTTTAACTGTAAACACTGTCATCAACGTCATTGTCAGAATAAATACTACATCATCCATGTATCATCATCATTACCAAGAGTACGTGATCTTCTTTTAACATTTTAGGAGTCCCACGCACTGGATCACCATACAACGATCTGTATGAACCAGAGAATTTTGGCAGTGCAGGGGGTGGTGAAACAGGAGGACCTGGAGGAGGTTACATATGGTTCAATGTGACAGACACAATCTCAATAGATGGCGTTGTATCTGCCAACGGCGCTGATGGTGACACCAAGGGATACCACACAGGTGGTGGAGGAAGTGGTGGCAGTATCTGGATGCACTGTTATCGAATAACGGGTTATGGACAAATCACCGTCAATGGTGGTGACGGTGTCTCAACAAGCCTTGGGAAAAGTGGTGGTGGTGCAGGTGGAAGATTGGCTTTGTATTTTCAAGTGAATGAAACTTTCAGTGCCTTTAAGTACTATTCTTATGGTGGGGCACCTGGTTCTGGATGTACTACATGTGAAAGTGGTGGCCCTGGAACTGTGTTTCTCTACCACATGGTTCAGAACCATACCACTCTGTTGGTTGACAATCATAATAATCCACATCCACTGACCAACAGCATTGACTGGGATAATATTGAGAAGGATGGCTGTAGAGCTTGGATACTGCCACTGTCTGGAGTCCATTCCTTTGCTGCTGGACAAAACCTGTATCATTTTGATGAGCTGCAGATTTATGGTAATGCACACCTTGCTGTGCTGACACCAACTGAAACCTTGAATAATGATTCCCTGTATGTCATTGAACCAGAGAACTCCTTGACTTCATTTGTATCAACCAAGCCATATGTTGTTAGTCTGTTTTTCCGTTACATGATTGGGGACAGAACAGGCACAGTTCATATAGCATCCCAGCAACACATGGACTTGTTGAGAGGAGATATCGACCTTCCTTACAATGCCCATGTTTATTTTAATGGTCACCTTGGTTTGGCATCCCGTACTGTGGTGCATGGTGTTTACATCCACATGGCTGGTGTCCTGGCCAACGTGATTAACATAACCCTGCATCATGGCGGATACTTTTGGATGCAGCATGGTGGACGGACAAGTGACCAAGAGTACTCACATTACAAGTTTGATACAGTAAGAATTCAGGACAAATCTACAGTTTATGCGAGAACTGATCCAATCCTGGACCCTGGCATTAACCTGGAAACCAGGGCCATATTTGTAGAAGGTGGTGGTCTGTTGCACGGTACCAAACTTATTATGCTGTCCGAAAACATCACTGTTGATGCTGGGGGGAAAATTGCTGTAGACGGTTTGGGGTACAACTCAACACACACTAATGCCACCCATGGTCATCTGTCTTTACATGGAGATGTTAACATGGGTCTTCCTAGTTCCAGTATTGGCCAAGGATCTGGAGGGGGCCATGGCGGGAGTGGAGGCAGAGGTAGCAGAGGATCGGGAGGAGGGTTACCCTATGGAGACCTGTATGAGCCTCTGGTATTTGGTAGTGCTGGTGGATTAGGACTGACTAGTGACCAACAGGGAGGTTCAGGGGGTGGAATGATCTGGATGAATGTAACAGGGACTATTTTTATTGATGGTGAAGTGTCAGCAAATGGCGGAGATGCAGAGGTCAACTCTGGTGGTGGTGGAGGTAGTGGAGGAAGTATCTGGATGTACTGTAATATCATCAAGGGCTATGGGAGATTATCAGCTAATGGTGGGTATGGGTCCAAGCATTCTTCATACCCAGGTGGAGGAGGAGCTGGAGGAAGGGTGGCCATTTACTTTGTGAAAAATGAGACCATGTCTGGATTCCGTTACACGGCCTATGGTGGCCATGCTGGAGGGGCCAAAGCAGAACATGGAGGTGCAGGCACAGCTTTTATCTATCACATGGTTTACGAACACAGAACACTGATCATTGACAATAATGGGTTGTATCCAAGAGATCCAAACAACTTTCATGTCATTTCTGATTATGGTGATATCACACAGGATGGGTGTAGAACATGGATACTCCATAAGTCTGGCTATCATTGGCTGGCTGCAGGACACCACAATTATCATTTTGAAGAAATTCAAATGTATGGAGGGGCACATCTTGCATACCTAACAGAAACTGTGGATAGAAAAACCTCTTTGTTTTTCCTAAACATGATAGGGGACCGTTCAGGGACTGTTCACATTGCATTTAACCAAACAATGGACTTGGAGAGACCAGAGATAGATCTACCTTTCAGTGTAAGAGTATACAGAGGTGGATATCTGGGCCTTGCACCTGACACTATCATTCATAATGTCAGCATTTGGCTGCATGGTGTTCTGGCTCACATCCAGAATGCTACATTACATCATAATGGGCTACTTTCCTTGGAGGAAGGAGGAAGAACAGAGGGTGCAGAGTACAGTAACTACTGGTTCAATGTTGTGAGAATTCAGGACAACTCCACGATAGAAGCAACAACAGACCCTGTCTTGGATGTAGGCATATTCTTCCATGTTACTGATATGTCCATTGAGGGTGGGGGAACGTTCCATGGGACAAAAGTGACAGTGAATGCTGTGAACATCACCATAGATGATGGAGGTTTTATGAATGCTGATGCTGAAGGATTCCGCCCAACAGATCCTCAAAATCTGTCCCAGATGGTAAACATAGGCTTAGGTCATAGTCATCCCTCGGGTTCATCAGGGGGCTCTCACGGTGGCACCAGTGGCAGAGGACATGGTCAGGCAAGGACTGGGACACCATATGGGGATCTGTATGAGCCCCTAACACTAGGTAGTGCAGGAGGTGGAGGTTTAGGTTCAGGCGGCAGAGGAGGAGGCACCATCTGGTTTAATGTGACTGACACCATCCAGATTGATGGAATTGTGGGTGCTGATGGTGGAACTGCCCAGGCTAGTTCTGGTGGAGGCGGAAGTGGTGGCAGCATATGGATGCATTGTAAACTGCTGAAAGGAAGGGGTAGAGTAACTGCCAATGGAGGTAGTCAGTTCTTGAATGGCAATGGTGGCGCTGGTGCTGGTGGGAGAGTAGCCATATATTTTCAGGAAAATGCCACTTTCATTGGAAAATTTGAAGCCCATGGTGGAAGTGTCACTCACAGAGCCAATGTGAATGTTGAACCAGGAGGACCTGGGACAGTGTTCTTGTACCACATGGAATATGACCATACTACTCTCCTCATTGAAAATGCTGGACTGGAAAGCAAGCACTGGGATATTATAAGAAATTATTCTGATATTTCAACAGACAGTTTCAAGGCATGGGTTCTTCCTCAGTCTTCTCAGCATGATTTTGCTGGTAAAGGAGGACTTTTTCACTTTGATGAACTCCAAATTTATGGCAATGCTCATTTTGCTATCATGACTGATCCCCCTGATAGTAGTGCCTCTTTGCACTTCAGGCACATGATTGGCGATCGCACTGGGAATATTCATGTTGGACCAAATCAAATTATGGATCTGAGAAGAGATTTCATTGACACGCCCTTTAGTTCCTTTGTATATGAGAAAGGATACCTAGGCCTGGCCCCAATGACAGAATTAAATAAAGTGTTTGTGTATCTAGCAGGCACCTTAGATCATGTTATCAACATGACCTTAGTCAATGGAGGTGCCTTAAAATTACAGCTCACAGGGTCCACCAGTAATAGACCGGCTCTCAACTATGTCTTCAATGGCACCACTGTGGTCAAGGCAAGGTCGGTCATTAATGCCAGCAGCCCATTTGCTGACCACCGTCAGTACAACCTGAGTTTTGGTGCCCTGGTGGTGGAAGGTGGGGGCCTGATCAATGGGAAGTACATGTTGATTGATGCTACCTACTTGACGGTGGATGATGCTGGAACTATTGATGTCAGTGATGGAGGGTTTCTGGCTGGAAATGGTAGAGGTAAGTAGTCTGTTTTAAAATGATCCCTTTTTTTCGAAGAAACTAATTTGGTTGTGTTCTTCAGTAATAAATTGCTATGTGTAGATTATTGCAAAAAGGTATGACTAAGTATCTTGAAAGTCATTTTTTAGAATTTTTGATGACATTTGTATCTAAGTTATAGGCATTTAAACCAAAAATTATACTTGCACCGTTTCAGATATTTCATTTAAAAAGTATAGATATTTTCCATGCTTTGTTATCTTTTAAATTAAAAAAATCTTCTGAGAAAAAGAAATGATGTGGCTTTTGCTTCTTGTATAGCTCCAGGTGTATATCATCGTCTGGGTTCCAGTGGGGCCTCACATGGTGGTATGGGTGGACGAGGAGGCTGTGGAGGGTTCCAGACTTGTCGTCTCAAGAGAAACTTACCCTATGGTGACCTGTACTATCCCAGAGACTTTGGCAGTGGAGGAATACATGAGAGAGCTGGCATAGGTTGGAATATTACTTTTACAGGAATAAGATTGAATTTGATGTGATCATTTAGTTTTTTAAAGCATGTTGATCCTGCCTTTATGAAAAACAAGTGAAAAATGTGAAACTCCCATCATTGCAAGTATACATATTATGTGCAGTCCTTGTTTATTTTTCCAAACAGTTGTTTGTTTTGAAGGTTTCATTCTTTTTTATTATTATTTATTGTTTATTATTGTTTTATAAATTTTCAAATCAACTGATATAACCATTTTTTGACTATTTTTTTGCAGGTGGAGGAATCTTGGAGATCCATGTGTCAAAGGTTTTGAAAGTTGATGGTTACATATTGTCTAACAGCAGAAATGTCACTGGCAGTGCCAGTGGGGCAGCAGGCGGCAGTGGAGGCAGCATACTTATCTTTACAGCAAATTTCACTGGTTAGTTTGTTTTCTTTTTTTTTTAATCATTAAAATTTATTCATTTGAATCCCTCCTATAGTGTGTTTCATTAAATGGTGTTTTGTTTGATAAGTTTTTAAGGTATTGAGATGTTTATCCAATCTATGTTTGTTTGTTAATAAGCCAACATGAAGTCTATTAATTAATTTAGTTTGATGTTCCTTAAAAATTTCTTGTGATGCTTTTTCAAGACAATTGTCTCTTTCTGATATGTTTGTTTGATTTAGAACATTATTTTAAGCCTACAAAATGTACTAGATACTATATACTGTTGTTACAGGTGGCCACACTGGTGCCATCCAGGCACTGGGAGGTGCCGCAGGTAACCAAGGAGGAAGTGGTGCCGGTGGTCGGATCGCCATCTACCATGACACCCACATAACCCACAGACCCTACGGGGGCAGTATTGATGTATTCGGAGGTCCAGTAGGGTTAGGACTTGGACCTGAAGCAGGTGCATCTGGCACTGTCTACATTCAGGATATTGGTACAGGAAAGACTACACTCAAAGTCGATAACGTAGGAAGGAAGCCACTAGATGATGAGATACACAATATTGGGCATAGATTGGATCTCAGCATCAAACCATCTCAGTACAGCAAGTCAAACACTTTTTCAACAGGGGATGGGTTTACAGTTACTTCATCAGCTGCTATTTATAACCGAAACTGCTGGGGATGTCTGCCAAATGATGCCACCAGTTATCTTTTGGCTTATTTGTTTGATCAGACTTTGTCAAGCAGTGACATGCATCAATATTTCCTGGTGTATTCTAGGAGCACAACTGTTACAGTGACACTGAACACCACACATTTCCTCAACAGAGTTAGAGTATTTCCAAACTGTGCATTTCCATCCAGATTTCAGGTAACTATATTTCAATTTTTAAAAAAATTAAGTGTATTAAAGCATTTTTATAAGATCTGAAAATAATCTATCAAAGATACCCTGTCTTCCAGTTTTAACTTTAAAAAGCTGTATTGACTTTTTTATATTAGCTTGCATGTATTAACCCCAATATTTATTTATTGATGCTTATATGAATATGGATTAAATTATTAGAAAGACATTGTGTATATGATATGAGAAAGTTATTTCTCAGTAGAAATGAAGTGGTTGGTGCTTTCTGATTTTTTATTAGAATGAATGTTAAATTTCAGGTCAGAGCCAAGAGAGGCAGTACATCCTTTGCCATCACCACAGCCTATGTTGTAGCCTCTCCTTGTACCCAGGGGGCGTACTTGGACCTCGAGGTCCGTGCCAGTGTTGACACAGTGTACATAGATGTACAGAGTACTAGGAGTTCAGGAGATGCATATGCTTCACTGTCTCAGGTGGAAATATTTGTCAATGGAGAGAATGTATATGACAGGTATCACAGTTTTATTTTATTTTATTTTATCTTTTTGATATCTTGGTTTTCTTATTCTGTGGAATTATGTTACCCAGTGGCTTTCTTCAAAATTCCCCATTTGCTCATTAATGAAATTATTAATTATTAATTGTTATCCCCATCAGAAATTCAAACATCCAATTGCTTACTATAGACAATAATATAAAATCAAGCCCATGCATCCTCAATCCAGTAAAGATAGCCATTGAGTACCATTGAGAAAAGTAAGCTCTGCGGGTAAATGGAGAGCAATTAAGCAGTTAAAGGATAATTGCTGACAGCTAGGGCCATAGCAGGTATGAGTACTGGTAACATAATTGCTTATTAACACCTTTACCTGTGACAGGTACAAATACAGGGAGCTTGACAGTGCTAAGACATGGATAGAGGCCGAGTCGGGGACAAACTTCCACCTCTTTCATGACCTGCACATCCTTGGAGGTGCTCAGCTGGCCTTGATGGCAGATGGAACATTACAGACACCTGTGAATATAGATGTTGGAGAACTGCATGGTGATACCACAGGTAAGATTTTTACATTCAGCTACAATTGCTTAGTAAGTGTTCTGTTTTGGTGTATGTTAGATATAAGGTAATGTATTGTTGTAAACTAATGTGAACTGGATGGGAAGATTTACATGTAACCCTATGCATTTTGCTGAAATACATGCATATACTGTTGCCACTACTTGGGTAGTAGTTCTTAGTAACAAATGTCACCATGTTGTCAATGACATTGCATCAAACACTTTATTTTTCTCTAAATTGCTGCCTAAATGCATGTATTTTAGTAGAAATTAAACTTGGTTCAATTATAAAATACATCTGTGTTACTTCAGGTTTTAAACATGTTGGTTATAACCAGAATTTGAAGATGAATGTGACAGCACCAGACATCTCATTCAACACACATGTCTATGAGTCTGGGAAAGCCAAATATCCCCCAAGAGTTTTCTTCTTTAAAACATCACTGTATTCTTCTGGACAGGTAATTTTTTACAATGTAGATTTGCAATATTATTTTCTCGTTCATTTTAATGGCATTTATGTTGATTGGTAGCTTAAAGGGATAATAACTCTTCATATGAGATCTATATTTCACAATAAAAACATTGTGAATAACTCATAGAAATATAATACATTCTGTTTTACGACAAAAACAGCAGTTATAGCTATTATTCTGATATCTGAGGATGTCTTCAGATCACGTGACCTCCATTGATGGCTATACTCTGTTATAATCTCTTAAGAGATTTTAACAAAAAACCAAACTTTTTAGAAAAAAACCAGAGACTAACTCTGAGTGTAAAAATGGATTCATTAACCATTGGTAAGTAAGGGAAAATTGTTGTTTACTGGAAAATTCATCTTTTGGCCAAAACGAAGAGTTATTATCCCTTTAATCTTGATATTTTGGTGTTATGTTTGAAACAAAATGTGCAGTAAGTAATGGTTTCTTTATTCATGATGTAGGTAACTGGCATTGAAGACCTGTTTGTTTTCCAACATGGACGCGTAGTCTTGGATTCTAACTCAAGTATTGGAGAAACCTCTAAGCCTGGAGAGTTCCGCTTATCTTCTCTACATGTCCAAGATCAAGGAACATTTGAGATGTACACAAACAGCTTAGAAAACAGCTTCTATTTGGAAACAACCAACACAACGGTAGGTTTGAAAGAAATTTCATGTGATAGAAATGTGTCAACTGACAAATATTGTAGTCTTCAGTGTTAAGAAATGAACTTCATATTCACGTATTGTCTTGGATTAAAGAAGACAAATTTCATTATTTGATTTATTTAATGTGTATGAATGATTTGGGTTACCTGAATAAATATGTTTGGTGCAGATTGTTACAAATATTCTAAGTCATCTTTCACTGGCATTTCATTTGGTTGAGAATCTAAAACAAGTGCTAGGTTAAATTTTGTATCACATATTACTATGGATATACATACCTCAGAAAAAATATGTAGATATCATTTAATGAAAAAAAGTTTTACTAGGCATGTAGGATGGACTTGGTATGAAGTTTTATTTGTTTCTTTAGGTGTATGGTGGAGGACACTTCAAAGTGTTATCTAAACTAAATATATCTGCTTCTCACTTGTTGGCTGTGTATTCTGGAGGCATGGTTAATCTGGATCATGGTGGCGTACATGAATTGATGGACCTGGATAGACATGCTGGACAGGGACATGGTGAGATCTATTGGCAAATAATATCCATTAACCAAGATGTAACACCATTATATGAAACAAATAAAGTATAGTTTTGTTTGTGTTTAAGACAAAGATGAGGGCAGCACTTTTTTACAGCTAAAAAATACAACTTAAGTTTTCAATATTTTTAAATATTAAACATTAAAATGTTTAAATATGAATTATTAGACCATAAATTATTCATGTTTACAATTGAATTTTAGAATATTATATAAATAATACACATTTGTATACACTTGTATTTTTTTGTTATTAGTACCAAAACAACAAAGAAAAAGGTGTATCAGTTACTTTTTCTGCTGTGTTATAGGTGGCAGCACAGGTGGTAGTGGAGGTGGACATGGTGGCAGTGGAGGGCGGGGAAGAGGAAACCCAAATGTTGGTTTGGCACATGACTCAATATATGAACCTGCAGACTTTGGTACTAATGGAGGACATGGGCGGGACAAAGGTTATCTTGATATCTTATAATTACTAAGGATACACTAAATTCTCAGTTTTTATGTTATGAATTAAGTTGCAACTAGTTGAGAGAAAAGGTAAATAAGTTTTATGTTATTAAGTTGTTTGTTTCCCTGGAACTTCAGATTAGGAAAATAGATTTTGAATCTGCAACAATGTTTTTCCATTCCTGTAACATTTGGAATAAAAACATTCTATGTGATATTTGATTTACTTGATATGTTTTGAACATTCATGTATTCTTTCAGGTACTCTAAGATTTGGAAAGTCTCCATACAGGAACACATTGGAATATCTAGGCTATGGAGGATCTGGTGGAGGCTCTCTATATATTCAAACAAGACACTTCATTTTGGATGGTAAAATCTCTGTGAATGGAGAGACAGTCAGCTATGAAGATGCAGGTAATGATGGTGGGAAAGAAGAACTTAAGAACCTGTGATTCTCTGTTTTCATTTTTATAAGTTTAAGAAATGTACATTTTTTTTCATATGTCACATATATAGGTTTATTAGAGCTGATTTCTTAGTAACAATGATTTTATATTCTAACTGACGGTATGACAGTTTGTTATATTAACATAAAATCTGATGTGTCATGTGCTGCTTTGAGAATGAATTAAAAATATCAGTGGTATAAACATACTGTTTTTAATAGATGATATTTATCAGTTGACGTAAATTATGCGCTTTTTGTAGAAGTACATATTTAATCACTATAATATATCAATGATTTATTTTCTGATATTATTTGATATTATCCTGCAGCATTATTGTATTATTACATATTAAATTTCCTCATTATTTACAGGTGGTGGCTCCGGAGGAAGTATCTGGATTGACTGTGAAGAATTGGATGGTTATGGCTATATGTCTGCTAATGGAGGATCAGGAGTTAACTATGGGGGAGGGGGAGCAGGCGGCAGAATTGCTGTCTACTATGAAAACATTAAGAGATTTAATGGGACAATTTCCGCTCATGGAGGTGAGCTTAATTTGACTATTTTGATTTTGATTGGTAAATTAATTTGACTTGTAGGAATATTTTGTCAAGTCATGTCATTAAAGATGTTAAGCCTACAGAAAGGTAAAAGTTCTCTGCAAATTTAAGTAACAAAAAAAAGGAAGTGCGTAGGTATACTGAAAAACAAAACTGGATACTTATAATATGTTAAATATACATCAAAATAAAGGTGTGTTTGATAAGTCTAAATTGGCCCATCATTCATTTTCTGTTAATATTAGGCGCAAGTGCTTATGAGACTGGAGGTGCAGGCACAATTTATCTGGAAAAATACAACAGATCCAGCAGGGCAGTTCTCTACAAAACCCTGAAAGTGGACAACTATAAACAACCCTACCCACATGCTCAAGTATATGAGAATGGCAACCTCAGAGGTATACATGATGGAGACTACAGGGATATCAGCACAGTCGGAGGGGTCACGTGGTTGGAGCATTATAGTAATAACTATGGATTTGATGAGGTGCTCATAAATGGGAATGCCCACGTTGCTATTCTCAGTAATACATCAGCTGATGAGGTCACTGTGCGTGCTGGACGGTTGTTAGGTGATCGCAGTGGAGTGTTGCATGCTGGGAGGAGACAAGATTTTGCCTTTTCAGATTTGGATATATTTCTGCCAGTGAATGTCTTGGTCTACAGGTAAGCAGTGGTTTTAGATATTTTCCAGTTTGGCCAGTTGCTTAAAAAGTTTATATGTGTATGTGCCTCTTGCAAAATATTCTTTGCATTTTTACATTTATTTTTATTATTTTTCTATTTTATCGGTGCTCTCCATACTACTCGATGATAAATTTTTGACCACTCTTTTGCAGAAATAAGAAATGTTATAATTTGTTTATCTGTTTTAAGTAAAAATATATGATGAAAATTACAAATGTAATACATAATTTTAATGCAGTTTATTGCACATATCAGTTAAAGTAGAAGTCAACTAATTAACACAATTTGTACTCTTTCAGGTATGGTGCCCTTACTGTCCCCAGTAGAGTACATATGCGTGAGGTTTGGATGGAAGTGAATGGAACTCTGGCCAATGTTGTGGACATCTGGATTGAGAACAGAGCTGAATTATACCTGTGGTCATATGGTCACTCTTTGGGCCAACTGGACGGCACTTACACTGCTGAAAATGTGAGCGTCCGAGCTGGCGGCAAACTGGAGATGCTTACTGTAGATGGCGCCAACAGAATGACCCTGCAGCTTAGGAATATGGTGGTTAATGCTGGAGGATATGTGAGAACCAATGACCTGCATTTTAAGGCAGAGAACCTCACTATTGACATGTCTGGTAAGTATTTGTTAAACAATCCAAAATAAGTATAAACTGTGCTTTTAAATGTGTATCTTGAGGATAATGTATAGGTGAATTACTATAATATTGTATTTTATAAGTTTGATGGGTCTGCTAAGGTAGTACTGGGTCCTGAAACAAGGTTCATCATATTTATCATTTATTTCGGTTTCTGTTACAGTCATTGAGCTTGGCAGTGCTTGCCTGTGCCTCTTTGTATAAAAGCAACACATTTTAATTCCTGAAGTGAATCTCGGTTTGTGTAACATAATTTCAGGTGATTTCCATGCTGATTACTCTGGCTATGGAGCTGGCCAGGGTCCTGGGAGAGGGCTTGACATGTCCACTGGTCACTTGGGTGGCTCGGGTGGAGGACATGGTGGGGCCGGAGGGAGATCTCTAAGAGGGTTCTACTCAGCCCCAGGGTATGGCTCTATGTATCTTCCCACACAGAAAGGCAGTGGAGGAGGGAGTGCACAGGGAGGAAGAGGAGGGGGTGAGTTTGATGATGATGGTGAGGAGGATGATGATACAGCAGTTTTGAAATTTTTTACTTCATAAAGCTCATTCAGGTTGATGATGTGGATCTGATGCTTAAAGATTGCACTGTTTATTTCACAGTTTTATAAAAATCTCGAGGATTTGCTTTTCTTGGAGTTCAAGGCTCTAGTTTTGTTTATAAAAGTAAAGATTTGAAACTGGTGAAAAGGAAATGTTATAAAAGCGGTGTATACAAATGCTAGTGCTCATTTTTGGTTCAGCACATTTGGTATTATTCCTTTATAAGATGTTGACAAGATTTGTATGAATTAGAATAGATCAGTAAAAATGCAATTTAATTTGACTCAAAGTTTTGCTGAACTTTCCTTTCTTGAAATGAAAATTATTTACTTTCATTGTTAGGAATATTGTTAATGGAGATATCTAAGACGCTGCGTGTGGATGGTCGTCTGCATGCTAATGGAGAAGCTGGTCAGAGTTCCACTGGCGGAGGTGGTGCAGGCGGCAGCATCATCCTCCGTGTACAGGACTTAGATGGAAGTGGCACTGTTGAAGTCAATGGAGGTAATGTCAGATATTATTTACATATTGAAATCATTAGCAATTCATTATCTGTGTATTTCTTAGCATAGAGATTGATTTGTTTGTCAACAGCTTAAACAGATAAAGATTTACCCTCCAAAATTTCATTTTCTACACAGTTGAGTCTTACTTGTAGCAGATGATTTATAAGGTAATGATTGTATGAATAGCTTGTTCTTTTTAAACACATTTAACATAAGGAAGCTAACAATGTACAATATTTGGAACCATCTTATAAATAATAATTTCTTTTGAGAATGATGCCCATTTTATTTACTACATTTTAATTATTATTATCTTATTCCTAATGGTTGGGGTTATACATTTTGAGGTAGTTCTGTTAAATTCAATGATGATTAGAAATTGTAACAATGAAATTTGTAAACAGGTGTTGCCAGTTCTGGTGGAGGTGGAGGAGGAGGGCGTATAGCTGTCTATCACACAGGGCACCATGTTTTCATTGGTCAGCTACAGTCAAGGGGCGGAGTAGGTGGAGCTAAGTCTGGTGGACCTGGGACAATATACTTCCAAGACAACAGCAATTCTTCATCTGTCCTCCGTTCTTTATTTGTGGACAACGGGCAGTCACCGAAATACTCCCGGGCTGTGGAAATTGAAAAACTGGACATGCAAATTAATCCTGATCCATATTACAATCAACAGATAATGTACACACACGGAGGCATCAAAGTCACTTCCACAGGACCAATATTCAGGGAATATATTAGCTCTAACAACTACAGATATTACACTATGAACAATATGTTTTCTGGGTCAGGAATGGACGGCACGAAATATTTCCGTTCTACTAGTTCTAATGTGGATTTAACCTTTGAACTTCCTCAAGCACTTTACATTGATCATCTGAGGGTTCATCCTCAGTGTGGTGGGTGAGTGAACTGGTTTTCTCTTCACTTTTGTTGAAGAGCTATAGTGCTTTTCTAAGCCCAAGTATAAGTAATATGGTACTTAATGTGATTCACTTTTAAAGAAAATAGGAATGGTAAAGAAAATTAAACAGATCAAAATCAAACATTCTCATTGATCAGTTCCCCACTGTGAAGCCAATAAATACCCCACTGTGCTCTTATGGAATCGTGGAGTAAATTTTTGCCTCATATCCAAGACAGGCCATAAAATTGAACTTTTCTCCATCACTGTTTCACCAATATTTCCCTTTTTTAATATTTTAGACTTGAGACCAACTTCAGAATCAGTGTAGCTCACGGCCAGACCAGTGTCATGAAGACCAATGGCTTTGTCAATGTCCAGGGCTGTGAGACACAGACCAAACCCAACCAATATATGACAGTGCGAGTGAACCAGTGGGTGGAAGAGGTGAGCATAAACATGAGAAAAGATTTAACTTTTAACCTGCTGATTTTTCTTCATTTCTTATGTAACTTAATGATTAATGATTTGATAATTTAAGGTTTTTTCATTTATTTCTATCTTAAATTTTGTAGATATAGACTAAACATTCTGTTAAATAGCATCAAAATCTTGTTAAAAAAGAAACCTCTAAAAAAGAGACATCACAAAAAGTCTAATGTAAAAAGTTTAAAGTAACTAGAAGGAAAATATGCAACTTGGAATTTCCTGCAGTGCTTTTACAACACAAAAGTTAAACATACCAAACAGTTGTCCCTGAAGGAAGAATGCCTGATGAAACTTTTTCCTTTTTCACATCTTTCAATAAATTCCCTTCAGGTGGTAGTATCCCTGTCTGCTCTCCATGGTTATGCAGCTCTGAATGAGTTAGAGATCTATGTGAGTGAGGATCCTGACAGCACAGCCCAGGGCCCTGTTAACATGGGGGGTCCACATGCCTGGATAGTCACTGAAGATGAACAGGACAGTGAATACACACTAGATGAGGTAATATAAGCATTAATTTACATGTATGTGTTTATTAATAGGATGTTGGAGTGAAAACAGATAAATGTTTGTTAATAAAGTGGTTCAAAGACTTTTAGGTGTGTGTGTGTGTGTGTGTGTGTGTGTGTGTGTGTGTGTGTGTGTGTGTGTGTGTGTGTGTGTGTGTGTGTTTGTGTGTGTGTGTGTGTGTGTCAGGATTTTTACAAACAGCAAGTTATGAACATTTTTTAAGAAAGTTACACTTGTGACTATCAGTGATGAATATGTATAAGTGGGTTGTGCTAATTCATTTTTACATTGAGTAATGTGAAATTTTCATAGGCAGTCTTAAACATACCAAACTCAAAGGTGTACAATTTTAGCCAAACTTTAAATAGTGTATGACAGTAACGCCATTATTTCAGCTCCACATCAATGGAGGCAGTAGACTGAGCATAACGGGTGACAATTCCACACTAACTGTCCACTCCATCAGTGGGGACAAGACTGGTCAACTGACCATGCGGTCCACTCAGGGCTTCCACACCTCACTGTCCAGAGGGTTGATGCCATTCTCTGTGGTGGCATGGAGGGATTCTAATGTCACTCTGCCACCCAGACTAGACTGTAAAAATGTGGACATTAGTATCAAAGGTATAGTATCATTTACATCAATGGTGTTGATACTTGAAGTGTTTAAGGCATTTTTCATAAGCCCATAAACTTGATAGAGCTTAGAAAATTAGTGCATGTAGTAATTGTAATATTGTGAAAATTCAGTGGAATCCAATTAAACACCTTGAAGTTTTCTGGTTGACCAGTGTGCAATATTTAAGTTACTGTTACAGTATTTGAGTTACTGTTTCCTTATTTGGTAATATGTGATCTGTATTCCAGGTCATTTTGGGCCCATGAACAACCTGACGGTGAGTTCTTACTGCAGAGTCACCTTGGACCACCAGGTTGTCAGCACTACCAGAATTCATAACATTGATATCAAGACCTTTGGTGAAATGGATGTGGTAACTAACATGGTGGCAACCACCACTTTGGAAGGTTCCACTCTCCATATCAGAAGTGGAGGAAAGGTAATATAATTCAAGGTTTTATTCATGTTGTGTCATTTTGAAACTTGTGCATTTTCAGTTTCCTATTCTGATTTTGTGTGCAAAAGACCCATATTAATGTGAAAATAAAACATTGATTTATAAGACTTTGTAGAATATAGAATAACATCTACCAACATTTGTATATTTAAATTCTTGCTGAAGAATTATAGTTGATTCTTGAAACTATATATTTGTGGTGAGAAAATTAGGAACTTCAACTTTAATATCAATTCACAATAAAATGCTTACACAAATTGATTTTTTTTGTCTATTGTTGCAGTTGAGTTCAAATGATTTAGCATTGCACTTCACCAATGTAACAATAGAACCTGAGGGATACTTGCTGGTGGATGGTGCAGCACCCAGAACTATGGCCACAACTGGTATATAAATTTTGAACTTTTTACATCATATAACTGATTAGACTTTCCTAAAGACGAAAGTTTATATCTATCTTTATGTATTTTTCTTTGCACACATATAGTGCTACACTGTTACTAAAATGTATTTCTCCTGAAAGATTATCACATTTTTTAAGAGTTTTCAATAAAATTTTTTTCAGCCCATCTTTTAAATATTTAAGGATGTTTCTTTACTGAAAAATTGAAATCCATCTTTTCCAGGAGCAGGAGTAGGCACCTGTGCATCTGGTTCACAGAACAGTAAAGGTTGCTCAGGTGCAGGCCATGGTAGCACTGGAGGTCTTGGCAGATCTCAGTCAGCAGTAGGTGGAGCACACGGTTTCTTTGCAAAACCCACCAGTTTTGGAAAAGATGGCGGCTGGGCTATTTTCCCTTTCATAGGTGGCGCTGGTGGTGGTCGTCTGCTGTTGAATGTGACAGATACTCTCACTGTAGATGGATTTCTTAGAGCAAATGGTGGTGGATGGACATCTGCTCGGTCTGGAGGAGGAAGTGCTGGTAGTATATGGATAGAAGCCCCTACAGTACATGGGGATGGTGTAATAGAGTCCTCAGGAGGAGATGGAGATGGACAAATTGGTGGAGGGGGCTCTGGAGGAAGGATTGCTGTCTACCATGTTTATAATCATTATCTAGGTATGTTACAAACCATATGTTTAGATCACATATTTGTTGACTAAGAAATGTACTAGTAGATGAAATTCCTGGTGAAATTGCCACCAAAATATGATAACAAATCAATAGTTATAAGCAATCATTGCTGATATTGTAAGTAAAATGTAGGTCTTTTCATGTGGGTTTCTAAACAACTGTACTTATTACTAAAAAAACATTTGACTTCTTTGAATCAAATGTTTATGAAAAGTACTTAATTGAAAATTACATTTTCTTTCTTACTAATTATACTTTCTTACATTTTGGATCTAGGTGAGTTCAGAGCTGTTGGAGGCAATGGCTATGAACCCGGTGGACCTGGTACAGTGTATCTGTACAAACTGGTGCCTGACAATGAGACATACTTCCTGGATGCCACCAGTGAGGAAGCCAGGATCACACACGATTCCAATGTCACCCAGCCCAAAACCAACAGAACTCTATATGTCAACAACATGGGCAGAACACCATTGAATCCGGACAGCAAGAATATTTCCACAGCATATGGAGACATCACTAAAGCATCTTCAACATTATGGTTGATGCCAACTGAGCATTCTGAAATATCCAGGAGAAATACCCCCAGCCATTCTTTCGATGATCATCTTCTATTGGATGAATTGCATCTGTATGGTGGGGCCCAGGTAGGGTTTGTCAACCCAGAAACCCCCCATGAGCACCTCAGCGTTAGGATAGGTTCTATCCACTCTGACCGCAGTGCTAGGATGCATGTTGGCTCCAACCAGTCTCTGTATGTGACCGCTGGGAAGATACCAATGAACCTGTTCATTTACCGTGGTGGTCACTCCTTGATGCTGGGTGACCTCAGGGTGGCAGGAGTGACCGTCAGTGTGGAGGGGGTGCTTGAGAATGTGGAGAATATGACCATTGTAGATGGAGGTAACAATTTTTTTATATTATTCAATATTTGAATTATTAATTATAGGATTATTTTTGTCATAAGATACATACGTACTTGATAATTTAAAACAAAGTCCTTGATTATTACAGAGACTATAATTATTTTAGCAACCCCATGAAAACACATTAAGTTAAATGTATACAAAGCTTTATTTTTTTATGCATTACAAGAAAAGTAACTCTTGTTGAAAATATTTAGTGGTACCATGTCTATTTTTGCAATTTGAATTGGTTAAAGAAAATAAATGTTTGTTTTTAAGGCACCCTCAACATTCATGAAATGGTGGATATTGATGGAAAGGTCATTGACATCGTCAAGTTCCATACAATCAACATCAGAAATTTTGGCACCATTCTGGCTCACAATGGCAAAAACAAGCGTATCATGGAGGGGCACCTGCTGCATGTATTTGCTGGTGGGAAGCTAATGTCGGCCTTCATGGAGTTGAATGTAGAGAACGTCACAGTTGACGTAATGGGAAGCATACACGCAGATGGCTATGGCTATGGTAGTGAAGGTATGAGAATGAACTGAATTGTAATTCACAGTACTGTGTACTGGACTTAGTACACAGTGCTTAGTACCAGAGAGTCCAAGTGTATATGCATGGTTTTGAATTTTCTTTTTTTGTCTCCCATTATGTGTTTTTATATTCTTGAAAAGGTGTATCAAAGTGAAATCTTTTAAGAAATAATTAAAAATGTTTCATTAATTTGGAATGTTTCCTTTTCAATTTTTGTGCATAGAAAACTACTGTGATAGATAATCATTATATCTTTAAGGGAGTATTTATTCATTTCACAGTATTTTGTCAGTCTGTAGCTATTTTATTTTTGTATTAAAGGAATATTAAAACAATTGATTTATATTGCTATCTCCTTTAGCTGGACTGGGTGCTGGTCAGACAAAGGGCAGTTATGGTTCTGGAGGCAGTCATGGAGGGGAGGGTGGTGCTGTCAACAGTCCACTGTCTAAGGCATATGGTTCCTTCACTGATCCCAGGGAGTTTGGGAGTGGTGGTGGGAGAGGAAATGTCTACTGTAGAGGTAAGAAATCAGATTCTTGCTATATTGCAAAGTCTGGAATCATGCTTATTCAATTTGAGTATAATTTTCTTGATTTAGGCAATTTCTTCAAGAATATTTCATCATACTTTTATTTTCTAGTGGCTTGTGCAAGTAACTGTTTAGACTTCTTAAGTAACAATCCAAATTCAAGTAACAAGAAAACAAACATTTCTAAAGACTTTGGTGTATTACTGTCTGTATTTACACATAGGTGGCAGTGGTGGTGGTATCTTGCACCTGAACGTGACTGGTCAGCTCAGAGTTGAAGGTCAGATCACAGCCAATGGGGAGGCAGCACCTGTGGGGACTGCCAGTTGTACTGAACACAGTGGTGGAGGCAGTGGAGGAAGCATGCTCATCAGGACAAACAAGTTGGAAGGGATGGGTAGATTTGAGGTGATTGTGATGTCTTTGAGGCTACTTTTTTACGTTCATGGCCAAATTGCAAGTAAGAGTCTTAAAGTGCTTCTCAAATAGCACATTTTAGAAGATTGAAGACTGAAATGACATGAAAGATTTTGTGGGTTGTATATATAATGTAACCACTGATGAAATGTCTGTTTACCCAGCTGTAAAAAACTTTTGAAACAGCAATTATTCAATATGCTCAAGGAGGAGGTCTTTATTTCATTGTATAAAAATGTTAAGGCTGTTAATTTACAAATTAAAAATTTTCCTTTGACAGCTAGTGTTTGCAATTTTTAAGAAATGGAAGATATATATGTTTAAATTCATAAGTATATGTATTTGTTTGTTTTTTTGTAGGTAAAAGGTGGCTCTGGTTACAATGGAGGCTCAGGTGGTAGAATGGCAGTGTTTGCCACCAAGAGCTTCTTCAGAGGAGATTTTGCCACACATGGAGGAAGAGGATCGTCAGGAGGAGAGGCAGGAGGCTCTGGGACTTTGTACCACCAACTTGGAGAGAACCAACCTAGAACGTTGAGGATTTATAATTTCTATGGTAGTGGGGTAGGTTAAAAATTGACAAACAAAATTACAAACAGTTTGTATATTGAATTGTATATCATATATTTGAAAAAAAAACATAGACAAGTTCACCTTTTTGTATTCAGGTTTACCGTTTTTACATACAAATATGAAACTACACCCGTGCACTTACTTACTGTCTTTTGATTTTAGTCAAGAAAAACATGGATCCCAGTCTCCAATGACACCAGTATCCATGTTGTGGACTTGTTAGACCTTGGTGGCCATGCCCATGTTGCCTTGGTACCAGAGCCCTGGGCCCTGGAATCAGCATACCTGTGGGTAGGAGATGTAGCTGGAGACAAGACAGGCTGGTGGGAGGGTCTGGCACATACACAGCTGGAGATGGCTTCCAACGCCTCCTCACATCTGCCTTTTAATATAAATCTTTATGGGGTATGTATGGCTAAATCCCCTTATTTATGAACCCATGTTTGATGGTTTTCATTTAGATTTAACTTTAAAATTATTATTTTGTTTAACATTTGCAATAAGTAATTTTCTGTTATTGTATTCTTTCAGCTACATATTTGCTATAAAGATTGGGAGTAGTTGCATTAGAAATAATAAAAAATCATTTCTTGGAATTAACTTGGGACATTTTTACCTATCATAGTAACTGTAGAAATGAACCTCATAAATAAATAGTCCGCAATAAATAAAAAAACCCCGCTTGTTTCAGAATGGCACAGTATCCCTCCCACAATTATGCTACCTGAAAGGTGTGACCCTCAACCTCCATTCCGGCCTATTAAATGGTGTTCAAGAGCTGGACATTGCCCTCTCAGGAAGGGTGAATTACTACCCACCGGCCATGATCAACTCAGCTGAGGAGAGCGTGGCAGTGCTGGACAGAGTAACATTGTTAGAAGGTGGCACATGGAGTTACCATGGCAGCCCAGATATCTCCACTCACTTGGTGATGAATGTCACTGGGGCATTTGTGGTCAGAGGAGGTGGGACATTGACCACCAACAAGATGTATTTGAAAGGTAAAGCTAGCAAATCGGATAGAGATTGGCTGAAGAGGGAAGAATCTTAATAATGTAATATATACACTGTCTTTGTTTTTGTATAAAGATACAAATTATAGTGAAAGGTCTTAAAGCATTATATCTCAACAACAGCTTTGCCGCTATGAACATGAAAATCATCTACTCACATTCTCTCCTCTCCTCTGTTTAGTATTATCTTGTCTTTAGAAATAGATAATTTTGAATCATTCAAAGCAGAGTATATTTTACAATGTATAAATTATAATGGCACATTTCTTCTCCTCACAGCCCACACCATAGAAGTAGATTACAATGGTGTGATAGACTCCAGTGGGCGTGGCATGGCACCAGGTCAGGGAGTAGGAGCAGGGATACAGCACAACACTGGGGGTTCAGGAGGCTCCCATGGGGGTCTGGGTGGGCGTGGTGGATATACCCAGCATGCTGGGCAGTCCTATGGAGACTATGAGCAGCCTATTGAATACGGGAGTGGAGGGAGCTTTGTGCAAAATGGAAAGGTATGTTCTTATGGTTTAAAATGAAGAACATGAACGTGGAGTATGTAAATACTGCTAATCTTGTATGTTTTGGATCTTCAGCAATGCAGTCTTTGAGTTGACTTGTTTCTCAAGTACCAATTTAGATATTAAGCTGTAGTTAATAGATTTTTATATTTATACACAATGGAAGAGACTGTTGTGTAATTAGAAAAAGTAAATCACTGATTTCTATATGTTAAAAACCAAACCATAAATGTTATATTCATACTTTTTTAGTAGGTGCAAACCATTAGTATTATATGCCTACTTTTTAACAACTAGAACTGCCAGTCTTTTGTTATCTGATGGTTTTAAGTTAATGCAGAAATTAGTCAAAGTTGATAATTATCACTCACAAAAAACTCCATTTCGAACCATTTAGAATTTTTCTATTTTCAAATATTCAATGAATAATTTTTTAAAATAAGATTTTCTTTGATTGTTTGATTTTCCTCCACAACACACAGGGTGGTTATGGTGGTGGTTCACTGCATCTTGCTGCAGAAAGTCAGATGTTGGTGGATGGTGAGGTGACAGCTAGTGGTACTGATGCTCTCAGTTACTATATGGGAGGTGGGGCTGGAGGAAGCATCTGGATCTCTGCTGGGAAATTTTCAGGTACATGGCTTACCAGAGGGCCCTCTAAAAGCAAAATTTATGTGATGATACACAGTGAAAAGTCACAATATTTTTTACATATTACAGATTGAATATCACTTTAAGTCTCAGTCTTATTAAAGAAAGACCATTCTGCAAGATAAATTTAGAATATGTTATATATGAATTTAAGGTGACAAAATATTAATGCCCCAAAATTGCACCACATTCAAAGAAAGCAGTGTAATTAATTTGTATGGTTCTTTCATTTTTTCTCCAGGCAAAGGCACCATTAGTACCAATGGAGGAGATGTCACCAGTATACCTCACTGTTACCGATACGACAAAGAACGTAGATGTCTAGTCTGCAAGGATTATTACTACTTTGTCCAGAACAATTGTGTCAGTGACTGCCAGGTTACATTTAACAAGTGTTGTGGGGGGACATGTTGGTCATCTAGGAACAGTGGACATTGGTGTTCCTATTTTTCTTTGTTCCGTTCATGTTACTGTCCTACAGGGCGATACTGCAGAGGTGAAAGGAACATTGTGCCCAAGGTATAGGCTATTTTTTGAAGTTCACTTATATTGTAAAAATTAAGATTTCAGCTTTTAATCCTTAAAATCCTTAACATAAAGTTATAGGTTACCTTGAGGGAGCTATCAACCTCCTCCACTTTCTGTGTAGTTTTGATACGCTGAATCTTAAATGCTTTTAACATGAAAATGTCCTTTATTTATTAGATATATAAAGATATATAAAAATATCGAAGATACTTGAATTGAACAGTTTGTTTTTTATGCTTAATGAATAAAACAGATCTTTATTTGTATAGACTTAAATATACACTGTAAAAGTCTTTTTTTATATGAATCAAACTTTAATGTCACTGATAGTTCCAAAATGTGGTTTAGATTCTATGATAACTGTATGCCATCTCTTTATTTTATTTTTCAATACAGAAACAAGGAGGAGGAGGGGGCGGCGGGAGGATTGCAGTTCACGTCCAGAACCAGTACATCTTCACAGGCAAATACCAGTCCTATGGAGGAATGAGTGATGTAGAGAAGGGGGCAGCAGGGACCATCTTTCTCAGTCAACCCGGTACTGGAACCACCCTAACTGTAGACAACAGGGGGTACACACCACTGTCAACATACATCAGTGACGTCAACAGTGACAGTACCAGAACATACATTGTCACCAGAGGTAGTCCTAATGCAACAATACATTTTGACAATGTGGTTCTACTTGGTGGGGCACATCTGGCATGGCAACATGACACAGCTGGTGGGACAGCCGTTGTGTCCATTGGAAAACTGCAGGGAGACCTCACAGGGTTTTTGCATTCTTCCCTACAGCATCCATTAACTATTGGTGCATCTGATTCCCCATTCCCAGCTGCCTTCAGGGTGTATGGAAATACCTATATGAGTTTGCCTGTCAGTAAGTATACAGTCTTACTAAAATTGAAATTATTTATCCCTTTGTAAAGATCTTCTTAGCCCTTTGTTAATTTATAAAGTCAAATAATAGTTCCTTTGACATTTAATTATTTTTTTCATGACAAATTGAGGGCAGAAGTGGTAAATATTTGACAAATACTTACTCCAATCATTTTTCAGATACTGACTTGAGAAATTTAAGATACAAAGATATTTATGTTGATGGAGCCATTGATGGAGTTCAAATTCTGACTGTGGGCACAAATATCAATCTGTATATTGGAGAGGAGGTGAGTGAAGTGGCTGTCCTGAACAGAAATGAATCATTTATACACTTGAGTCATTCCAACATTTTTGTCTCATTCTTTGTTTTATTGACTTTAATTTGAATTAATTGAAATTTAGTTTTAGAATATCATTTTGTTTGCAAGCTATCATTTACAGATTACAGATTACATTGGCATATGGCTAAAGGCCTGACTGTCCTGAGTGTTCAAAAGTTGTAATTTTTAAAAAAATTCGATTAAAAATTTTCAGGGCAAATACTTTGGATTAGAAAGGAAAGAATTCAACTTGTACTCGCTGAATGTCCTTGGGAATGGTGTCATTCACTCTGTGTCAACTGCAGCCTATAGTAATAAGTTCATCTTAAGGAAACCATCCCTTTTGCTTAATGTAACCAACAGTGTACGACTGCATCCAGGTGCTGTCATCAAGGTGAGTTGTATCATGTATTAGACACCTATTTTTAATATTTTATTTTAATAATTTTTGTGATAAGATAAATCTATTTGAATTGCTGGAATCCCAAGAGGTTCCTGAAGATACGCTAATATAGATGAAGAAAAAGCACAACAGTGCTTTGTAAATGTATGATATGAAGAAATAGATAGAAAATTAGTTATTTTTAAAATGGGAAGTTTACAATTATTTGCATCTTTTCAACAGCTGTAATAAATGACTGAGAGAGCATGTGGACAATGCCTTTTCAAATTTATGCAGATGTAGAGAAATTCATCTTATTTTTTTCTACAGGGTAACTGGATAGATATCCGTGCTGAAAGTGTATGGATTGAGGCAGCAGGTGCTATCAATGTGCGCGGCATGGCCCCTGCACCACTCTACCCACCAGAGGGGGGTGTCAGCACCTCTAATGGAGGTACCATAGTAATAAAATATTAATCATGCTGTGTTTTTTTTTTATTCAAAGATTAATTGTATTGTTATCATTAGATTTGTTGTTGTTGAAAGTAAGTTGGTTTATGAAAAATTAAATAGGCAAACATTAAGGGCATAAATAATGCTTTAATTGTTGATTGTAACATTCTGTTTAAGTTTACTTTTTTTATCAATTAAGAACTTATATAAAAAATAGTTTGGACAAAAAATTGTTTGAACAGAGCACAACAGATTCAGTTAAATGGGATATAATCAATTTTATTTCACAAGTTGTCATGTCCAAAGGACTCTTTTGCAGATAAATCTTATCCAGTAGTGTTTCATCAATAAATCTTATCCACATTGTTCAGGTGGATCTGGTGGAGGGCATGGCGGGGGTGGAGGTCAGGCTACCCACCAAGGTGTCGTGGGTGGTCCACACGGTTCCCTGTACCAGCCCGCAGACTTTGGCACCAGTGGTGGCAATGGTGGTGGTCTCAGCCACGGTGCCTGTCCTCAAAGTCACACTGGAGGTCAGGGAGGAGGGGTCATCCATGTTACTTGTGACACGTTTGAATTGGATGGTGACCTGGTTGCTGATGGTACAACTGGTAGGGGTTATCATGGTGGCTCTGGTTACCAGGCTGGAGGTGGAAGTGGTGGGAGCATTTTCATCCAGGCTGACACCTTCAAAGGCTCAGGAATGTTATCAGTTCGTGGTGGCTCTGTGCCTGAGTATACAAGTGCTGCTTGTGTGGGTGGTGGGGGCGGAGGAGGAAGAATTGCCATCCACCACACCAACAACACCTTTGCTGGTACTATCCAGGCAACAGGGGGAAAGAGCTCCTATGAACCAGGTGGCGCTGGCACCATTCTGTTCAGAGACTTGACCACTGGCGGTGATTCTATACTTATTGATAATGATAATGTGGGAACACCGAGGTCCTCTATTGTTCAGTTTGAGCTTCTAGCTGATGACCACAAAGGGGAGGACAGTTACAGAACTTGGTTGTTTGATACAGCGGACTCACACTCCCATAGATTTGAGTCGGTTGAGATCAGGGGTGGGGCACATCTAGCCCTCTATAGGACAATCTTCAATACATTTAGACAGTACATGTATGTTGGGAAATCACTTGGTGATAAGACTGGTCTTTTCCATGTGGGGCCATTGCAGGTAATATTAATGATTCCTTGTGCTTTTTAAGTCAAGCAACTTTTTAATTGTTTTCGAGACATTACAGGGACTATCAATGATTCTTTGTGATTTTTAAGTATAGCAATTTTTTTCATTTTAATTGTTGAAATAATAATGAAGAGCAATGTGTGCATGGGAAAATGTTTGGGATCATTGTTACTGCTTTATCAGAGAAAGATATTTTGTTTCCTTTTGTGCATCTGTATGATTGCATCCATTTTCACCATACCACTAATCTAACCATATGACGCGTTTTGTAACAGGAACTAGAAATCAGCCTTCCAACAGAAACACCTGACTTGAAATATGGCCTACATGTATATCAGAATGGCACAGTGAATCTGTCCAGAGAGCTTGAAGTGAGAGGTATAACTCTTCAGGTAGAGGGTACCTTGGGGAAGGTGGAAGTCCTTACGATAGGGAGCAATGGGAAGGTTATTATAAGGTAAAATAGTGTTTTTATTCAATTCTCTTTTACAGAAAGTCATAGTATTATATGTGTTGATTTATAGAAAGAACATAGAGAGTAATAACTTTCCTTTTTTTTTGTATGCAAGTTTTAATTAAAATACAGGAATTAGAGGAAGATTATGAGACAACCCTAACATGTCAGTGTTCCAGTAATTATTACATGTCACATACTGTTTTTACATAATTTCCATCTCTTATGTTAAAATCACAACTAAAAATTATTAGGGAGCCCTGGGATGCCGAGATCTTGAAGAGAACCAACATAACATTTGACCAGGTGACAATTCGAGGCAGTGGGAAAATGGAGGTCACTGGTGGACCCAAGGGGATTGATTTGATAGGAAACTCTTTACTGATAGAGAGTGGAGGAGAGTTGGTCACAGACAACATGCATATTCAAGTACAGAACCTGACCATCAAGCAGATGGGCTATATAAAGGCTACTGCACCTGTAAGTGAACAGGTTATTTCTACTTACCTAGCAGTTAGACCATCTTGCCTTAGATATCCTTGTAAAAGGTTTCACATTAAGAAAAAAATCCAACAAAAGCTGTATAATTAACATCAGTATTATTACACATGAACCCATTTAAAAGAAAAATGAGTGCATATTTGATTGAAAGAGATGCTTCATGTATGTTTCCAGGACATACATGTACATCTCTTACTGTGCCAGAGCACCTCCAGTGTATCTCAAAATGATACCATGGAATGAAAATTTCCAGACTTTTTCATTCACTGTTGACTATTTTATTGGTCACAGGACAATTTGCTATGACAAGACATGAGGTATAATGTACTACAGCATTTATCAAACTTCTCTTCCAGGACATGACAATTACCTATGCCAGTGGACTATCCAATGGCCAAAATGGAGCTGGTGCTGGACATGGTGGACAAGGTGGACATAGCACTGGACAGAGGAATGGAGGCATGTTTTATGGAGACATGAAATACCCTGATCACTTTGGTAGCCAGGCCTACTACAGGGGGTATAAAGTCCATGGTGGTGGGAAGATTAGACTGTCTGTGGAAGAGACCTGTATCAATGATGGTAAGAGATTTGAATGGGTTTTTCAAAATTTATTAAAGATATTTTCAGGTATATAACTATCTATAAATGTTGAATTTTTAATTTCAGTGATAAGAATTTTCTTGTCTTTAGGGTACTCACTGATTGGCAAACATATCCGTTGGTCTACATAAACAGAGTACGTTTTTATTTAGATTTTAAATACAAACCCAGGAGTTTAATTCATTTTCAAACCATCGCTTTCATTTTCTTCATCCATAGGTTCAAAAAATTTTCAACTTTTACAAAAACAAAATACTGTTTTTGCTTCTGAATGAAGGTAATGTCAAAGTGTCTTTTAAGTGCTTTCAGTTTTAATGTGTGTGCTGTGATGATGATAATTTGTTTAGGTATTATCCAAAGCAATGGCCAGAGTGGTTTCAGTGGGATAGGTGGCGCTAGTGGAGGCAGCATCTGGATTTCTACAAATACACTCCATGGAAATGGTCTTGTACAGGCTAATGGTGGAAAAGGTACTCTATTTACACTTTTGTAGTATATTTCTTTTTACATGATTTAACATATCTGAAGTATCTGTCTTTTTTTTAAGTATCATTTTATTAAAATTTTTATATAATGAAACTTGTTCAGTCCTTTTAAACATAGTCCTCTTTAAAGAATTATTAATGTTTGGGTGCTGGAATAATTTAAATGATGTGTTTTCTTTTCTTCTGTTAAATGATAATTATTTTCATAAAATAATATATTTATATTCAAAGTAGCAATTGTTTTGGTTGTAATTGCAAAAAAGACAAAAAATTGCTTGAAACACCTAAATCCTTATTCAAGTGCAAAACATTTTTAACCATCAGGCAGTACCACAAATGGCGGAGGTGGAAGTGGAGGAAGAATAGCAGTCTACTACAACACCAGCAGTTTCTCAGGACAGTACCAGGCATATGGTGGTGCTGGTGGTGCTGAGTCAGGTGCCGCTGGGACAGTCTATGAAGAGAGAATTTCAGATCAGCTGCCTTTTAGGCGCCTTTGGGTGGACAACAATGGGCAGGTGCCTAATTCAGTAAGTTCATTTCATTCCTTTTGAATTGTATTAATTTTATTCAGTCAAAATGTGGTTATTTTTTATCAATGTTATTTAAAGCTTGAGTCTGTCAATATAATTCAACTGTCTGGTTATTCTTATATGGTTGCCAAAGTGATATCTATTTTTTAGTTTTTAGTTCATGTTCAATTTTATTTTTCATTTTATTATTTTGGACACAGTAGCAACATGTGATAACAAGCTTCTCTATGGGATTGACACGTTGAATTATTCCTTTATCAACTAAAATGCATTTCATAATCTAAAAAAAGATAAGATGTTCATTGTAACTTTTCTTATCTGCAGGACTACATCAAGGACTATGACATAGTCCACTTGGCTGATAGTGGAAGAACCTGGATTACCCAAGTAGTAGACGACAACCAAACCCTGTCTTATAAATTTGATGAAGTGGTCTTAAGAGGTGGTGCCCACCTGGCACTGGACACACCAAATGACCTGTCCAGAGAGTTTGTAGAACATTTAGAAATTGCCAAACTGACCGGGCATGACCATAACACACCAGATAAGTTTGGCACCTTGCTAGTTGGAGTTGGTCAGTCAGTGACCATTCATAAGACCAGTTACTATCTCCCATTCCACCTGTATGTCCACCATACTGGAAGCATCACCTTGCCTCATAGGGTGATGTTTTACAAGACCGACAGTGTCATCAATGGAACTTTCAGTGGAATGAAAAATCTGTCAATCTCCTCTGCCAGCCTCACTCTGGGCCGCGTGGCCAGGTCTCAGTCGTCTGTGACACCAGGAGTGTTTGAGTTCGAGAGGATGGTTATTATGGGAGGTGGCAGCCTGGACGTCATGGTGGACACATATAACAGAGATACCAGGATACAGACTATGTCGCTGGATGTCATGGCTGGTGGAAGATTCAGTGGACAGAGTATCAATGTCACTGCAGTGAATATCACTGTAGCCTCTGGTGCAAGCATTGTCACTGATTATAGGGGGTATAGCCCTGATAGAGGGCCAGGTAAATATATTCCGAGATTTTTTTATATCAACAATTATTAAGCTAGGTCAACATTATTTGAGAAAAAAATAAACAATGTGGAAAAAGAGAACTGGTAAGGCATCTGTGATAAAAAATTTATTGTTTGCAGTGAAAATGTGGGTGTGTGAAAGTGTGTGTTTTGCTTCTCAATAGTTAACAGTTTAGTTAGATGGTTTTGAGTTAGATACAAAGAAATAAATAGACACAGGATCTAACTTCCTACATTTTGCATGTATGTGCTTTCTTACTGTAGTTTTTTGTTTTATGGTTTTGGTGGTGTTTATTTCCTAGGTGCTGGTTATTATGGCAATGGTGGCTGTCATGCTGGCCAAGGCGGGCGTGGCTATGGACAACATGGACACTGTGGCTCATATGGAACATTCCAGCAACCCTCTGAGGACCTGCTGGGCTCTGGTGGCAGTGGGGGGAGAGGGGGTGGTGCTGTAATACTGAAATGTTCTGATCATTTGGAAGTCAGAGGCAGCATCTCAGCAAGGTTAGTATATACATTTCTTTATGTATATTATGTCATGTTGTATGATGTATATGTATAAATATTTCAAGGTGCATACTAGGCTTCATATTTTATTGCACTAATTAAAGAATTAAATGGTTATCTTTATTTCATACTGATATTTAGAGTAATGATTTTAGAATTTCGATAGGCATGGTGATAGTTACCATACCTATTTTGGCGATATATGAGATATCGTTAGTTTCTCATAGTATTAGCTATGTTCTACATTTTTTATGAAGGTACTGGGTATATGGCATGAATGCAGTGTGTATATAGATGTAAAACATAGCTAATATTTCAGAGGTGAGTCATCCAGTGTGTCCAATGGAGGAGGAGGGGCAGGAGGAAGTATCTGGCTGGAGACAAACAGGGCAACTATCACAGGTAAATTATCGGCTTTTGTGTTGTCCTGCAGTGAGAAAAAAAAATACAAACAAAAAAGTAGGGATCAACTATAATTTTGTATTTTTGCAGCATTTTCTCTACCATTTACTTACTTACAAATAGAAAAATAAAGGGCTCAGGAACTAAAAGTCATAATGGAGTTCTATTTTAGAAGTTTCCAGTTGAATTTATGCAACAAAAATCTTGCAAAATACTTGTTCATCTATGTTTAAAAAAATGATACTCTTCATAGGATCACTGGACACAAGTGGAGGATGGGGCCAGGGTAATGGCGGAGGAGGAGGTGGGGGATATATTACAGTGAAGTATTCGCTAGGGACAGCTGTACCTGCCAGCAAGGCACATGGAGGAGGAGGATACTGCAATGGTGCCAGTGGGGTGGAATACATGGAACAGCATGGTACGCTGACCATGGTGGCCAAGGTAGGTTAAAATGGGTTATGAACAGTGGTTTTAAATTTAAGCTTAAATTTGAAAAATTGAAATGATTCAGTATGTCCAATTATAAAGTGTTGATTAATTAACTTTTTAATTTAGAATATTGCTTTCGTAGACATTTGGTTTAATTGCTGTTGTATATCCCCCCCCCCCCAACACACACACATTATGTTATATCTAAAAATAGGTTTTCTTTCCTTTAATTAATTTCAGATAAGTGTTGACCAACCTTTCTCTACATGTGAAGCACACACGATTCCTGGTATAAGACCAGACACCCTTCTTGCAAAAATCAGTGTCTTGGAGCTTAAGGGACAATCAAAAGTCCTTTTCACAGAACGGAGCAAATCTGAACCAAATCTCCAGGTTAATTTAGGAAAGATTGTAGCAGACAATGGTGCTAGTTTGATTATTGGGTCAAAGCAGAACATAATGATAGATGGCAATGCTGGAGGAGATAATTTACACTTGCCTGTAGATGTAGTTGTCAAACAAGAAGGGCTTCTCCAAACCCCAAACAACTTAATCATTGAACAAGGAAGGAAGCTTACACTGTGTGGGGCATTGTTGAAAACTCAGAACGTTCTCTTGCAGTCAGGTGGCCAGTTTGAAGCTGCATACCCTGCAAACACAGGGACAGATGAATCTGAACCAGGGTACCTTCATTTAGCATCCTTGTCCATTGATTACCAGGGTGTTTTGCGTCCAACAGCTACCTGTGGTTTTGCAGACAAGAGGAATATCACCATAGCTGTTTTGAATTACAATGTCATTGAGGGCACCTCTATTGATGAAAACCATTTTTATGTCAGTGCAGGGCAAGAAAACACCATCAACCCATCCAGTGGGTCTTACCCGACCATCATGTGTTCTGCAGTAGAAAGTTTACATTTGTACAGAGGACAGAGATGCAAGCTCGCCACAGGCACTCACACCTATAAAACAATCATAATAGAAAGTGAAGCAGAGATTCAGTTGGAGGGTGATTCAACTGGTCAGGCAAAAACTCACCTCAAAGTTAACAGCCTAGGTATCAAGCCAGGAGGAAAACTGACAGGCATAGGGACCGGTTACACTCAAGGTGGCCCAGGCACTGACCCAGGCACTGGCCTAGGCACTGGTATTGGTGGATCTCATGGCGGGTTTGGATCCCAGGCTTCTAACTCTTCCTTAATCTATGGCTCCTTGATACAGCCTAATTCCTATGGTAGCAGTGGATATGGCAGTGTCAGTGAGGCAGGTTTTGGTGGTGGCCAAATTAATATAACAGCTGATAGGTTGAGCAATGATGGTGTCATAGATATGAGTGGTTCCCATGCTCAGACATTAAGTGGTACTGCAGGAAGCGGTGGCAGCATCTTGGTAAGGACACAGACCTTCAGTGGTGCAGGACAGTTTGTTGCCAAAGGTGGTAATGGTGCTGGAGGAGGAGGAGGAGGAGGAGGAGGAGGTGGAAGAATTGCTGTCTATGTGACTGGAGGAGAAGATCATTTTACTGGTACAATGGATGTATCTGGAGGAGGTTCTGCAACTTCTGGTAAGCTTTTTATTGCCACATTCAGCTTGTTAGCTCAGTGATTATAGCTTTATCATGTCTGACTCACTTGCTATTGAAATGTCATATATGCAAAAGGAAAAATTGCTGTCATTTAAAAATATCTTATACCTTTATTTATGTAATTGAAGTTACTTTTTGTACGTTGTGGATATTTTTCTTTATATTAACTAAAATACATTTTCTTTTAACAATAGGCACAGTTTTCATTGAAACAGAAAAAGCCAAGGGAGCCTACAAACATGTGAAACTACAAGCCAGACATGACACAGAGAGATCATTGCCTTTCCAAAATGATTTTGACATCGACCATGTAGACTTGCTAGAGGTCAGTGGTACAGCCAGCCTGGAAGTCTCATCAGACATTACCATTGGTATGCTCAAAGCAGATGGGAGTGCTGTGTTGAATGTGAAAAGTGGTGCCAGTGTCACCATCAGTGGGCTCTATCATGCACATGGAAGTACTGGGTGCTCATTCTGGGTGGATGATGGAGGCGCGTTAACTCTCTCTGAGAAAATGACAGTGTCCTCATATAAGCAACCTGCAATAAAGATGGCTGGTAGATTGACTGCGCCTTATTTATACTTGTCTGACTTACAACAGCTACAAGTGCTTAACACTGGTGTCATGGTGGTGTCCTCACTGGTGACTGGTGCTGGCGCAGTGATCAGTATAGCCCAAGGTGCTGTGGTCAGGAATGACGAGCACAACTCAAGTGTAAGTGACTTGAGCATTGACTACTTGCAGTTGGGCAGTAGAAGTTCATTATCCGTTGGTTGCAGCAATTGTAGCATACATGCCAATTCCTTATTCCTTGAAGGTGGTGCAGTGGTGACATCTTCAGCTATGACTGCCAGGTTCAGCATCTATGTACATGCACTACATCTAGGCAAGGGAGCAAAAATCCATGCCAATTCCAAGGCACCTTCGTCCACCGACTCCAGCCTTGATGGTGCCAGTTATGGAGGACAAGGAGGGTATCTTAGCCAACCAGGAACCACCTATGGTTCCCTTAAAGAACCAACTGATTTTGGATTAAGTAGGAGTACTGCAAGAGGAGGTGGATACATATTAGTGAATGTGACAGGAACCCTCTCTCTACAAGGCAATATAGAATCCATCGGGGGCAACGGTACCATATCAGGTGGAGCCACATCAGGTGGAGCCAGTGGTGGCACCATATTTATCAGTGCAGCAATCCTGGAAGGACATGGTAGTATCAAGGCTAATGGTGGAACTGGTAGAATAGACGCAACTGGTGGAGGGAGTGGTGGACGTATCGCCATAATGGCTGAACACATGGACAACTTTGTGGGATCCATTACTGCCTATGGTGGCCATGGAATCAGAGGTGGTGCTGCAGGAACAGTGTATATACAGACCAATGAATATGGTATTCCAGTTAATAAGCTGATGGTGAAAAACAGTCACGTAATCACCCAAAGCAGAACCATCATTGATCTGAACAGTCTGGAATCTCGTGCTTTGAGTGAATTCCTGGTAGCTGAAAATGCTCAAGTGGAGATGAAGTCCAATAATGCTGACATAGAAGTAGTTAATCTGAATGGAGATTTGACAGGAGTGATGTATGTCACCCCAGGTCAGGCGCTCACTCTCAGCAGCAAGCAAGGTATTCTACACCCCTACAATCTCCCAGTCAAACTACATGTGGATCAAGGTGGAGAAATACTTCTGCCACCAAAACTTTTTGTGTCAGGAAAACCATCCAGTCAGCTTCCAGACCTAAAAGTGGCTGGTGTCCTTATTGGTGTCCAGGATCTGATTGTTGGTGTCAACTCACATGTGATGTTTGAACCTACAGGTCAGGTAGGCTTTAAGCAGCAAGGGAACACTATAAAGTCCCAGGTGGGGGACCTCACGTTTTCCATCATAGAAGTGAACCCAGGGGGAACTCTGGAGCTCCAGAGCGAAAACTTAATGAAAACTCAACTTTCAACTTTAGTCTCGATAACGGTTCATTATGGAGGAACCCTGAAATCTGGTTCTATGGTGATTACCACCCCTATGTTGACCATAGCAGGCCTGGTCAGTGCTGATGGTCAGGGTCATCTCAGTGGTCAAGGCCCAGGTGCTGGAGGACCCGGTGGTGCAGGTAAGGTTTATTTGTCTGTTTGTGTGCTTGTTTGTAAAGAAATTCTTCAATGTTTACTTGTGTGAATGTGATAATTATATGTATAATAAAAATATTATGAATACTAAATCTGCATATAATTTCCATCTCAATGAATTTAATGGCTTTATATCAATTTATGATAAGCTACATTTGCCATTCATTGTAATAAAATTGACATTTTAGGAGCTAGCCATGGTGGATGTGGTGGAACCAGTGCCAGTGGAGCTTCACCTATTACCTGCTCATATGGTTCCATATATAATGCCACAGAGTATGGAAGTGGTGGTGGAAACGGTTCCGCAGATGCTGGAGGATCAGGCGGAGGTGTCATACACATCATAACAGACTACCTATGGCTGGATGGTACCATCAGTTCCAGTGGTTTGGCTGGGGAAGGTAGTGCTGGTGGAGGAAGTGGTGGCAGTGTAAATGTTGAAACGAGTACCATGACTGGCAATGGCTATCTTCAAGCCATAGGAGGAAATGGTGGGTCTAGTGGCGGTGGTGGTGGTGGTGGAGGAAGGATGTTGCTGGCTGTGGACACACTTTACACTTTTACTGGCACCTATGTTGTACATGGGGGCAGCTCTTCACAAGGGCAAGCTGGTGCATCCGGAACTTTGCTGGAAGTAGTGAAAAATGGCTCCCTAACAACAACCAAGCTTTTCCTTGACAACGGTGGTTTTATGAATGGTCCTGATCAAGGCACCTTGATACAGAGTGAAGATTTAGATGTGTTACTTTTTGACGAAATCCACATTTTGAAGGGTGCTGTGGTGAGTATTAGGAACAACCGACCAAACAGCACCTTGTTACGGACCACTGCTCTCTTCTGTGACACTTCTGGAACAGTTGTCATTGGGGATGACACTGTGTTTGAGCTTGGACAAGACAAAGAAGCCAATATTGAGTGTAGTATACAGATGAGTGATGGGGGAGAAGTCAGGTTGCCCAGCACTGTTGCACTACTTGGACCATCCAATGATCTAAAAGGTACAATCAACATCGTAAATATAGTAAAGTCTTTAAAGTTTCATATTTTTCAATTCTGGATATTAAAGGGACATTACAATTTTATTCATTAAATTTTCCATATGCTTTTAAAAGAAACTGTATTGCTCATAAGTGGTAACCTTTCACCCTGTCTCTTTACTGGTGTTTTAAGGGAGTTCAACATACAACCATTGTCATGCACCCATGTTTTTTTCCTATTATGACCATGGGTATTCATTATGGAGAATTCTGAAACTGATATGTGATTAGAATATTGAAAGATATCATTATAATTTCTGGTCTACAGGCATAATCAGCAATGTGAGAGTTCTAGTTCTTGCTCCTGGTCAGAAAGTGACCCTGGCTCAGACCACTAGAACGGCAATCTATGAAGATGGAAATTACCCCTTCATCACTGACCCAGGCACATACAAGTTTGCTGCAGTTAGGCTGAAACACCATTCTGTAATGAATTTGGACAGTGACGTAAATACTGCTGCAGTTTTAAATGTTGGAACTTTGGATGCTGCATATGGGGCCACCATTAAAGCCTCGCAACTGGAGATCAGTGCCAATGAAATTAGTCTCCATCTTGGAGCTCTGCTGGACCTGAATGGTGGAGGATTTGGGCCAAATCAGGGTCCTGGAGCTGGCCAACAGGTGAACAGATTAGTTATCATTATAGATTTTGTATTTTTAGGCAGGTTAAAGGGAAAGGTTTTACAAAGTGAGCGTGTACTGTGTAATTCTGCTACAGTGGGCATTTTTATTATTGATTTTACTTTTTTGTTTTTCTTTTTTAATATGCATTAAGAGAAAATTGTGCTTTCTGTCATGTCTGTTAATTTAAACAGGACTGAAGTATCTAGTCAGATAACCTGAAAATAATCTGCATGCTACAACAATCAGTATGTCTAAAAATTAACATGACTTCAGCCTAGCTTCAGACGTAGCTTATTGCAATTCTGAAATAATTGCCAGTAGCGTTCATTAATTTATGCCTACTGTTTTTATGTCTTTCCTATTTTTCAGCTTGATGAAAAGACAGTAACTGGTGGAGGTTATGGTGCCAGCGGAGGGTCCTGGCTGCCTGGAACACATGGAGGACCATGGTATGGGTCAACGCGCATGCCTGCACAGCCTGGGAGTGGAGGAGGAAACAGTTCTACAGAGCTGGGTGGGGCAGGAGGCGGCCACCTCAACGTCACTGTGCTGCTGGCGCTTTATCTTGATGGTTTGTTGTGATTTTGTCTTTGAATTGTTTTGATTAAGCTTTTTGTATAACTGTAAACTTTTTTACAGAAAATAATGGAGATTTTTTGAGAATCTTGATAGACCATTTTTCAACAAATGTGTAACTATTTTATAAATTACAAACCTTATATACATTTTCTTATTGTTTTTTTTTTTTTTTTTACATGACAAAAACCTACAATAAATTTAAATGAAATATATAATTAATATGAGAACAATAGCAATTTTTATAGAAATCATATATCTATAAATATAAATGAATTAAAGAAATATTTTAAAATATACATATAGACTCACGTGTATTTAGGAACCATATCTGTGAATGGTGCCTCTGGCAGTGGTGGTTCAGGTGGTGGCAGTGGTGGTGGAATGGTGCTCAAGACACGCCAGCTCCAGGGTCATGGTGCCATCAAGGCTGATGGTGGTGCTGGGAGTAGTGGTGCTGGAGATGGTGCTGGGGGAAGAATTGCTGCGTATGTGGTTGGAAGGTATGGTTTTGTATAGATTCCTCCTGTCATCAAGTTAATACAGTACAAATAAAACTGCCATCAGTGTCTTGATGTCTTAAAGATGCGTTCAAGCACATATGAAATGAAATTATCCAGCAAAATTAAAAAATTAAATGACATTTATTGAAATTTAATTGAAATTCTATGGAGTTTCTAATACAAATGAGAGGTCATACACCCACCCACCCCTTTAATAGGTTTATTGTAGTACTTTGCAATCCAGCTGCTTTCAAAATATCATCCGTGGGAACTATTGCTCTTTCTGCTGCCGACACTGCTGCAGCTTAGGTTGAATGAGCCTTAAATGATTCCTCTACACCTGCTTGGTGCATCAATATCCAAATCCTTCTGGATATTGTATTTTTGAAATGGATGAGAAAGGCTTTCTATAACTCATAAAGAAATTTCTTGTCCATTTCTCAATAGCTTTGTCCTTTTCAAATATTCCTTAACACATCTCCTATCTGGAGGGTACGATTTAAATTGTATAGATATTATACCAATTCCTGGTCTTGTTTGTTTCAAAGTTTCTTAAATTTTAAATAAAACATAGTTTTTGTGAAGTTCTAACTCTTGGAACTTCAATGAATGCATCATTTGTGCTCTCTATGCAGATGTAAGAGACATAAGCATGATCAACTTCATTGTAAGATCTTTCAATGATAACTGCCTTACTGGCGACAGTTTTCTCAAGTAATTCAAAACAACTGATACATACCAGACTTGTTGATATCTGGATGCAGTAGGTCGAGTGTTAAAAACTCCTATCAAAAACCTTACAATCAAAGGATCACTGTTGAAGAACCAATGATAATAAATGTTGATAATGCACATCTAGCAGTGTTTATAGTACTGTAACTTGAGCCATCTTCATAGAGATGTACTAAAAATCTAGTACATTTGCTACAGTTGGTCTATAAAAATCGACCTTCCTTTCTTTTGAAAAAATTCTCCACTTTTTAATATAGACTGAATATTGGTTCTGAGTAGATTTTCTCCATGATTTAAATATGATTTCGATAGCTCTCTCTGAAATTCTATCTGACCTGTGCTGGGCCATATTTTTTCATTTATTGTAATTGACTGCAAACCTTCACAGTTGGAAGGAGTTAAAATTTCCTCAAAAAGTGCTTTAGTTTCTTCTTCCATAGGTTTAGACCTCATGAATGCTGTAATATTGTCAGCTAAGATTGTGTTAATTTCAGGCCCTTTGGGCTCAGATTTTTTAGCTGTTTCAGTCATTTTCTTCAAGACTTTCATTTTTTTTTTCTAGAAGATCTTCTTCAATAATGTTTCTTTTACTTGTATTTGGATTTTTCATTATGGGCAGCGTCTGCCATCTGGACCACTTGGTCTCAATCACGAGCCTCACTAATTACTCTTGAGGATATTCATACCTTACTTCATTTTTAAAATCTTCCATTTGCTTTTGAAGATTATCTTGCATATTCTTCATTGTGCCAGCTATTAATTCTAGTGCTGCACTAATTTTCTGATCCACGGTCGTGGCATTATTGGCACTAGTGGACGCGCTGTTTTCATTTTCCACATTAACGTTACTCTGCGTCAATGTTTGATTCTCTGTTAGAAATTGTGGTGCATCACCACTTTCTTTTGACTTCCCGTTGGAAGATTTTGTGACCATGCAATCTTTTTAACTTTGGGTCTACACTCAACCTTATCTTAATATTCCTGAAGTTTTGTGCTGCTATTTGGCCACATGTGCCATGCTCGCTCGACAAAAAAAGCAGAAGTGAAGATATGTGCAAGTGCACATATGCTCTCGCATAAAACGGGAATCTCGTATGACCTCATTTGTATAGAAATGAAATAGAATTGTGAATGCTTATATAAATACCTTATAGACATAGGGTATTTTCAATGGCAGAGAAGTAGTGCGTACACAGTTTTGTTTGATTTTTTAATACTGCAAAACATGTGTTTGTTATCTTGCACCATACAACAAATGATATAGTGACATTTTGGTCTGGTGACAGGTATACATTTGAGGGTGAAGTGACAGCATATGGAGGTAGTGACAACTCGGACATATCTGGCATGGTAGCTGGCCCAGGCACCATTTACATCCACGAAGACATCAAACCTGTCCCAGCTCACAAATTGTATATCAAGGGGAACTTCAATACAGAAGTACTTTCTCAGACTCAAACTATGATTACTGGCAGCAGTACAGTTGCTTACAATTATGATATGATCAGCATAACATGTAAGTAGTAGTTACTTTATGTTCGAGTCACCTAGTTTACTAATTTTTTGTTTTCATTTTGTTTTCCCTTTCCATGTTTTTGAAGAAGAGATTCAAGTTTTATCAGTAATTTTGCATCCACATATAATATAAATGCCATGCCAAAATGCACATGAATTGTGATTGTTTTTATTCAAGTTGACAATGATTTTTTTTAAATTTCCATCTGTACTAAGGTTTCACCTTTTTTATTATTTCAAATTGGTTTTAATGATATTTTCTGATTATTTCAAGTGGTTGTGAAACATTTAAGAGAAAATCAGGTCTACAATTTCCCAATATTTTCTTCAGCCCATGCTCGAGCCAGAGCTGCAGACAATAGAACAGACATCAGGGTCAAGGACATTGCTGGTGACTACACTGCGTGGTTTGATGTGGAAGGACAGCAGACATTGCATCTGGAGATTATGGAGGGACAAAATCACCATATGGTCACTGATGTTCACTTTCAGGTGGACAGGTCAGCCAAGGTCATCTTCCCTGATGACTTGACTGTGGACACTAAAATCATAGTGGATGGAGGAATAGGTGTGAGGAATATAGAACTACAACAAAATGGAATCTTAGAATTCAAAGAGAATGGCTACACAGGGGTGCAGAATGGTGAAACTTTTGTTAAAACTAGTACAGTTGATGACTACTATTTCTTGTCAATGATTGTGAAGAAAGGGTCTTCATTTATAGTTCCAGCAGGACTGAATCTAGTGGTGGGCAACCTTGACATCAAGAGGCATGTGAAACTCCAATATGACCATATCAATATTACAGCAGAGAAAATGATACTCGATAAATCAGCCTCTCTAAGTGTACTTGGAATGTCTGAGCTTAATGCAACATCTGCCACAGGAGTTTGCAATGTTGTAGGTGGCGCTTATGCAAGTCCTGGTGGTGTCAACTCTGGAAACGTTGCAGATGCAGCTGTACCCTACGGCTCACTTTACACACCAGATAAACCAGGCACAAGAGGAGGTTGCTTCGGCAGCAAGGGAGGATCCTTTATAAAAGTCATCGCTAATCAATTGACAGTTAATGGCGACTTCATAGCAGAAGGTGCTGACAGTGAAACTGCTGGTGCTGGCAGTGGTGGTGGCATATGGCTGAACGCAAAGCAATTTGATGGAATAGGTCATCTTTCAGCTAATGGCGGGAATTCAGAAAAGGGAGCTGGTAGCGGTGGACGTATAGCTGTTTACTTGCAGAATGAGAGCAGGTACACTGGGACAATGTCTGCTTCTGGAGGGCAAGGTAGAGGGAGCTCCGCAACTAGTTTCGGAGGTCCTGGTACAATATATACCCAGCAACCCAAAGATAACAGCACTATCACAAGTCTAAGAATAGACAACTCCAACATGCAGACAGCCTTCTACCATACTCTGGATGAGGCTAGTCTTGATCTTGAGTTTGATGAATTACACATTTCCAATTTTCTATCACTTCAAATGAAGGATGATGACCAGGCCAGAAGTCTCAATATCAAGAAGCTGATAGGAGATAACACTGCCCTGGTGCACATCCGTAATGAACAGAGAGTGATATTTGAAAGGCAGATAGGAGAGAATGAAACCAGTACAAAGACTCCTGTTAGCATAAGGGTTGATGAAGGTGGAGAAGCAGTGATGGCAGAAACAACACAGATCATAGGCCAACGATCTCCAGCCCTACACCTGGATGGAAAGCTGGTGGGAGTCCTCCATCTTATAGTTGGCCAAAACAGAAAAGTTTATCTAACCAAAACAGCTCAAAGTGCTTTGATCACATCTGATGGATCACTCGCTGACCTCAGTGATACTGGCACCATTTCTGTGGCAGTCCTCAATATGTATCCAGGATCCACATTTGAGTTTCAGCCAAACATGGGGGCCAGATTTGATATAGGAGACATCAATGTTAAGTATGGTGGAAGAGTCCTGGCAGACTTCTTCAATATATCCTCTACATTGGTCCATCTTGAGGTGGGGGCTGCACTTTCAGCTTCAGCAGAAGACAGGTCAACTTCTTCGACACTAGATGTCACTCTAGGCACTGGTTCAATCAATACTGGTGCTGGGCATGGTAGCTTTGGAGGACGGTATAGTAACACAGATGGTGGCACTTATTATGGAACCATTTATCTTCCAGCATCGCCAGGTAGCCGGGGTGGAGATGGGGATATCAAAACTGCTGGAAGGGGTGGCGGTGTGATTTATCTGGATCTAGGAGTGGATCTGATACTGGATGGGTCTCTCACTGTATCCGGAGGGAGTTCTGCAGCAGGTGGGGGGAGTGGTGGTAGCATCTTGGTCAAGTGCAGAGAGGTAGATGGCTTTGGCAAAATGGATGCCAATGGAGGTTCCAGTGGACGAGGCGGTGGTGCTGGGGGCAGGATAGCTGTATATACTGATCACATGGACAAATTTGAAGGTGTTTTCACTTTCTTTGGTGGCAGTGGTGGAAATGCAGATGGAGCAGGAGGAAGTGGAACAGTTTACATCCAAGAAATAAGAAACAGTTTTCCATACACCAAGCTGATGATAGACAACAGAAACAGACCAATCTCTAAGTATGTCACCTTGGATGAATTAGACCAGGATCACTATGAGTTTGATGAGGTACATATTCCCCATCAGTCATCCCTTCATGTTGCCTCTGGAAAGTCCAATGCCAGCTTGACTATACACACATTGAATGGAGACAGGACAGGTCTGTTACATGGGCATTCTGGTCAGAAATTGTTCATAGAATACAATGAGCAGGAAAGCAATGTCTTCAGGGCCAAGGCAAACTTCTTCTTGGATAAGGACTCAGAACTCATGGGAGCTTTTACCATGGTAGTCATTGGAGCTGGTGTAAAAGTACCAGGCACAGAGAGAGTGGTTTCCATTGATACCAACGGCATTATCTTAAATGTGGAAAACCTGATAGTTTCACAGTATTCACATGTGTTTGTTGGGAATGATGCCCACACAGCTGCTTACAGAAACAGGACATATTTCAATGTCAACAAACCAGGAGAATTTACATTTGCATCCCTTGAACTTCAGAGTAATGCAACTTTCAAACTTGCACCAGACTTGAATTTAAAAACTGAAATAGGTCAGATAGACTTAAAATATGGGTCAGTGCTCTCAGCAGAAAGTATGTCACTACTGTGTAGCAAATTAAATGTGGAGACAGGTGCGACCCTGACTGTGGCTTCCCAAGACAGGCCAGAGGATACCCTAGATTCTGAAGTGGGTGCAGGCACAGGTGGCAGTGGAGCTGGTCATGCCAGCCTTGGAGGTGGGACACAAGGTGGGAGTTACTACGGTACCTTGTACAGGCCCACAGAACGTGGTTCTAGTGGGGGAGGCAAAGGAGGTGGTGCCATCTATATGGACATAGCAACAATCCTGCACAATGATGGTACAATCACAGCTAGTGGGCAGGATGGTTCCACTGCCAGTTCTGAAGGCGGTGGAAGTGGTGGCTCTGTTTGGATCAACACTCTGGAACTCAACGGGCATGGTGCCTTTGTCAATGCAGGTGGCAGTGGGATTGGTGGTGGCTCTGGAGGCAGAATAGCCATATACACATCTACCAAGAACACATTTGAAGGCAGTTACATTGCCCATGGAGGAAGTGGGTCATCTTCATCCCAGCATGGTGGACCTGGGTCACTTTACCTGCAGGATATCAGGGAGGGCCGCAACTATTCCCAACTGCTACTTGATAATGATAACAGAGGATGGGTCCAGGACTACACCTTGGATGAAGCAGACACATACGCATACATATTTGATGAAATACACCTTACAAAGCAAGCTTCAATTCAAATGCCAGATGATGGAAAGAGCAGGAATGTCACAGCACACAAAGTCGGTGGTGATTTGACAGGCAGAATTCTCATCCATGCCAACCAGTCTTATTACCTAGAAGTGATTGAGTCCAAGACATCATCAAGTAAAACCCAAGCCAATATCTGGATTGATGAAGGTGGTGAGGCAGTGCTCCCTACCATGGCATACATTATAGGCAAAGGGGAGACAGCTCTGAAGTGGTATGGTGGCTTGGTTGGTGTACATCATCTCCGGATAGCACCTGGAAGGAAAGTGATGGTGGGACCCAAGGCACACAGTGCAGTGGTTGTGGATGGGACACTGTATGCAGAGTTACCTGGGACATTCAGGTTTGCCAGTCTGGAGTTTGGTTCAGGATCCAGTGTGGCCTTCCCTCCTCCTATGGGGATTAGGTTTACTGTTGGATTCTTGGTAAGACCATGAGCTTTCTAAATTCACACTGCACAGTATTCACTTTGATACGAATACAAGTACTGGTTTCATAACTGTAATGAAGTTTTAACGGGTTCACAATTATTGAAGAAATAATATACTGTACTATATTTGTGAAAAAAAGATAGGAATATACTGATGTCAATTCATAAGATATCATCACTTTAGAAATAAAATAAAGGTCAGAAACTTTCAAGAGCGTACACTTAATCTTAAAAATATTAGTACAACCTAAAGAAATTTGTATTTTTTTCCAGGATATGAAATATTCCTGCAGCTTCAGTGCTGAGTATTTTGAGGTGTTTGCCACCGACATGTTCCTTGAACCTGGGTCAACCTTACTTTGTAAAGGCAGAGGTCCAGAGGATGGAGGTCCAGGGAGAGGGATGAGGCCTGGAACTGGGGGTGGCTATGCATCTACTGGAGGAAGTGGTAAGTAAACATGTCAGCCTCTTTAATAAGAAGCACTCTTGTGACTACCATAACTCTTCTATATGAAGGTGATAAAATATCATTTTAATGATATCACAATCTAGATAAGATCTATTAAGCTTACTTTAAATTTGTTCTACAAGCTTTACTTGATGTATAATGTGGTTAAAAGTATATATACCCCACTTTATGTACTAACTATACATATTATATTTCTTTTTAAGAAATGGTCATCTGGCCAAATATGATTGTAAATATTATATAAGCTGGTATTTATTGTAGACACCTCACAGCAACCTGGAGGAGATCCATATGGCTCTCTGTATCAGCCAACACTGGCTGGTAGTTCTGGAGGCACTGGCAGTGGTGGCAGTCAGGGAGGCAGGGGTGGTGGTCGTACAAGACTGGTGGTAGGGGGAATATTCCTCATGGATGGCATAGTGAATGTGGACGGTGAAGATGGCAGGCAGAATAGTGGTGGAGGAAGTGGTGGTGCTTCATGGATAACAGCAGGTATTATTCAGTTATTTAAAATTTGTTATCCCGATATTATCCAACTTGCAGGATCTTTTATTGATGATTTACTGCCCTTTGTTGTGATATTATACACTTGACCAAACATTTTTGGAAACAAATTACTTTTACAGTAATTAAAAAAACATGTAATATAGCAGGAAAATCCTCAGTGTGTTATTATCCATCAATATTTGGTGAATACTTTTACCTTAGCTCATATGGTTATTTTATAATTATCCAAAATATCTATGTTTCTAAACTTTTTTGGTTGAATTTATATAAAAAGACTAGTTTTTGTCAAAGAAAGAGGTGTACCTTGACAATCTCTGGTTGGTTAATCTGCAACATGGTTGTTTTGATATCAACAACCTAACTTTTTTCCGCTCAGCACATTTAGCAATGACTTTATCTTTGAAACAATAAATGAGTGTCTTTATATTTCAGGTCATTTCCGAGGCCATGGTACAGTGTCAGCTATGGGAGGCCAGGGTAACAACAGGGCTGGAGGTGGCTCTGGAGGAAGAATATTAGTCCATACATTTGACGCACATGAATATCGTGGCTCTCTCAGAGCACTCGGACGCGGTGGCACAAGTGGGGGTGCATATGGTGGCACAGGAACGGTGTATCTGGAAGACTGGAGAAGTGGAACCTGGTATAGAAGACTGTATCTAGACAACCAGAATATTGTACCAGCGCAAACCTTTGTACTGAATGAGACCAACCCCAGAGAAGATAGGGAGGACATGGGCGATGAGTACAATGTGAAAGCAGACTTCACCTTTGATGAAATGATGCTACAAAACAAAGTTAGTGTCACAATTACAAATCAAATATTTTTTATTTAAAATATGACTGATCAAGGACTTTTGTTTCATCCTTTCATTTTGAATAACATTGAGAAAAGATACGAAGGACACAAATACTTTAAATGCATGAAAGGACAAACACTACACTTTACCATACAAAACAGCAGTGGCCCAACTGCATTATAGTTATAGTTACAGGAAATGAGATTATGGTACAATAAAATATGATCCATAGTATATACAATGTTGCAAGATGGGGCTCGTAACAAATATTACAGCATGTACTACTTTTAATGATGTAGAATTTAAATTAATTCGATTTCTGTAGAAACAAGCTGAGTAGTTTTAAAGTTCCATAGTAAGCAAAAAACTGTAAAGATTCAATTAGTCTAAATTTGGGTTATGCTTTTATTGTGCTTAGTCACAAAGTCTATTCAAATGCAAAAGATGTAAGTTATTTCTGAGGATAAACATTGGCAAAATGATAACAACCACCCATGAGGGCACAAATAAAATGATATGAACAATTAAATTTCTCATTTAAACGTATATCTGAATAATTTCATGTGCATTACTATTTGCAGATCATCCTGGAAATTGCCTATCTAGGAAAACAGTCAAGCAGCATAGCAATACATAAGATACTAGGCGATGGCAGTTCAACAATCCACGTCAGAGAAAGGCAGAAGTTCTTCATGGAATATTCAGAGTTTGTTGATATCCGTTCCTCACCACCAGTCAATTACATAGTTGACTACAAGGGGGAGCTGCTGCTTCCTGCAGACTTCAGAGTTAGCGGTGACAACAATCCTGCTTTGATATTGAATGGTTTATTGGCTGGAGTGCAGAACCTGAGCCTAGCAGAGGGGAAAGCTATGACCATGGGACCCAGTGCATCCAGTGCCTTACTCAAAGATGGGGTGTACAATCAAGTGTCTGATCCAGGTGGGCTTTTTAAATTTATTTTTAGAAATGTATACTGAAAGAGAAACCAACAAATGTTCTTGAAACATATTTTATATATATATAGATACTATAGTTATTTTTGATAACTATAATTATATCAGAATATATATTTTTTCATTTGCAACTTTGATTAAAAATTTTCATGTGTATCTTAAAAGATTAACTTTATCACTCTTTTGTTTCAAGGACATCTGACACTAAGCCACCTGAAACTTGAAGCCAGGGCCTCGATCATCAACACAGTGAATGTCCAGATAGAATCTTCAGATGTCACAATGAGATACCAGTCCAAGGTGACAGCTCCCAGTATTGTGTTTAAGGTCAGCAATCTGAATCTGGAGGGGGAGGCAAGGCTTGATGTCTCTGGCAGGGGACCCCACACAGGGCAAGGCAACAGCCCTGGAATACTGGACGCACAGAACTTTGGTACAGGAGGAGGGCATGGAGGATTTGGAGGAGGGGCAGATGTTGTAAACTATACTGCTAGTAAGTTCTTACAGTTAATGCAGTATTTTATTTTGAATATTTTGGAAAAGTTGTACTTCTTAGTAATGATATTTTGTGAAGTTTTGTATGACATTTCTCCACCTAGATTTGCTGAAAATTAATTCACTGGGTGCATAGTTCAGCCAACTTGTTTGCTAATTTAGAAAACTATTTTGTATGCTTAATTTTCATGTAACTTTTAACATACTTAATATTAATATAGCAGTCAGTGTACCAATAATATTTATAAGTTTGCTCTATGCTGTGGAATTACATAACTTTTTATCTGCTCTTAGGTACAGCATATGGATCATACATTGTCCCTGTTCACCCAGGCAGTGGTGGTGGGGGTTCCAATGGTGGTGCAGGTGGTGGTACCATTGCTCTGTATGTGGGCTGGTCACTTCATGTAGATGGTATTCTGGAGGGCAGAGGGGGAAATGCTGGTGCAGGCAGTAGTGGGGGAGGCAGTGGTGGCAGTGTCTATGTATCCACAGTCCTGTTCTCTGGACATGGAACTCTGTCCACAGAGGGCGGACATGGGTCTGGGCATGGGTATGGAGGATCAGGAGGAAGAATTGGCGTCCATGTTGCCTGGCTGAGAGAGTTTTCTGGCTCTTACATAGCCTATGGTGGCATTGCTCCTGATAGTGGTAGCACCTGTAACACCCGTGACAAAAACGGAGCCTCAGGAACAATATACTATACTGACACCAATCGAGGTCTTACCTATAGAAAGGCTATTAAGACCTCTGATAATTCAACCCTGTGGGAGGATGCCCATACTGAGATAATCCTGGATAATGTCAATAGAAATTGCAAGTTACCAACCGTGATTATGAATGAAGAAGGAAATCATTTTGAGTTTGGGGAACTAGTGTTGGATAACCATGTGGTTCTGGAAATGCATGGAGGAAACAGTACTCTAATAGCCCATAAATTTAGAGGAGACAGAACAGGACAGGTGCATCTGAGGAATGGGCAGAAGATGTATGTTGAATATGTGGAGTCAGAGACTGGTTACACCATTGCTCCAGTCAGTTACAGGGTGGACCGAGGTGCCACTATCATAGTTCCTAGTACTCTGGTTATGCTTGGTACTCGAACCATCATGGCTGGATTGCTTGTTGGTGTCCATGATCTTATAATGGCTGAAGGTGCTACCTCAGTTTTCATGTCTACATCCCAAACAGCCCTGATTTCCAACAATACATATTTTGATATAACCAAGGCAGGAAATCTCAGTTTCAGTAGTGTTATAGTACAGAGAGGCTCCCTTCTTGAGTTGAGAAATATTACTGATGACTTATATCTCACCGTCATCTTCCTCAATATCAAATTTGAAGGACAAGTTGACATCAATCATGGTGTTATTGTATCCACTACAGGCAATATAGAAAGTTTGGGTGTCTTGAACCTGAACTACACAGGGTATCCTGGGCAGATGGGATCTGGCAAAGGATCTACCTCAACAGATGGGTTTAATATAGGGTTTGGTGGAGCACATGGTGGGCATGGTGGAGCACATTGGCCATATACAGGAGGTATTCCTCATAATAATGTGTACAGACCTAGGGATCTCGGAAGTGGTGGAGGCCATGGTGGTAATAATGGAATCGGGGGCAGAGGAGGAGGAATGCTCTATTGGCTGAATGGAGAAGTCTTAACAATAGATGGCACCTTGACGCTACAAGGTGGTAATGGAGAAGGGATCAATGCTGGCGGTGGGAGTGGTGGAAGTCTCCTCATTGATACGCTGAATTTCACAGGCTATGGAGAACTGAATGTGAATGGAGGAGCAGGTTCTCCGGCCACATCCAGGTCCTCTGACAAGTACTATGGTGGAGGTGGTGGCAGTGGAGGTAGAATAGCTGTTCTGGTCAGGTTTGCCCATAAATATGCTGGAGAGTTCAAATCAGTTGGAGGGCGAGGATCTGGAAATATCCCACATGGTGCTGCTGGTACAGTATATAAAGAAGAGACCAACAGAGGACCTCAGTATGCTGATATCAAGTACGATAAGTCGACTAACAAGACCTATACCACAGCAACACATACCTACCTACAGGCTGACAATGAAGACCTGAATGCAGAATTCTATCAGCAACATGAAGAACCATGGCTGTACACAACATTGATGGCTGGAGGGAAGACGGCTTATGAATTTGATGAGGTGCATCTTACAAGACATGCAAATCTCCTTATAGATTATCCATACAACTCTTCATTTGTGAATATCTCAATTCACAAATTCCTTGGTGACAGAACAGGACTGGTTCATGTGAGGAAAGACCAAGTACTGATTGTAGAGTTTGAAGAATCCAAGACAAACCAAACCTTTGCCCCATGTAGTTATCGCATTGATGGAGATGCTGAAATAATTTTACCAGAAATTGCATACATTGTTGGAACAAGAACACTGTTAGCTGGTAGAATTACTGGAGTTCAGGATCTGTACATATCTGGAGGAGGAGATGTTATCTTTCACTCCACAGCCCAGACAGCACTATTAGCCAACGGCTCCTATACTAGTATCACACCTAAGGGCAATTTCACATTTTCCACTTTTACTGTTGAAAGAAACTCCAAGGGCAACTTCACAAATGTCACATTACCAATGAGTGTTTCTGTAGCAGAGTTCAGAGTCAAGTACCAAGGTGAATTACTTATGAACAGAGCAGATCTGTTTTCTACGTATGCCTGGGTTGAAAGTCAAGGTGTATTCCATTTGGACGGTACAGGACATTTGGCAGAGGAAGGCCCTGGAGCTGGCTTTACAGTTGGAGGCTTTGGGACAGGAGCAGGGCATGGTGGTGAAGGGGGCGGATCTTACCCACCATATGGAGGGACACCCTATGACTCTGTCTACAGGTCGGTGGAACTTGGTAGTGGTGGTGGAAATGGAAGAGGAACAGGAGGCCGAGGTGGTGGACTACTGTATTGGGAGATTGGGGAGAAACTGGAACTTCATGGAGTGCTTTCTGCTAGAGGGCAAGATGGTCAGGGAATTAATGCTGGTGGGGGTAGTGGAGGCGCAATCTTCATACGTACTACAAATATGACAGGCCATGGGGAGATTGCTGTCAATGGTGGTGCTGGCAGTGGTACCATAGGATGTGGTGGTGCTGGTGGCCGTGTAGCAATACATTGCCGCTGGAGGTACCAATATGGCGGACGTTTTACAGACTATGGAGGCTATGGAGGTTCTTCAGCAACTTTATCTCATGGCGCTGCAGCAGGTACAATCTACAAGGAGGAAAATTTAAGAGAGCTTGAATATAGACATAAAAAGTATGACAAGTTCCTGAATACCACTTTCCTGGCCGTGGATCATACCTATGTTCACATTGACAATGATGGAAGGGCTGTCCCAGCTGCAACTGTTATGATGGAAGAAGGAAGGACAGAATATGAATTTGATGAAATGGAACTTACTGGGTACTCAAGGCTGTTGTTTTACCACCCATCAGAAGATGCCCAGGTCAATGTCACAGTCCATGCCTTCATTGGGGATAAAACTGGACAAGCACATCTGAGGAATAATCAGACCATCTGGGTAGAGGTAGTAGAATCAGTAACTAACAAGACAGAAGCGCCATGTAGTTATATCATTGACCAGGGAGCAGAAATCATACTGCCTGCAGAGTTCCATGTGCACGGAACCAACAGCACTTTAGCTGGCAGAATAACTGGCGTGAGAAGTTTGTATATTGAGTCTGGTGCATGGGTAGAATTCTACTCCACAGCTCAGACAGCCATTCTGGAAAATAACACCTATATCGAAATTACACAACCAGGCAATTTCAGTTTCCCAGTTTTCCAAGTCAAGAGAGGTGGTACTGGTGGATTCTGGAAGATCAACACAACCTTGAGTGTCCATTCCTCAGTCCTTCATGTTAAATACCAAGGTGAGCTGTACATGAACCATGCAGAGCTTTTCACTTCATATGCCTTTATAGAAAGTCAGGGAACTTTCCACTGTGATGCAAGAGGGCACCCAGCAGAAATGGGAATAGGTGCTGGGTTTAGACACAGCAACATAGGATATGGTGCCTCTCATGGTGGTCAAGGAGGTGGGTCAGCTGTTTACATGGTGACCAATCCATATGATTCAGTGTTTATCCCCACAGAGCTAGGCAGTGGTGGTGGTAGTGGATATGGTGGAACAGGTGGGACTGGTGGTGGATTACTCATCTGGAACAATGCACATTACCTTGAAATGAATGGCCTACTAGCTCTACGAGGAGGGAATGCGACTGGTGTCAACTCTGGTGGAGGGAGTGGTGGAAGTGTCGTTATCAAAACCACAAATATGACTGGACACGGACAGATAAACGTGAGAGGAGGAGATGGGACTGATCAAGGCGGGGGTGGTGCTGGTGGGCGTATTGCAGTACACTGTAGGTGGCACTATACATACGGTGGTGAATTTATCAACAGGGGAGGCCTAGGAGAGGGCAATAATCTTGCCCTTGGTGCTGCTGCTGGTTCAACATATGTGGAAGAAAACTTGAGACCACTACAGTACAGAGTGCTCAAGTATATGAAGGAGCTGAATACAACATTCCTTGAAGTTGACCACAAGTATGTTCATGTGGACAATGAAGGCCTGTTGGTTCCTGTTGCTAGTATGCTCATGGAGAATGAAACCAAATACTATGAGCTGGATGAACTTGAGCTCACAGGACATTCCCGTCTAATTATATACCATCCCAACAACTCTGAAGTGGAGATGGTTGTGCACAGGTTTATCGGAGACAAAACTGGAAGACTGCATTTGAGAGAAAATCAGAAAGTTTACGTTGAAGTGGTAGAATCTGTCACCAATGTTACAGAGGCCCCTTGCAGTTATGTCATTGACCAAGGAGCAGAGGTCATCTTCCCTGCTGTTGTCCATCTCCATGGTATCAATACTGACCTGGCTGGAATGGTCACTGGTGTCCACGATCTTTTTGTAGAAGACCAAGCCATAGTTGATTTCTACTCCACCGCACAGACTGCCTTGACTGAAAATGGAACTTACATTGACATCACAAAACCTGGAAATATTACATTCCCTTTGCTGACAGTGAAGAAGGGTGGGGAGTTGAATTTTAGAAGAAACTTAAATGACCTGACTGTGACTTCAGCTTTGTTGGAAATAAAGTACCAAGGGGTTATGACTATGAACCATGGGACAGTTGATGTTGGGGATGCAGACTTGGAATCTCAGGCCATCATTGATGTGTCAAAGTCTGGTCACCCTGCGGAGACAGGACCTGGGGCTGGCACCACAATCAACAACAGGTATTAATATTTCGGTCATGATGTAATGTTTTTTAATGATGATGACAAATTATGATGGTAATGATATAGCATATATTGTTTCTGTCAAATGCTTCAGAGGTCATGAGTTTTTAATGCAGTAAAAGATTTCAGGAATTTGTAATTAGCATTTTGGCTGTTAAAAATTGTAGGGAAAAAGTGTAATTGTTATATATGTTGTGCTAAAGAAGTATTTTATTATCATCATCAGAGGCTCTGGAGGGAGTTATGGAGGAAAAGGTGGCTATACAAATACTATAAGCACAGAAGTGGCATATGGATCTGTATTCACACCCAGAGTCTTTGGCAGTGGGGGTGGAAATGGGAGATACGGTCAAGGTGGAACAGGAGGTGGATTTGTCAACCTGAAGGTTGGAAGAACTCTCCATCTCAACGGCATGCTGGATGCTAGAGGTGGCAACGCCAAAGCAAATGGAGGTGGTGGAGGAAGTGGCGGCAGTGTATTGGTGGAAACCACTAACATCACTGGGCATGGAGTGATAGATGCCAGTGGTGGCAGTGGGACTGGAGATGGGGGAGGAGGGGCTGGTGGAAGAATTGCTCTCCATGTTGACTACCAGATGAACTACGGAGGAAAATTCATCAGTTATGGTGGACGAGGTGGACCATCTTCCACCCATTCTGTTAGTGATGGTGGTCCAGGCACGTTTTACATGTATGAATCAAGAAGAGGACCAGAATATAGAGAGCTGAAGTACAATCCTCGCCTCAATGTTACGACCCTTGACCCAGAGAGAACCAGACTGAGAATTGACAATGGAGAATTGCGGGTCGATCATCCTGCAGTTGTTATGGAAAATGCCACTATATTTTATGAGTTTGACGAAGTCCAGGTGCGTGGGTATTGTTATGTACAGTTCTACCACCCAACAGGAGTTCACAATGTAACCGTTGTCATCCATGAGCTGTTAGGAAATAAGAAAGGTCTAATCAGAGTACAGAGTAGACAGAGAGTGATAGTCCACTTTGTTGAGTCAACACACACATACCTAGATGCTCCTTGTGGTGTCCATGTTGATGATGGTGGGGAAGTCATCTTTCCAACAACTACCATACTTCGAACAGAAAGGGCAATCTTGGAGGGACGGATGATTGGCATTGAAGAACTAATCATTCATGGACCTGGCAGTGAATTTACTCTGATAAACCAAGGCCATACTGCTGAAGTTCCAGCAGAGGTTGATTGGTACACTGAAGACTTCACAGATGATGCAACACCAGGAGTGGTGAGGATAGGGAGAGTGGTACTCAGTGACGGAGGCAGGATGGTCTTTCAGGCACCAAATAGGAGTGTGGTACCAACAGTGCAGCTATCAGAGCTGATTGTGAAATCTAGAAGTTCTGTAAGCCTAGAGTCTTGGTATGCCAATATTACAGTCACATCCCTGGATGTAGAAAAGCTAGCTGAGATCACGGGTGAAGGCTTTGGGTATCCAAGGAATTCAGGACCTGGAAGAGGAACAGGATCAGGTTATTCCAGCTCTGGAGCTGGACATGCCTCTACTGGTTGGTCATTTTCTGTTTTTTATCAGTGTTTTTTTAAAGAAAAATAAACATTGTTTGGGATAAATTTTAAATTAAAGCTTCTTTTAATTGAGTAAAATAACACATTTCTCCTATTAGTAACAAGTATTTTAAGAGGAGGGTAATAGACATTAGATTGCATTGTTATGATAAATGATTATTTAAATATTTCTTAAACTGTTTGGCTAAAAATGCACATTAATTGTTATATTTCACAGGAGGCAAGGGCTACACAGCATACGCAGGTGGCTCTCCCTATGGTGCGTTGCACAAACCAAGTAAACCAGGCAGTGGTGGAGGGTACCCCTATGGAGGCGGTGGTGGATCACACCTCTATCTTTTTGCTGCAAGGGTAAGTTTTACAATTAAGCTATAAAACAGCTTAGTTGAATTTATTTCAATAAACACATTATCAATAAACAATTTGAAAATTGGTTTCTTAGGTCTAAGTATGTAAATTAATGATGGCTCAAGTTCATTTCCGTCTGTTAAAACCAGAAGGAATTCATAATAGCAGATTTAGAGTTAAGTGAAGAGATGGACCTTATAAAACTGATCTATGACATCACTGTAAGCTTTATTTGAATTGAAATGTTTCTCACCATTTCTGTCATCTGATATTTATATAACGACAGTTGTAGATCATGATACACTTACATTTCAGCGTCTCACTGTCAATGGCCATATAAGTGTCAATGGTGGCTCAGTGCCATCCAGAAGAGTAGGAGGTGGAGGCAGTGGTGGTTCGGCCATTATTTACACAGCAGATCTCACTGGTTATGGCCTGGTGTCTTCAGATGGCGGAAGCACAGATGGGTATTGGCATGTTAGTGGTGGTACTTATGCTGGTAAGTATCTTTGCCCATGCATTTAGACTGTCAAATGCACACACATATATTTTGCACTGTGGGATTGAATGCCAAAAATGTTTTTACATGTTATTGAGAGAGTAACTGTGTGGTATCAAAAATACTAGAGTGCAAATTATGAAAATCTAATATAATAATTTATACATGGTATAACCAAAATAAACAGCTCCTTGATTTTTATGCTTTTATTTTAATACACAGTAACATTCCAAAGCTTATGTACCTTTACAAAAATTCAAATCAACTGTCAAACTGTTATACATATACATAGATGTACATGTTACTAATACTTTTCATGTATAATTTCCACAGGTAGTGGAGGAGGTTCAGGGGGATATTTGGTCATTAACCTACTCAACAGCACCCTGGCCTTCAAGGGCACCCTTCAGGCACTAGGTGGTGTTGCAAGAGGAGACCCATCCAGTAACAAAAACCAACATGGATCTCCAGGAACTGTACTAATCAGAGAAATAACTGGGAATGATATGTACCAGCGTCTCCATGTGGCAGATAGGAATAGGGGAAATCTGAATGCATGTACTTTCCCAGTACATGTAGAAGAAATGGATGGCCAGAGAATTGATGTTATTGAGCTAAAAGACAGGGCTTGCATTTTGGTACCCTCAGTAAGTTTTTTTTTTTTACACAGTGTAGGTCAATATCATTTTTTGCAGATTGAGTATTTGAAAGTAATCTTTGTTTTTTCTCATGTGAGAATCATTTTTATTTCAGATCACAGCGTATCTTTTTTTCTCATGTGACAATGATTTTTATTTCAGATCACAACAATTGCTTCTTCTCATGTGACAATGATTTTTATTTCAGATCACAACAGTCTTCTTAACTGGAGATGGCACAGGACTCCTGGTAGTGCCAAACAGCAAAACTCTGATCATTGATCATGGCACTGTAGCTCAGCCCAATGTAAATATAAGAGTAGACATCATTGGAGAGATTGTAGTACCAAGAGAATTTACCATCCTAAGATACTTTACCTTAGCAGGAGGAATGTATGGGGTGGAAGATTTCAGAATTCGAGGAAAAGCTATGTTGAATCACTACAGCTATACCACATGTAGGAATTGCTCTGAGGGAAGTACAGAAAGAGGGCAGCACTGGTATTCCACTCTCACAGTGCTGGCTGATGGAAACCTGGACATTCTAGACCATAACACGAGATACATTGACAATGCTATGCAGATTCGACTGAAAACCTTTGATGTTGATTACACTGGAAGAGTGACAATTGGAGATGCTCTGCGTATCTACCCAATGTTGTTCAAGGCTGAAAAGAGAGCCATCATCACAGCAGACCATTCAGGGTACCCTGGCACCCAAGGAGAGGGTGCTGGTAGTTCCTGTGGCAACTGTGGTGGTGGTGGTGCTGGACATGGCGGTATAGGTGGCCAGGGTGCACGTGGTTCTTGCTCTAGCTGCTCTTCCTGTTCATCATCGACAAAATGCAGTCATGGAATAAAGTATGATGATCCTTGTATGCCAAGTATTGTTGGAAGTGGTGGGGGAAGTTGTAGTCATGGAGGTGGTGGATCAGGCGGTGGTGCTATGAAAGTCATCGCAAGTAGACTGCTGGTAGCAGAAGGCTCCTTTACATCCAAAGGTTTAACAGCAAGTAATGGTGGTGGAGGAGGAAGTGGAGGCTCTATATGGCTAGACAGCAGATTCATCGAAGGATGGGGCAATGTTCATGCTGATGGAGGTAATGGTGCCAGTGACTGTAATCGTTGTTATTATTATTATGAAAGCTGGTGTTGTTGCTATCACTATGGTGCTGGGGCAGGTGGAGGTCTCATCAGGACTTATGCTGTACACAACATGCAGAAAGTTGTGAAGAATCAAAGGTATGCCCCTGGTGGTATTGGCACCCACAACAACAATGGTGCCAGTGGCTTAATAAATACCTGTGCAGCCAGCCAAGCTTGTGGTAACCATGGCACTTGGAACCTTACATCTGAATCCTGTGATTGCATCAGTGGCTATATTGGGGACTCTTGTCAGTACAAGTGTGATGCTTTCACAACGTGCAATGGCAATGGAGAATGTAATGATCACGGACAATGCGATTGCAATGCAGGTTATGTAGGGTATCGCTGTGAGCACCAGTGCGATCCCAACACCACATGTTCTGGTCATGGCATTTGTAGCCTGTATGGCTTCTGCATTTGTGATTCATGCTACCATGGCACCAACTGCTCGATGAAGTGCAGTGAACATGGCCAGTGTGTCAATGGCTACTGTAGCTGTGACAGTTGTCATATTGGGACATATTGTGAGTCTGAATGTAATAACCATGGGACCTGTAGCAGTAATAACAATACCGAGTGTTATTGTGAAAGTGGCTGGCGTGGAAAGAGGTGTACCACAAGAGGATGTCCTGGAGAAGGAGAGGACTGTAGTGGACATGGACTGTGTAATGCTGCCCTGCAGGTGTGCTACTGTAACCCAGGCTGGAGAGGTGAGAAAATCTAGAGAAAAGAAACTGTCTTGCACTTTAATAAAGAGTAACATTAGAGAAAAAAAACGGGTTTTAAGTTTTGTAATGGATCTTATAAATGCTTGTTGCTTTTCCATCTGTTTTTCTTTGGTCAGTGTTTTGAGGTTTTTGTTAGTGCAGTTCATTCTGAATTATATGTAACTGGATTATTACATGCTTTCTGTTATTTAATTGCCTGTAAGATAGTGACATTTTTGTTTGTTTAATGAAGACATAATGCCTCCCACATTTTCTCATATGCTCCCTCAGACCCTGCTTAAATATTACAAATTTCATTGTAAGCATCAAGCTTACACTAACCCTAAGTCCCTTTTTTTCAGCTGAATAGGAAAGACTGCCAACATAGTGCCACGTGCATTTGTCTGTATGCAATATAAAATTTCCATTAGGATTTTCTTTAAGTTATTGATATGAATTTTTAAATGATTGATTATATACCACACGTGCAATTGTAGGACCTGGTTGTAATGAGCCTGACTGCCCTGGAGAACCCAACTGTAATGGGCGTGGCCACTGTGACCCCAGCTTTGATCCACCTATCTGTCGCAACTGTAGCATTGGCTGGTTTGGCCCAGCCTGTGATGACCCTTGTGAATTTGGCCTGGCCTCAACGGACAATACAAAATGTATCTGCAGTGACCGCTGTCACCATGGGAAGGGATGTAACATTGAGTGTTCTTATCATGGTAACTGCACAGACAGAGGCAGGTGTTACTGTGATCCCTGGGTGGGCTGGAAGGGGAGATACTGTCAGCGGCCTGGCTGTCCCAGAGGGGATAGTAAATGGGAGTGCAGCGGCCATGGGAACTGTAACAGTCGAAAGCTGAAGTGTACTTGTAGGAATGGGTGGCAGGGGATAGCATGTGAGATACCCGACTGTCCAGGCGAGCCTAACTGTAATGACAGAGGATACTGTAATCCCACACTGGACCCCCCTGTATGTCAGGACTGTGAGAAAGGCTGGATGGGTCCTGCCTGTGATGACCCATGTACAAATGGGATACAGGTGCCTCCAAACAGTGGGCAGTGTCAGTGCTATGAAGGATGGGCGGGAGTAGGATGTAATTCGGAATGCTCAGAACATGGGACCATTACAAACACAGTCTATATCAATGGATCCAAATCGGGTACATGTGTCTGTGATCTTGGCTGGAAAGGTCCTCTGTGTGACATTCCTGGCTGCCCTGGACTTGATGACGTAGACTGTAGTGGACATGGAGAGTGTAACCCACCAGAGTGTACCTGTAATAATGGGTGGACAGGACTGGGCTGTGAGTTACCAGATTGCCCTGGAACGCCAGACTGCTCGGGCCATGGCTACTGCAATGATACCACAGATCCTCCCTCTTGCCAGTGTGATCCAACATGGATGCACGCGGACTGTGGTACCCAGTGTCTTCATGGCACCATATATCCCCCAGGCAGTGATAATTGTACCTGTGACCCAGGCTGGGTGGGGATAGGCTGTGATGTGGAGTGTTCATACCATGGGACTGTCAAGAACGATAAGTGTGACTGTGACGTTGGGTGGAGAGGAGACCTGTGTGACATCCCAGGCTGCCCAGGTGTTGATGTAGACTGCACAGATCATGGCCGCTGTAATGCAGCCATACATAAATGCACATGTTACCCTGGCTGGGGAGGAGACGGCTGTGAGCTCCCTGACTGCCCTGGGGAACCGGATTGCATGGACAGGGGCCTTTGTTTGGCTGCCCACGACCCACCAATTTGTATCAACTGTACCCATGGATGGATGGGACCTGATTGTAATGACCCATGCACTTATGGTGTTCAAACTCCTCCCAATAGTGGAGTTTGTCAGTGCCTGCCATGTTATTCTGGCAGGGGATGTACAGCAGAGTGCAGTGGGCATGGGGAGTGTACTAATGGGACATACTGTAGCTGTGAAAGTGGCTGGTGGGGCAGCAAGTGTGAGGTCCAAGGATGCCCAGGAATAGGAACCGACTGCTCAGGAAATGGTGCTTGTAACAAGGCAGAGCAGAAATGTACTTGTTTCCCAGGTAAAGTATGCTTGCTATTATTCTTGAAGAGCACTGAACTGGATATATACTTCATAGTATTCTTTAGAATTTTTTTTGAATTATTGTTTATGTAAAAGCTTTTGCTTACTCATTTTTTGTATCTAAAGGGATAATTATTGGTTAAATTAATTATTGGGACATATTGTGAATGAGCTCTATACATAAATAAACATTTTAACAACAGACTCTAATATTTGTGATATTTTTAATTGTAATTTTCCTGCTTTAATTGATATCAGACTGGACAGGCCCAGGTTGTGAGGTTCCTCTGTGTCCAAAGAACTGTAGTGGACATGGTGTTTGTGAAGGTTCGGATGGCCAGGCTAGATGTACATGTCAGTCGGTGAGTATCCAGGTGCTTTGTGTTAGGTTTCTAATCAATTTGTTAGAACATGTATTTTACATTCAATTTGTTTTTACTTTTTATTTTGTCAATATATAGAAACAGATGTAAGATAGAAAATGGTTCTTTTTGCAATATGCTATAATATTTAAGTAACTAAAATTATGAATTTTGACAATTTCATCACTCATTTATTTCTGCATATTTTGCTTAGAATTGGTTTGGTTTGGCCTGTGATGAAGAATGTAAATATGGTACTGTTATGACTGACAAACTTGGTCAGGTTTACTGTCAGTGTGACTACTGTCATACTGGTTACAACTGCAAGCAGGAATGCTCAGGAAATGGATATTGTGACCCTCTTGAGAAACTGTGTGTGTGCAACAGGGAACTTAGTAAGTGTTGCTTCTTTTTTGGCTTTTTATGGGCATGCCTGACAGAATAATATTAAATAGAAAATTTCTCAATTTTTGTTCTTGAGTCAATAAGACATACATTTGAGACATAATTATGTTACTGTTAAGAAGAAGTTTTATAAAAATAAGTTTCTATGGCATGTAAAATTTATTACAAAATCTAGATTTACAGTCTGATGTACTCCCAAGAAAGTACTCCTAAGCAAATTTCATTGTTTACCTTAAATGTTTATTTTTACAGGGAATAGCTGGATAGGAAAAAGATGTGAGATTCAAGCTTGCCCGGGTAAAGATGGAAACTGCAATGGACATGGTTCTTGTAACAGCAATGTAGAGAAATGCACATGTTATCCTGGCTGGGCAGGGGATGACTGTAGCCTACCAACTTGTCCATCTCAGTGCTCAGGTAATTTATCAATTTTACATTGATAAATTAATTGGGATGACACACATTGCCTTTCGTTACACCAGCTAAAGTGTGAAATGTGAATGACACGTAAATATGATATCTGTTGAATTATACATGATGTATTGCCTTGTTAACAGAATGCACAGACTGCAGTTAGTCAAGCTCATGTCACTTCTTTTGTTACCAAAAATTAACAAACTTGTGGGTGTGTTTGGATATGAACACAACAGTGGCCTGCTCTGTGAATGTTTTGGAAGAGAATAAATTTTCCTGTGAGAATGTAACTTTTGAAAATAATATTAGATTAAAATTTGTTTTAAAAATCTAAAACTTTATGACCAGCACTAGAAATATTTTCTAATGTAAACTGTTCTTGGTTCATAGGTCATGGCAGATGCTTCCCAGGGCGTCCACCTATATGCAGCTGTGCATCAGAATGGGCTGGAGAGAGTTGTAATGTGCCCTGTGTCAATGGCACCAACCATGGTGATGAGAGAGGCTGTGTGTGTGACCCACCCTGTTACAGTGGCGTGGGCTGCCATGAAGAATGCTCAGGACATGGCCAGTGCTCACCAGATGGCAGCAAATGCCAGTGCAATAAACTGATGGGTTATAAAGGTGACTTGTGTGAGCTCCCAGGATGTCCCGGGTGGCCTTACGATTGCTCCAATCATGGGACATGTAACCGTGGCACCTGGACTTGTGACTGCAACCCGGGATGGTTTGGCGAGGCCTGTGATGAACCGGATTGTCCTGGAAGTCCAAATTGTCATGGAGTGGGTGAATGTCCTCTACCACCAGAGGGCCAGGAGCCCAGATGTGTCAACTGTCAGCACCCTTACATGGGGGATGGCTGTGAACTCCGTTGTGTGTATGGAACTCCAAATAGAACAGAGGATGGTATATGGACTTGCAACTGTCAGCCGTGCTACAATGGACTTGCTTGTGACATGAAATGCTCCGGTCACAGTAATATTTGCTTCTCTAATGAAACGTGTGACTGCGGATTTGAAGGCTACAGGGGAGATTTCTGTGAAATCGTCAGCTGTCCAGGATACTGGATTGACTGTTCTGGACATGGAGATTGCAACCGGGCAACCAGAGAGTGCACATGTAACCGGGGGTGGACTGGCAGAGGCTGTGAGATCCCTGTGTGTAAGGAACAGTGTAATGACCATGGTACCTGCCTTCCTCTGGACACCCCAAAATGCAACTGCACTGATGGCTGGTTTGGTGATGCATGTCAGTACAGCTGTGCCCATGGTTCAGTAGATCGGGATAATAATACTTGCTTGTGTGAACCATGTTATCATGGGTATGAATGCAACCAACTGTGTTCTGGTATTGGTCACTGCACTGCCAACGGGACATGTTTCTGTGGGTTTGAGGGAGGCCGAGGTGAATACTGTGCCGATCCTGGCTGCCCAGGGCTGTACAACATGGACTGTTCAGGCCATGGCTCTTGTATCAAAGCCACAGGGAAGTGTATCTGCTCTGAAGGCTGGAAGGGCAGTGGCTGCCACGTTCCAGATTGTCCTAAGAACTGTAGTGGCAGAGGAGATTGTAGAGTAGATGGAAAAGAAACCATACCTTCATGTAAGAATTGCTCTCAGGGTTGGATGGGCCCTGCCTGTGATATACCCTGTAATGGTATCCAGGAGCCCATGGACAGTGGACAGTGCAGGTGTTTTGATGAGTGCCACCATGGAGTCAGTTGCCTACAAATATGTGGTGGCAATGGCTTATGCACAGCAGCTGGACAGTGTGATTGTAACAATGGATCTTCGATCAACCCTGGATGGTGGGGAAAATACTGTGATCAACCAGAATGCCCAGGTTTGGGGTCATCATGCAGTGCACATGGGCAGTGCTCCTCAACTCGGCAGTGCTTCTGTAGTACAGGGTGGAAAGGGGAAGGATGTGACATCCCTGACTGCCCAGGCCTGCCAGACTGCACTGATCATGGTACATGCGATTCCAGTGTTGATCCACCTCAGTGTAGATGCCAGTCAGGTTGGATGGGACTGGCCTGTGAACTGCCTTGTAGTGCACTGCATGGTACTCCTCAGCCTGACTTTACATGTGTCTGTGAGCCATGCTATACTGGGGCAGGGTGTGACTTGCAATGCAATGAACATGGTGGATGTAATAATGGAACATGTCAATGTGAATCTGCATGGTGGGGTAAGTGATATGCTTTGTATGCAGTAATTGATTTATTTTGTAGAATTTCGGTACAAATGTATAAAGAGTCAAAAAATTACATCTGTCTGCATTGTGAAATTGAAGGAATATATTTTCCTTGTGTTTCTGAAAGCGCTTTCTTAGACATAGCTTAATCACCTGAAACAAATACCCATGAATCACTTATTATAAGCATTTGTGATTCACTGAAGGTCATAATATTATTATTCTTTGATCTCTAATACATCTATAAGCCAATTTATTTTCACAAAAAAACTCTTTATGTTATATTTTAGGCCCACTCTGTACCTACAGGGGGTGTCCAGGTGTACTCACCAACTGCAGTGGCCATGGGTCATGTAACATTGCTGACCAGAAGTGCATATGTGACAATGGATGGAAAGGAGCAGGATGTAACGTTCCTGACTGTCCTGGTACTCCAGACTGTAACAACAGAGGTATGAAATGTTTAATTCTTTAGTCTTAATCAACACTGACACAACCATGGCAGTATTTTCAAGTTTTACCAATTACTTTATTACATACTGTTGAATGCATTCTGAATTTAATTTATATATACCTAAAATACTGCCATTTTACTACTATTGTGTTGTGTGTGTGTGTGTGTGTGTGTGTGTGTGTGTGTGTGTGTGTGTGTGTGTGTGTGACTTAAATGCAAGAGAAAATATGAAGTATGAAGTAACATTAGATACAGATGATAAAAGCAAGATATTTAATGGCCATGAATAAGATATTTAATAATATCACAGGCACCTGTGATGGACAAGCTGTTCCACTGCCACGCTGTACCAACTGCATCAATTCCATGGGTCCTTCCTGTGAGTTACCATGTTTACATGGTCATGAAGATCCTCCTTTTAGCCAGAACTGCAAGTGCAACCCCTGTTTCTCAGACCCTGGTTGCGAGACTGAATGTTCCACACACGGTAGGTGCTCCAACAACTCCTGTCTGTGTGACACAGGGTACAAAGGTGCTCTGTGTAATAAGTTGGATTGTCCAGGTAGGAGCATGTTTTGCCCTTAAATGGTTCAATGTGTGTGTGTGTGTGTGTGTGTGTGCGTGCATGCATGTGTTTGTGAGTGCGTGTCAGACAACATATGTGCAAATACATACATAGGTATATTAGTCATTTGTGAAGATGCATGCTTATGAGGTATATCAGTGTAAAGTCAGAAGTAAGGATAGTACTCATTGAGGACTTTGAGGTTATATATAAGATAAAACTTTTTTTGAGATTATATAGTATTACTTTCAACTTAAATATTGGAAGGATCTTGTATTTTAGCAGTATGATGTTAGTATTATGAAACTATTGAAATCCAGGAGAGCCAGACTGTTCTAGTAGAGGCACCTGCACCAGACAAGGAGGGCAGTCCATTTGTCTGTGTAAACCTGGCTTTGAAGGAGCCAATTGCTCACAACTTGTTTGTCCTGGTGATCCACCTTGTAATGATAGAGGTAAGTTGTATTTCGATTAAAATAAAGTTAAAATTAATGGCTATTTTACTATATTGATATATTTGGACTAAAATGCAGTGTTCCTATTGAGCCTTATGTCACAGGTTTTGAATGAGATAGATGATAAAACTTAAATCAGACTATCTAAATGTTTTATAGGCATAATGTATTGACAATATATTTTGTGTTTTTATCAGGGTTAGACTTTAACTCAACAATTTATCCAAGTGCGATACTACATACCTGCTAATTTAATACTGCATACCTGCTGTTTAATTTAAATATATTTGAATTGTGATTGTATTGTTTTTCATTTGTTCCAGGAACTTGTCAGTTGTCAGTAGACAGCAACACTCCCCACTGTGTGTGTGGTCATGGTTTTGCTGGTCTGGCCTGTGAGAGGTGTGTGCCACAGTACACGGGAGAGCAGTGTGAGAGGTGTGAGGACAACTACATAGGATACAATGCCAGCTGTAATGTATTGTGTATACACGGGGAAGCTACATTACCAGGTATTGAGAAAATATGAACATTTGTACTGACATCTGTGTTTTAGATATATTTGACTATTGAAATGTATCGAAAGTGAGAAAAAATAATTAACACTTTTTTGGGAAAATTGATTTTCTAAGTCTTAAGTGTAGAAAACAAGATGCTTTCAAATATTCCTACGGTATAATTTTATAGATGTATTTGTTATATATATATAACTACATAATAATTTTTTAAAGGTGGCTCCATATGCCAATGCTATAATGATGACACCAGGGGGCACTGGACAGGGGCCAGTTGTACAGAATGCCAACCAGGATTCAGAATGCCAGACTGTGTTCAATGCCTCAGTGGTAATGTTAAAGACACTTTACATGGATAATACATATTTACACATTGGTTTTCATACAGGAGATGAAATATCTCTCAACAATTTTCAAAATACCAAGAAATAATTCAAAGCGTAATTGTAGTTTTTGTTATAGATTACAGTTGAAATGACTGACTGAAAATTTACAAAAATACATCAATATTTCTTTAAGGGACAAAGAACTGATTTCATATATCAGTTAATGTAATCTGAGTTGCTTCTCATTTAATGTTTTGACAATATACTTTTTTATTCAAGACTTTGTTGGCTTGGGCCACTGCACCATAGAATGTACAGCCAACCAAGGAGAATACAAGGACCCCTATGATGGAGAGGGTGGCCAGGATCTTCTACTTCCCATAGTGAACTGTGTCGGTTTGGATGACTTTGGTAACACTTACCATGCCTGGATGGGGTATGACAACCAAAATCCACATAATATTTACCTGGCTGTAGGAGCACGGAATAATTTCCAGTCTTCACAGGCAGCATTGGCTACGATTAACATGGGGCAGCCTTCCAAGTTTAGACCTGGCCGACATCAGTATGTCTTCAAAGTTGTGTAAGTGTTGGAAATCATACATACATACACCATATTCAAATAGATATACTGGGTGGAAATATTCCACTTATTTGTTGTGCCTCCTTTACTTTGGTTATAAGGATTTGCGTCAAAATTGTCAACAAAAATTTCTGATGAATTGTATGATGATCATGCAGGAATATATTTTGATGCCAGGTTTGTACCGTAATGTTACATATTTCAGGGATGTACTGAAATCCCAATTTTATGTTAGTTTTCTGAGACTTGTGTACCATGTATTTTTCTATCACCATGTTAGACATGCTTGAATTTGATGCAAATCATTTAGGGAGTGCAATATTAAAACATGGCAGTGATGTTGATGATAAATATGTTTTTCGTGACTATATGTATATGTATTAATTACAGAGGACTTCCTTTGAGTGCAGTTATTACATGGCAGTTGAGTTACACCCCATCTAACCAGATAACAACTATAGACGTGACTTCAAATTATACCACAAAATGCACTGGATATATCAAACCGGTAAAATATGTGCTGCGATAAAATTCAACTGTGATTTATAATTCTGATTAATTAGAAAGGCATCATAGCATCATGTCATATATAAGTTTTTCTCAATTTGAAATTGTTTTAAATAGAAAAAAATTATTGAACAGTGTGTTCTTATCTATATTGTATGATGTTTACAAACAGATACATATCAACAGAAAGAACTTACATTGTACTCTCTCTCTCTCTCTCTCTCTCTCTCTCTCTCTCTCTCTCTCTCTCTCTCTCTCTCTCTCTCAAGATTTTACAACTTTCAGTTTTGAACTTTTTAAGATAATACAAATCTGCAAAGAATGCAGCACTATGACATCCATTTTAGGAAAAAATCTCTGGAGGAACAGATCCAGGCTTCTGCAGTTGTTTCAAGGGTTACTGGGGGCCAGCCTGCCAATACCTGTGTCCAGGTGGAGTGGACAATACATGCAATGGCCGTGGTGTATGTGACAAAGACACAGGAGCTTGTATATGTGACATCAAATTCACCAGTGAATCTAACTGTGCTCTATGTGCACAGGGAAACAGGATTGGTTCAGACTGCTCTGTGGCTGTTACTGGTGTCTCAAACAGGGACTCTAATGGTTTCTACCATGGCAGAGGATTTTCGAGTGGTCACTTCATCAGTATGGATGGAGCTATGTTTGATCTACAAGGGACTGGAGAGTATGTACTTTTTGATGCTACAGGAGTGAAGGTACATTGCAGAAGTATTGTGTCTACATCACACAGTGTATCCACTGCCCTGGATGCCATAGCAGTTCAGATTGGATCAGATGTTGTCGTATTCCAAGGGTCAACCACTGCCAGCTCACCTGTTGGCCACATTCGGCTTAACAACCTTGATATCAATTTTACACAACGGATAACTCTGGCAGCAGGCTACGTGTACCAGAGGGTTGCAGCAGACCACTTTTTAGTTGAAGGCACTGACTTGTTGATAGACATCTATGTGAGAGGACTTTACCTTGATATTCATGTCAGGTGCAGAGCTAGTATCTGTGCCACATCAAGTGGATTGCTTGGGTCATGTAATGATAACCCACGTGATGACTTCAGACTGGCAAATGGAACTGTGATAATTGATGCTAATTTAAACCAGGCAGTTATTCATACAACCTATGGCCCATCATGGCTTGCTACTGCAGCCAATTCCTTACTGACAGCTACTGGTTTGATTATACCAACAGGTGCTGGAGGGCATTGCCTGGCTTTTAATGCCTCTCACGTGCTGTCTGGAGCACTAAACACATTCACAGATGCAGAGCTGACAATGGAATTTAAAGTTTATCCAGAAGTGGAATCAACTGGATGTCAAACCTTAGTCTCCTACAGGAAAAGTGACGTATTCAGTGTATTACGCTGTGGCACCACCCTGAGCATAGACTATAAGAATGGAGCTGTGAAAGTTGATACCAGTATCTCCATCAGAATCAGAGCTTGGCATCATATTGCATTAGTTTGGAAGAAAACTACTAAAGTCCTCCAACTGATTGTTATTGCAGTTGATGGCACAGTCCAAAATGCCCAGTATGTTTTCAGTGATGGCCAAATGTTTACACCTGGAGGGTCTCTCATGGTTGGTCAGTGGAACACTGGAATCTCATCTTCTGTGTACGGCCTAAACTGGAATTTTGTGGGAAAGGTAGATGACCTGAGAATATGGTCCATAGTGAAGACATTTACTTCAATACATGCAGGTGCCTGGAAGTACTTGTCAGCAAAATCTCCATCTTTGGCAAACCTGTGGAGATTTGATGAGGGATATGGGACAGTTATTGTTGATGTTGTAGCTGGGGTCTCCCTGAGTATGCAGACAAAACCTTGGAGGCAACCAGTGTGGGAAATCTCTTCAGCAGAAAACCATTTCCCCTCGCTTACAACCTACAGTATCTACAGTGTGTCTCTAACTGGTACTAAGTTAGCACAAGCCTCAAGGTTCTGCACACAGCTCCTTTACACAGCCACATTCAATTCAAGCTGCAATGCATTGGGAGAAGGCATGATAAGTTTGTTTTACCAGTCCTGTATTTACAACATTGGGGCCTATGGAAACAATGAGGCAGCATTGGAAATACTGGTGTCCTATTCAGACTATTGTAAATTTGTCCTTAACAGACAGGTGTGGCCTGCCCAAGAGTTCTGTAAGACATTCCCAACAAGACATTTCCCAAAATGGAAAGGTGAGAACTGTGATGAACTGTGTATATCAGGCCAAGCAAACTTGACCGATGGTGCCTGTCATTGTTTCGATGGCTACTTTGGCAACAACTGTGATGGTATGTGCCCATCAGATGGCAAATCTCCATGTGGTCAAGGGACATGTAACAGTACTGGTCAGTGTATGTGCCCACTTAGTCGAAATGCAACCACCTTGTGCAAGACCTGTAATGAAGGGTGGTATGGAGAAAGATGCGAGTCCTATGAAACAACGGTACCTCCAAGAGATGGGCCTCAAGTTTGCCAGATATATGGATTCTCTCACTTCATCATGTTTGATGGGCAGATGTATGATATGACAACTCCAGGTGAATATGTCCTGTTCCAGACAGGTAATATCACTGTCCATGTGAGGCAGCTCCCATGTGAATACAGCACATGTGTCACAGACGTGTGGATGGCAGTTGACAACTACAGCAACAATGTTACGTTCCATGCCAGTGAAGATGATCAAACAGAAATAGGTTACTGGATCAATGGAGAAGAATCCACATTTGACAAGGCTCTAGAAATTGCAGGTGAAGTTCACTTGGAGAAGAAATCCAAAACCCAAGTCATTGTTTCATATTCAGGCATGTTCAGAATTGATTTATCATCAAGAATAGGGATGTTCTCTGTTGAAGTTACAAGTAAGATCTCATCATTCTGTGAAAGTGCTTCAGGGCTGTGTGGAAACTGTGATGGCAACACAAATAATGATTTTGTAACAGCTGATGGTATGGCAGTTGCAATTAGAAATATTAACAACACCTTCATCAATAGTGTATTTGCTGCTAAGTTCAAACTGTCAGTGTCTGTGAGCACAGGATTCATCTATACATTCCCAAACATGATTGTTTCCAAGAGAATAACCAGCTCTACCAGATATGGACTATATTTTAATGGCACCAGCTGCAAGACCACTCCACTTGAAAATGTTTTTAGCACAAGCAGAGACGTCAGCATACAAATCAGTCTGAAATTGCACAGATACGCAGACTCTGGACATGGAGGCATCATCATGGCCTATGATAAAGATAGCATATTTGCCCTCAGTGTGTCCAATACATTGGCAATACATACAAATGGAAGAACATATAACACCAGCATGTCGGTCAGTTTAAGCATATGGCACCACCTAATCATTTCCTATGTCAGACAGACAAGAGCCTGTACTCTGTATCTTTTTGACAACTTGGGACATGTGCAGGTATTCACAGTGATAGTGGATATCGACATTGACATATTTCTGCCTGGAGGTGTGCTTACGCTTGGAACATGGCTGCCAGAACAGGGACAGATTCCCTACCTCCTTCCCAATGATCCTATTGAGTTCCAAGTTAACTACATCAGGACATGGGAACGGAGCTTCACAGCTCCAGAAGTAAGTCAGCTGTACAAGACGGATATTGGGGTGAGGATTAGTGGAGTAAGTGCTGTTTGGACATTTGTGGAAGGAAAAGGAAAGCAGTTGGTTGACCTATTGGGAAATAATGTTTTCACATTCCCTAAAAAGAAAGAAGAAACACCCATTTGGTATGCATCTGAAGATTCTTCACTGCCTGCCCCAAGAGTTGCAGCATCCTATTTCAACAGAACCTTAGAGGCCATGGCAGAGGAAAAATGTCTACTTCTTACCACACAAAATGAGATGACATTACTTTGTGCATCAATTAAACTTGATTTCTTCTTCCAGACATGTATAGCAGATGTGAGGGCATCTCATCTGCTAATTGCCTATAGTTTTTCAGTACAGGCCTATTTCAGTCAGTGTCGGGCTGTGGTCAATGCATCAGAATCCCTGTGTGAGGCTCTCAACTCAACTGTGACTGATGAATTGGAGGCTGAATTGGCTTGCAGTACTAACTGTAAATTTGGCTCTCTCACTGAAGAGGAAGTATGCATATGTGACCGGGGCTACTGGGGTGAGACCTGCTCAGAGACTTGTCCAGGAGGGGCCAGCAACCCATGTAATGGCCATGGCACCTGCAACGCCACCAGTGGTCACTGTGACTGTGAAGTCAACTGGAGAGATGAGACAGACTGTACACAATGTGCTGAAGGCTGGGTGGGCCCCAACTGTGAATTGTATGCTCCATCATCCGAAACCAATATCACAAGGAAGGTGTGTGCCACATTTGGAACTGGACATTTTGTGACTTTCTCAGGCTTCAACTATGATTTCAAAGAAGTAGGGGAGTACTACCTGGCCAGGAACTCTATTAGTTCCTTCTTTGTTCAAATTAGAACTGAAGATTGTTTCAGACAAGCTGCATGTACAAGTGCTGTGGCAGTGTATTTAAATGGAGAAATGTTCCTCATAAGAGCTGGTCAAAGAAGAAATGATTCTCTGGCTATCTGGAAAAACAACTCTAGATTGGCATTTAGTGGCCAAGAAGAGAAAGGACAACACTTGGTTTTCAAGCAGCATTCTACATTTGAATATGAACTGGCAAGTGTCCATTCAGATGTTAAGATAAGAATAAGAGTAGTTAGGAAATACTTCATGCTGACCATGACTCTAGCCAGTGATTTCTGTGATAGTGATGGTGCAGCTTGTGGGGAGTGTAAGGGATATGGAACTTTGAACAACGAAACTAACATCATCAATCTGAGTCAGTCTTGGAAAGTATCAATCTCAGAAACCTTATTCACAGCACTGTACAGTGAGAATGTGTTTGAAGAAAGGAGGAATTTGACAGGTGCTGGTTACTGCTTAGAATTCAACAATACATTTATAACTACTGGTTTTTTCAATGGAACTCTCTTGAACACTGTTGACATCACAATTGAATTGCTTATCCAGACTTACTCTGCAAATGGAGTGATTCTTTCTAGTGGAACATCATCAGGATTGGTCATCTTTCTTGACCATTCCATAAAGATAATGCTGGGAACACACACATTTGACACTAGGTTTGTGCTAATTCATCATGAATGGTACCAACTTGCAGTTGTGGTAGACAGAACTTCTAGCATCTTGTCCTTCTACATGTTTGATTCCAATGGGGTTTTACATCAAAGAGCATTTGACATAGCCACAGTGCTATTCACCTTTTCACCAGAGGATGTTCTTGTTTTGGGCGAGTGGCAACCTTCAGGTATAGAGATACCTACAGTAAAGGGTTTCCATGGTCAGATTGATGAGCTACGTGTGTGGCACAAAGCTTTCACTGTCAGTCAAGTTTCAGCAAGATGGCAAGTCAATGTTCTTGCAGGGCAACTTAGCCTGGCCTTTTTATGGAAATTTGATGAAGGGGAAGGGGACGTTGTTCATGATTTAGTGTCTGGTAACAACTTTGGCATCATCACTCATCCAAAAACATTGGCAAAGGCAAGATGGAAGTTCTCAAGTGCACCAGTAGCCATTTTAGCAAGGAAATATCATCATGTGTACCTTGATCCAAATGAAGAGACAACAGTGAAATTACATTGCACAAAACTTGTAGAGACATCTTTTCTTGGTAGAAGTTGTGGGTACCTCAGCCCAAGTCTACAGAGTTTCTACCTGCTAGCATGTGTTGATGACATTTACAATACTGGAGATTATGATTGGGCCATTGCATCTGTGATGTCGTTCTCGGATTATTGTCAAATGGAGCTGAATGCTACTTCATGGCCTGCACAGCATTTATGTAACATATTTTCCAGAAATATGTTCCCCAGGTGGTATGGCTCCAATTGTACAGAGGAGTGTGCCTTCCCTGGTCCTGATTTTGTCAGCTGCAATTCATGTGCACCAGGATTCTGGGGCAAATACTGTAACAAACTGTGCCCTGGCGGATCCCATGCGCCTTGTAATAATCATGGCACATGCAATAAAACAGATGGAAAATGTGAATGTGATTTTACATGGGAGGGAGACAACAACTGCACAACATGCACTACAGGCTGGTTTGGCGCTGATTGTTCTCTTATTTTACAGGACCAAATAACTACTGATTACCGTTTTTGTTCTTCCATCCGTAATGGGTTTTATGCCACATTTGATAGATCATCTTTCATGTTCCAAGATGCTGGTGATTATGTACTGTACTCTGATACCTCAAACAACCTGACCATTCAGATCAAGCAAATTAACTGCAGAAACAGAGAATCATGTATAGTTGGCGTTAGCATGATGGTAGATGAAACCATACTGATTTTGGACACCTTATCACATGAACACTTAACAAGAATATTCCTCAACCAGACGTTGATCACCGTGGACAAGGATCATGGTATTACATCCAGATACACCCTGCACCAAAAGTATGAGAACTACTTCGAGATAGATGGGTCTGATGGTTTCATTCTCACTGCAGAATACATAGACGACTACTTTAATGTTTACTTGAGAGTGAAGTCAGTGAATTGTCAAACAGCTAATGGCATATGTGGTACTTGTTCTACATCAGCTTCTGTAAGCACATGTACAGATGATGTGTGCCGCATTAAGGAGCTTGGCCTCTATCAGTTTTCAACTCATTTTAGTCTCCATCAACATACCCTTTATCACAGCATTGTTCAGTGGAGAGTTAACACTTCCAGGAGTTTATTTTTGACACCTGAGTATACAGAATCAATACCTTTACAATTAAGCCTTATTCAGGGAGGTGCTTATGCCCTCTTTTTCAACAATTCTGGCATAGTTTCTCATGAGGTATCTAGTCAAGTGCTGTATGGCAATTACATAACAATCGAGTTCCTGTTTTACATGTATGGCAACACCACAGGTCAGGCTGGGGGGACTTTGATCTCCTATACTAAAAATCTTACATTTGCTGTCACTGTTCAGGACTATGTTGTCACCTTGGTCTATGGTAGCACCACCATTGTAACAGACATCAGGATAGATGTAAATATCTGGAGCAAGATTGCATTCACTTATTTCAAGGTTACTGGCCAACTCCGTATATATTACATTAAGGATGAACGACAAGCTCTGTACAGACAGTATACCATAGGACTTGGATGTTTTGCACCTGAGGGGACAATAGCATTAGGGAAATGGCAGATACCAACAGTGGATGTGGGACAAGCTCCCTATCAGAACTTTGTTGGAGTGATTGACCAGTGCTTGATTTGGAATAGATGGGTTTCTCCAGCTGAAATGATCAATAGATGGAATATCAATGTGCATCCACATGATTGGGCTCATCTAGGGATCTTTTGGAACTTTAATGAAGGACAAGGAAGGACAGTTCATGATCAGATGGCTAAGGTGCATCTTACTATTCCTCCACCAACTTTCAAGATTCCAGCCTGGGTCATTTCAACAGCCCCTGTACCCATAGACAGCATTTCCTCAGAGTTTTCATCAAAACTACCATTCTCGGACCCTGAGTTTGAAAAAAAAGCAAAATCATTTTGTTACAGACTTGTCTTAACTGGAATTTTATACGGACAATGTAAAACAATCTCAAGAACAGCGTATTTTACTTATCAGACTTGTCTGTGGAACACAGCAGTAAATGGCACACTGGAAGCTGCTCTTGATTCAATTCTGTACTTTGCTCACCGGTGTCAACAGGAACTGCACCTTCCAATTTGGCCTGCAAAAGGTCTTTGCAATCAGCTAGGTCAAGCATTTCCTTTGTGGGGAGGACGTACATGTAGTGTGGAATGTAACTTCGGTCATGTTGATTCTTTTAATGTCTGTATTTGTCACAAGGGTTACTGGGGAAGGAAATGTGACAACGTCTGCCCAGGAGGGTCATCCAACCCATGCAATGGCCATGGAGAATGTGGCCAACAGAATGGAAAATGCACCTGTAAGACCAACTGGAGAGGAAAGGAGTGTGACTCTTGTAGTCAAGGATGGATAGGAGCTGATTGTTCCATAACAGAGCCCCAGCTACCACCAGATCATGAGGCAGTGTGTAGTGCAGATCCTGATGGCTTGCTCACTACATACGATGGCTATACCTATGGTATAAACCAAGTGGGAATATTCTCATTGACATCATCTGTGAATCTGGCTGTAGAGGTATAGTATTGTCATTTTTTCCCAAAAAACTAATTGCACTGTTTTAAGTTTATATACAGCAGTGAAGATAATCAGAGCTTTTACCTTCTGCTTTTCATGTGGTCATTTCAAATTTATCATAGGAAAATGTGAAATGTTTACCTCTTAAAATATTGGATTTGCATTTTAATTGATGATATACATTGGTAATAAAAATGCCTGGAACTTGGTATTTAAAAATTAATTAATTACTTTCAGATCAAGTACGGAAACTGTGGTCGTAGAGGCCTTTGCATGCAGCAAGTTGCTCTTCGCTATCTTAGAGAAAATTTTGTCATAGAAAATAGCAGGACTGGACGAGGTATACATATAAACATCAATGGACACAGAACCAACATTGGAAGAAGAGGAGTTTCAAATCGTGTCAGAGGTGGATGCAGTATTTTGATTATACGTCAAGGCAACAGATATAAATTTAGCATTGCAGACATAGAATTTGAAATGCTTGTCCGTGTAGCACCATTCCGGATGTATGTGGACTTAACAATGCCCTCTTCTTTGTTATCAAACTTGGAAATGTCTGGACTCTGTGGAAGATGTGCTGACTGCCCCATGCGCCCTGTCACCCAATCCTGTGGATTGCTTCCTCTTAGAAGAAGCAGAGCTTCTGACTCAAATGGCATGCTAGATTTAGGGTCACACACAACCGAGGCAGACCTGGCATCTGTTGTTAATAGTATGATGGTCAGACCTTATGAAAGCATCATAAAAGATGTGCTTGACCCAACAGGAGCAGGGTATGCATTATGCTTTAGGGATTCCTCTGTTACAGCCCAGAAATTTGATGCCTTTGACGGAGCAGATTATGTCACCATAGAACTTCTGGTCAAACGCTGTCCTTCTTGTTCAGGAACCATAATGTCTTATGCTTACATCAAGTGTTTTTATGTTCAGCTTGAAACTGATGGAAATATTAGTTTGAGCTATGATGGCTATGTTTGGAGAACAGGAGTTGAGCTTGAAGAGGACCAGTGGAACCAGCTGTCCTTGGTCTGGAGTGTGCAATCTTTATCACTGGACGTATACATCTTCAGCAGCACTGGTGTTCCTCGCAGGAGGAGATTCAGCCTGCCGTCAAACCCATTTGTATCTGGAGGTACCCTCACTTTGGCAGAATGGCAGCCATCTGCTGACAGCAGTGGCATACAACCTAAAGGAGAAAGGTTCCGTGGCTGTATTGATGAGCTTAGAGTCTGGAATAGGTAAGTAAGATAAGCTCCTAGGAGTTTCAGTTTGAAAGTAAAACCTTCATGATTTCAGTATAGTGACAGTGCATGGAATGTATGTGTTTGTGAAAGTATGTGTATGGCATTTTACTCATCTTATACTTAAAGTGTTAAGATGAATTTGAAAATTACTCTTTTTATAATGTATTTTTGATTTAGCATTATCATGTAGAATTAACAGATATTGATGTTCCTATTTTTATATTCCAAAATTTTTTGAATTCAAGTAATAAATTATTTCCTAATGTTGTTCACAAGAATTATATGAAACTGTTAAGAAAATGGTATTTTATTTATTTTCAGATACTTTGACACTGTAGTAATACAGCAGAATTGGAATGTGAACTACCAAAATGGTGCTCCACATTTGGTTAGCCTTTGGAATTTTGATGAAGGAATAGGTAAATGGTGAAATAGATATTTTTAGCTATATGTCTTTAGATAATGTGTAGATGATGATAGAATTGTTGAGAGTATATACTGGCTGCGTGTGTGCGTGAGTGTGTGTGTGTGTGTGTATTATGGCACAGATCAATAGTTGTGTGTACTTAGAACAATATTTAATATCTTTAATGTTTAAGACATATAAGTAGCTCAAACTTGCATAAGATAGCAAAGGTTGGCTTAATTATGATATATCCAGATGGACAAAAACACATTTTTGAATCACATATTTATATACTCATACTCATAGTGTCTATATTACTTTATTTAAGGTAATACTTCAACAGATGTTATATCCTCACACCAGCTGACATTTTCTACAACTTCCTTATCACAACCAACATGGCAGGTATCAGATGCACCTGTACCACACCTGTCTGAGAAAGTGGAAGACTACATAACACAGTCTGAGAGATTGAAGAGGTCAACGGGGATTTCAGTGGAAGTTGCTCAGCAACAATGTATGAAGCTCATGTTTTCCCAAACATTTAATAGGTAAGATATTATTTATACAGCACAAGCTTATAAACTTGTTTCATTTTACGGGCAAAATTAAAAGATGATTTTTATGCAGATTTTTGTTGTCGTATTGGGAACAAGAAATAGTATCATTTACTGACCAATAAACAATAACAATATATTTATTTACACACATTTGCTCTTTCTAGCTCCTGTCCTACCGGCAATCCTATAAAAATAAAATATGCAGAACAATGTATGGCAGACATAATTGCTGAAGATAACCTGAATGCTGCAGTCTACACCACCGTGGCTTTTGCAGACTACTGCCAGCTTGTTATTCCCAACAATACATGGCCAGCCCAGAGTCTTTGCAACCAGTTTTCATACAATGCTAACTTCCCAATGTGGATCGGGGACAACTGCGATATTCCATGTGTCTTTGGCAATGCAGCTGAGAATGACAATAGTCGGTGCATGTGTACCGATGGGTATTGGAACCAGTCTTGTGATACAGAGTGCCCGGGTGGTGCTTTTAAACCCTGTGCTGGGTATGGCAATTGTGATGTGAACAATGGTCAGTGCAGTTGTCCTCTACATAGGCAAGGTGCACCTGACTGTATTGTCTGCTCTCAGGGCTGGTATGGTGAAGACTGTACCATGGCCATTGCTAATAACACTGTAAACACTGCTGCAGCCTTCATTGCCTCCAATGGTGTCATTGTCACCCTAGATGGCATTCATCACCTAGTTACATCTAATGGGGAGCATTATCTTCTAAGAACCTTTGAAGATCAGTTTGTGCTGCAAGCTAAGTTTATTAAGTGCTATGGCACCAGTTCATGCATGACCCATGTTGCACTGAGGACTGGAACTCCACAGAATGGATTTGCTACAGTTTCCATAGCAGCACCAAGAAGTTTTAAGGACTATCCAACAGTGTATGTGAATGGCCAGCAGACAGAGATATTCAAAACTGTGTACTTCAGAGGTGTGTCCCTTTCTAGAGTTTCCAACAGAGAATTCCACATTGACGGACCCTATGACATCACTGTCACTGTACATTCAAATGGAGTTTTCCTGGATATGCACCTAACAATGCCATCAAGATTCATTGCAGGAACTGCAGGCCTGTTGGCTGGAACTAACAGAGAAAATGAATTGGAGAGACTAGGACTCTTTGAAGCAAACTTTGGTCCTTTTGCAAACCTTCAAGTTTGCAATACAAGTTGGCCTGTTCAGAGACCATCCCCAGTTCCTGTGGAATACCATCCTTTCTCAGATTTTCCTGTTGTGATGAATGACAGTTTTAGAAACCTTACGGCCAGCAATTCCTCATATGATACCTTTGTGCAGTATGTGAAAAACTGGGAAGTACCTGATTGTGACTCCTTCATTGCGTACCAAAGCAAAGAACACCAGCATCAGGCAACAGGTGGTTTTGCACTCAAGTTCAACTCATCTGCTGCCTACACAAGCCAATGGGTATCAAGACTTAATTTATCTGGTTTACTAACAATTGAACTGGAGCTAAAATCGTTGGACAGTGAAACAGATAATGGTGTTCTATTTTCCTTTGCATCAAATACCACATTCTCAATTTCCAATCACTGGAACATTACCTTGGATGATGGTAGTACATCCTACCCAAGTGCCATTCATTTCCAGCCAAAGAAATGGAACAAGATCATTATTACCTATGACGGTTCAACTGGGACCACTAACTTGTATCATTTTACTGAAGAAGGAGATGTTCACAGACATCAGTACCAACTTAGACCAGGTATCTTTAGCTTACCAGGGACTTTGACTTTAGGTCAGTGGCAACCACCAGCTGATGGAGAATACCACCAAATTCTGAAACCATTCATTGGCACTATTGACAATTTCTATATCTGGAATAGAATACTTGAACCAGCAGAAGTATTGGACAGGTTTAGGGGGGGAGTTCCCTCTGTTACTCAGTATCTCCATGTAGCTTGGAGCTTCAACGAAGGTGATGGCCACCAATTGTTTGACATTGTAAACCAAAAGATGCTAGAGATCCCATCAGAGCCGTGGAGAAGTCCAACTTGGGTTCCGTCAGATACTGAAGTCAGCCTGCCTTCAGTTGACAGCACTTTCCTTTACCAGGCAATATTTCAGGACCAGGCATTGAAGACTGTTGCTAACAAAACTTGCTCTGACCTATTTATGGATTCTCCACCTCACAGCTGCAAAGGACTAGGCACATGGGTGCTACACTTTTATTATATGGTATGCCTCAGACTGGTCAGTGAAACATCCAATGTAGACAGTGGTCACCAACTATTTCTAAGCTTCTCAACCTACTGTTCCCATGTTATGAACCCACCGTCCTGGCCAGCACAATCTATGTGTTCAAATTTAACATTGGTAAAGGATTACATTTCTCATTGCAACCTACACTGTGTCTACGGGCAGTTGATAAACGGACAATGTAAATGCGATCCTGGACACTATGGCACATATTGCGATAACACCTGCCCTGGTACAGATGGCAAAGGAATATGCAGTGGACATGGTCATTGCAATGTAACAGGACAATGTGAATGTGATGTCAACTGGCAAGGAAGCTTTGCTTGTGACAAATGTAGCCCCCATTGGCTTGGTAATGACTGCAGTGTGGCAACCAACCCCACCATAGACTCTCAGCAAACAAGAAAAGCATTAGTGACCTCAAGAGGAGGAATCCAAACACCCGATGGTTTGCTGTTCCATGCTGAAGGGTATGGTATCTACTGGCTTCTTCACAATAATGGCATCTCAACACCACAAGTACAGGTACAGAAAACATTTTGCAACAGGGCAAGTTGTATTACAGGCTTAGCTGTTCAGTTTGAGGACAATAAACTGACTATAATGCTGAACAACGAGGACAACTCTGTTGAAAAAGCCAACGTCTTAGTGAATGGACAAAGAGCTACATTCATTGGAACAACCCTACATGTAACACCACAATGGGAGTTAAATGTGAAGACACCTTTCTTATATGAAAGCAGAATAGCAAATCCAAAATTGAACCTTGTCATCCATATTCAAGATGCCAGCTTGGTCATTCTTGTAGAAAGTGTGGTCAGTAACTGTGTTATGAATAGAGGCCTTTTGGGAACATGTAATTCACACCAAGATGATGATTTACAGCCACTTGATCTGAACACTATCACTCAATCGAAAATCAATGAACTGGTTATGAGAGACTATGCTGTAATTATGGCAGATAACTTATTTGAGAATTACATACCTGTCTCCTCAACAAGTGCTGGTTATTCCCTTGCTTTCAATAACACAGATGGACTTACAGATCAGTCAATACATATCTTCTCTACGGACATTGCTGGTGCATATGTTACTATCTCGCTAACATTCAAGGCAGAGCAGTTTGGCGGAATCATTTTCTCTTATGCAGGACAGAGTAGCTTTGCCATTGAAAACACCCCTAGTGTAACTTTGCATTTCAACAAAACTACATACTCAACAAACAGTCAAGTTCAGCTAAATGAGTGGAACCAGATCATTCTAGTGTATGACAGGGAAGCACAAGTCTTAGACTTTTACCATTTCACTTCATCAACTAACCTTACAAGAAGCACCATCAAAGTACATCAAGAAGTCTTTCAGCCAGCAGGAAGAATTGCACTTGGTCAGTTGTTACCAGCACCAGATGGACATACCTATAACCTTGACATGACCTTCCATGGTATGATAGACAGATTAAATATATGGAAGAAACACTTTGTTCCTGCTATGGTGTATCAGCTGTATGCTTTAGATGTCTATCCAGAAAGTCTTTACACAGATCTGTTGCATGTGTACAACTTCAATACAGGCAGTGGATATGTAGCTGCTGATGGCACTACAGCAGCTGACATCATGCTACCTTCCAAACCATGGACATCTCCACAGTGGAAACTTTCAAATGCGTATGTGTCAACTTTGGTTTCAAAACCAAACAATTATGTGTTCCATAATGAAACACTGAGAATACAGGCAGTGAACAGATGTCATGCTTACTTCAACTCTTTGGCATGTTCAGAGGCTTCAGTTCCAATAAAAGAATTCCTTTACCTGGAGTGTATTAAAGAAGTAGCAATAACAGACACCCTGGAAGCAGCAATGCCAGCCATAGCAACCATCGCCAATTGGTGTTCATTCAGCTTTGACAGAAATGCACTGAACATATGTAATCATACCACAGAATCGCCTATTTGGCTACAATCAAAATGCAACAAATGTCACTTTGGCTTGTTAGATAGTTCTGGACAATGCCAGTGTTTTAATGGATTTTGGGGACAGCAGTGTGACAGAATGTGTGCAGGAAACTTTCCCAAACCTTGCAGTGGCAATGGAATATGTTTAGACAATGGGGTATGTCAGTGTAATGTTAACTGGAATGGAACAGACTGCAGCGTGTGTTCATCTAATGTGCATGGGGAGGACTGTTCTCTCCTTGTAATCCCCAATCATGGCATCATAGGACAGATTGGAGCACAAGGCCATGTTACTACATTTGATGGAGCAATATTTCAGGTTCAATCTGTTGGTTGGTACACAGTACTCAATAGCAGTGCCGATGACTTCACATTGTCAGTAAAGTTTGGGATGTGCCCTACAAATGATATCTCCTCTTGTGTACTTGCAGTAAGGATGCACAATTACAACAAGACCTACACATTAGGGAGAGCTGGGCTACAAGAAGTGTCTCCCTTTATATGGGTCGATGAGAAGAAGGTGGTGATCAACCATTCTGAAACATTTGAAAATATTACTCTTATAAGACAAGACAAGCATACTGTAATATTGACCACCGTGGATGATGACATGAAACTCAAGATAAGAGCAACTAGATACAGCCTGGCACTTACCATTGTGACAACTGAAAGAACAGCATCCCATTTGACTGGACTAATGCATAGCTGTAATACTCAAAAAGCAATCATGCAATCACCATGTAACTACACCAATGAAGAGATATGTTCATCCTCACCGTATACCTGCAGTAAAGAAATAACATCAGAGACCATAAAAACATACACTGAACAATTTTTGCACTCTGATGCCCAGGGTGACCAGACTATCAGTTCTGAACCATACACAAATGCTGGTTTGGCCATGAGCTTCAGTGGCACTGGGGTAACTGCAGAATCAGTTGTCTTTCCATTAGATTCTCCATTGTCAGTAGAGCTTCTTGTCAGGCCAGAGTCCCATGGAGGTATTATCCTCATGTATGCCACAGAATCAATTTTGGCAGTGTATGATACTGCATCAGGACTGAAGATCCAGAATGATGCCACTTTGATCCAGACTGGTCTCAAGATGCAGCTCCATTTGTGGAATCAGCTGGTGCTGGTGTTGGATAACAATCAGAAAGTCCTCAATGTGTACCTTATCTCTCCAGCTGGGGAACTCAATGTGGAGTCTGTTGCCTGGCAAAGAGATGCATTTCCAGCAAACGGGACTCTTACTCTTGGACAGTGGTATGCCCCTGCATCTATCCACACACCATTAGAAAGACCAACATTCTATGGATTGATTGATGAGCTCAGAGTGTGGACAAGACCAATGAACCCATCAGTGGTACGAGATTCTTGGAAGGCACATGTCAGTCCAATGACAGATGGTTTAAAGATGTGGTGGCCAGTGAGAAATGGGGAAATCCAAGAGAGCATAGAAAAACATCACACATTGGATTCTGTATCTTCTTGGTTTGATATTGAAACCATGCCATCTGATCTTCACCTGTCTAATGACAAAGGGCTCTTTGTCCATCCAACTTCAACTCGAGACCCAGTGTTAAGAGTAAGAGCCAGGGAAATCTGTAGCGAAATTTTCACTGGAACCAATTGGACCCAGCACTGCTCAGGCTTAGACAAATCCATGGTGATTTACTATCACCACAGGTGTGTGGATGACTTTCTTGCCCACGGTTATACTGAAGTACCTGATTCTGTTGCTGAAATATCAGATTACTGTCAACTAAATTTCAACCTTACCATAAGTCCGTTGGTGTCTCCATGCAGCCAATCCTCAGTTGATGCTGTTAATAATGAGGTGTGCACCACAAACTGTGTTTTTGGAAAATATATCAACAATACATGTGAGTGTAATCCAGGGTTCTGGGGTTCTGAGTGTAGTGAGGTATGTCCAGGAGGGTCACTACTCCCATGTTCAGGACATGGATCATGCTCCTCAATGTCTGGTGTCTGTAACTGCACTGCTCATTGGCAGGGAGAAGACTGTGCTGAGTGCTCCCCAGGATGGAATGGCTCTGACTGCTCCCTGGCAATACAAAACATGACCAAGGTACTGAAAACCACCACAGCCATGGCATTTGGAAATTACATCACTACGTTTAGTGGATTATCATTCACTATGACTACACTTGGCCCTTATGATATGCTGTATGTTGAAGATTCTGTTAAGGTCACCATCCAAGCAGTGTTTGCACCCTGTGTGAGTGATTTGTCCTGTAGAAAGATGACAGGTGTTGCAGTGAAGGCTGGTTCCACCATAACATCAGTGCAGATAGAAACACTAGATCATATATCAGTCAGTGTCAAGAAAGGGGAAACAGAATGGTCAGATATCAGCTTCTCTGGAATGGACAGCACTTCAGACCTAGTGGTGAAATGGGAAAAGGCAGGCCTGGTCAAAATTACAGTCACTGATGCAGACATTAATGTTTTTGTTGCTCTCACACATAATGAGTTATTCTTGGGAGTGATCATTTCTGATGTCCTATCAAAGGGAGGAAAGGGGCTCCTGGGGTTCTCTGATGTCAAATTGCAGCCACATCTGCTAAATCAGACCTACATTGACACCGTTGTCTCTGGCAGCACTGCTGTTGGCTCATCAGGCAGATATTTTAAAACTCCTATGGATAGCAGAGATAGTGCTGTGAACAATGGATATGCATTATCTGTTACCAAGGGGTCAGTGAAACACACAGGAGGGATACCAAGCATGTCACTTAAGGAGTTCACAGTTTCCTTCTGGGTAAAATTCTCACTGTCGGACACTCAAAACATGATCCAGCTGTTAAAACTACAGACCAATGCATCAGACTTGACTGTGACAGCCACAGGCAATGGTGTAACAGTGAAGTGGCAAGATTACACTTTGGGAACAACAATGAAGGTTATTGACTGGGTGCATGTCTCAGTGACATGGAGGGCCTCGGATGGAAGACTGGTGCTAGGTGTGTTTGATCAGCGAAACGTCTCATCGTCAGATGTGTATGCTGTTGCCATAAACAACATTATCACAATCACTGGGGTTGAATTGGGTGACACAGCAGCAGTGAGTCCTATTGTTTTAGACAACATTGAAATATGGCAGTATGCAAAAACTTTGACCCAGGTTGAAAGTAATTCACAGAAGTATAATACCATATACAGACCAGGTCTTCTTCTTTCTTTGCCACTGGATGAAGGATATGGAGAAACAACACAAGGTATAGTGTACCTCAGTGAACAGACCTCAGTCTTGGCAATGAAAATAACTGCAGAAAAGATCAAGTGGGCAGTATCAGCAGTGCCTTACAGAGATCGCAGTGTACCTGTGCCAAATACAGGGCCTACTGGAAATACGACTGAAATGTGTGATGCTCTCTACAGGCAGGGGGCGATACAAGAGCACTGCAGTGACCTCTCAGCATCATTAGAATTTTACCACCAAGCTTGCATCAACGTAGCAACAAAAAATGAAACTGCCGCCATGTTCTCATTCTACTGTCAAAACACTTTAGCCTTGGAAGCATGCCCTCTAAAAGATTACTTCGATGCATGTGAAGGCCCAGCGAAACAAGACGAAGCATTCCCTGTTGGGTTAGTTGTTGCAGCAGTGCTGGCAGGAGTATTGTTGGTGGTATGCATTATCGTCTTCATCGTTGTCAAGCATCATCGCAAGAAGCGGCTCACCCGTTCAACAACTTGGGAAGAACCAAACCTCAGAGAAGCTTCTGCATATGCACCATTTGACCAAAGCCAGGGCACATTTATGTCCAAAGGGTTTTCACCACGCAGCTCATGGTCACGATGGAGTTCCCGCCAAAGTGGCTATGAACGACACAGTGGCGTAGAAGGTGACAGTGCAGCGGCATCGCCTGATCTGACCAGAGTGCAAATTGTTGAGACAGATAACCCAGTTTTTGATCCAGAATTATTACCTGATGAAGGACCAGAGTCTCCCTCAAGGACAATTATTCAGATTCCTCTACGAAGACCAACTGATGACAAGAATACCCAATTCTGAGGAAAAAAACATTTACAAATACATGGTTATTAATGATTAAAAAAACACTTCATAGATTGAACTTTAATTTATTATTTACTAATGTCTGATATTTTAATTAAAGCTGCATATTATAATTGAATTGCACAAATTGTACACAGTCTTTTGAACAGAATTGGTCGAAATATTATCCAAGAAATACATACGAGTAATTTTTAATGATAATATAGAAATTTATATTTCATACATTATCTACACTTTTTTAAATCTGCGTCATGAGGAAGGCAACTCTCCACTCAATTTTTGTTAGCAGATGTTAGTTCTTTTATCTTATTTCGTGTAATGTACCTGTTTTCTGTTTTTTGCCCACAAAATGTTCTTATGCTTTATTGAATGTATTGCTTCATTTTATAAAAGTAAATAAATGTCACAACTCATACATAAAATTTGTTTTTGTGTGTATAAAAACATATTCCAAAAGCTAACTTATAATTGAAGTATGCTATACTGAGGTTTATTTCAATAGGAAAATGGGCACATTTAAGAAATATAACTGGCTAATTCTTCAGATTGACCCAAAATGTATATTTGATAATGCACGAGAATTTTTTAAAATTTTACTTATTTTAAAAAATACCACGATATACTCAAACCATTATCAATATGATGTATGGAGGAGGGAGAAAGGTTCAGTAGTGTTTGTGTTGTGGATTTTGTATGTTTTTATTTATTTTTTATAGTAATATTGATCTTAAAGAAAATGCAGCTGGATGTGCTCATATCACAACCAACACAATCGATGTCAAAGTCCTGTCATTCAAACAACAACGGAGCGAGTACATGGTATGCAATCTGCCTATATAATTGTCGACAAAACTAAGTGACATTAAAGATGCAAAATATATGGGGTCTATCATTTCTAATAAATTTGATACGTCTCGCCTTGTTGGCTAATATTGTGCATTTTACAAAAGAACAGATATCTCAGGTGATTGTTTTCTGGATTGTGTAATAAGATAACCGGCAATTCACACGAGTCGAAATTTATCACTGATTATGATGGATGGGTTATGGCATAGGTCACTAAATGCTACACTACATTTATGTTTTTTCGATGTTTAATATTCTTTTCTGTATTTATGCCGTATATATGTAATAGTGTCGGTTATACGTCGAGATAGTATAAATGCTTGGAATTTGTTTGATGGGCCTATATTTTAGCACGCGGTTCCAATGTGTAGGCCTATATCACCTGATAAATAACCTTCTGTAGCAATGTCATTGACTTTTACCATTTTACTTTTTTATTGTAGCAATAGTTAGAGGGAGTTGCAAATAGATTGAAGTCAATGTACGAGAAGAAAGCGATATTGGGAAATCCTACGCAGTGTTATTTAGAAATCAATCCATGGAGGAATTTTTTTTCACTTGTTATGTTTAGTTTGCACACAGAAGGTAAGTGTGGTACATTTGAAAACAACGGAAAACTGTTGAAAATATAGCAGTCTTGGGTTTTAGGCGAGAAATGCGTACGTTGCTACCAGAAAAACATTTTAATCACGTAGTAAGAACGGCAAGCCAATGATATAAAAAACGCAGAAAAGTTGATGCACAATCTTGAAACTCCTTTGAATAGATTTCAAGTCACCGAAGGAGCTACATATTGTTGAATTATTTCCATGATGAAAATGGTGTAAATTGTCTGATTCATACATGTACAAAGTAGCGACTTTCTCGGTCTGTAAGATAACAATTTCTTATTTATCGAAGAAGTATGTTTTATCCCTCTATTCTTTCTTTCTTTCCTTCCTTCATTCCACCCCTCTCTAACTCCCTATCTCTTCTGTCCTTCATCTTCTACCCCCGACCACCCTTAGAGGATAGTGTTGTCACTGCACAGATTACGAAGTCACGATAATACAGTCATTTCAGCTCAGATCACAATCATTGGGATAACAAATGACTGCTAATTGCAACATTAATCTTCTTTCTGATGAGGCGAGGTGACACGCTATAATGAGAAAATAATTCCTCAAGACAGCCAAATTTGGGGTCCGACCCTCTTTTCTCAGGCCCCCGTTACCTGAAATGTGAAAAGTGAAATTTAAGAACTTCCTCCCTATTGTTATGCTACCGATGGCAAATTAAGGGGATACGTTTAGTAAGTTGACAAGGGAGTGACAGTTATATCTCTTGGATTGTTTTGTAATTAAAAAGCCTGTCTTATCGTTATTATTTTTTCAGAATAGCTCAAGGGGTTATTTTTCATTTTTATTTTCTTGTGAACATACTTTCGTAAGCGGTGCTTTTAACCGCAATTTGTCATACAAGTCCACGTTGAATGACATTCCCATCGCTTCAACGTTCAATTTCCATTAGATTGCATGTCAAATAACATGACACATAAAACAGCTTCAGTAGTAAAGAAATGGATATCCGGCATCTATTTAGCATTTAGAACTTGCGCTTCAAAACAATCGCGTCAAACGCTAAGAACTTGTGTCAGTCTTTGCAAAGAAAAGATAAGTCAAGAACAGAGAGATGAGAAGTTAACTTATAATTAAATTTCCTTTCATCTGTTGGTTTTACGAAATGGCGTTCTTTCTAACCCGACTTAGGATCAAACGGCTTATTTGCTCTCATTAGTATTAATGACATTTCTATTGCGGGTATTTTTCTGTAAGCCTCTCTCTAGAGAATGCCTCGTGATCCTCTGACTTTAGACCGTAAACTCGGGTTTGACATTCTCTAGCTATTAATTAATATCTGCATTAATGAGCTCTGACAATAATCGATACTGTGATTTGTTTGACTTTCGCCATTTACATTGAAATTAATATTGCTTTTTTCAGGATACCGTAAATAATTCAATTGTTTATCTGAAGGAGACAAATTTCAATTGATTATTTTGGATCCTTTTAAATGGTTGAGCTGTGTTTAATCATAGGGATCACGTATGAAAAAATAACTGACAATCAGAGAATCGAAAAAAAAAACTTGTCGTTTCAATAATGCGATATCAAAATCTGGGTTCCACTTGTATAGCAACGGTTATATCCCGACATCACGGGTGCAAGAGTGCAACCTGGTAGTTGGAGCGCCACTTGCTTACTAAATGCACCATGCACCTTAATCATCTAGAAAGAAACACAATTTAAGTAATTTCGGATTGCCGAAAAAAAGCTAGTCGAAGGTAGGACAATAGATAAATGGAATGAAGGCGCCAGGATTTCTGGCTGCTTAGTGCGGAAGACTGCCTTCGCGTGATACCTGCTCTTTTCGCTGGCGTTACATCCATGCGAGAGAGGAAGCTAAGGAGTATAATTGAATTTTACCTATTGTCGACCACTTAAATTGTTTGATAAACAAACCCGATCGAATATCGCCTGCCCATTGTCCGTACGGTGGCGGTGTATGGAGAAAGACACGGGCGCCCGCGGCGGGGAAACCTGATCTACAAAAAACCCATGTCATTTCTGATCAATGAGTGCTAGTGGCGAGAACATAGCGTTGCCGAATTGATTTGTTTTCTAATGACATCTGCCTGCATGAAATGACTTACTGTCTCCTCTAAATGCTGCCTCTTGCGTGCTAAAATGATTGATGGGCACAGAGAGCGTAAACTCGGGTAATTCACACCGCTACCTTGTTGACGAGAAAGAAGAAGATCAGTTAGTTTTTGGCCGGCAGTTTTAGAACGGACTCGCCCAAGTTCTAACTGCCCCCACTATACACAGCGAAATAGACAATGCCGTTAAGTTTTTGCATATTGTCTATTATATTCAGATGAACGAATAGTTCCCTATATGCTGTCAGCATTGTATTCGTGATCATAAAAAAAGAAGGGCTTTTCCATGCCGGCATCCGCTTACCCCAAATACGTTCGATGTTGAATTAGCCAACTAACGATTGATCCGACTAATAATTTGGGGGTCTGTTAGAAAATTCTTTCGTAATTTTGGACCTAACGATATATATACTGATTTGTAAGAAAAGCCATTTACATGTGTAATTTTCTTTGACATGCAGTTAATTAACTACTGCATATCATGCATAGGTGAACATCCGTCAGCTAAACACTCGTCATCCGCAGCCGGTGGCAAAGCCGCTACCGAATCAATATTTGTGTATTGGAAACGTATTCCTCCAACTTGAAGAACTTAAAGGGCACAAAGGACAATGATTGGCGAGTGATGTTTTCATCTGCTTTGAAATTACATAAATGAAAATTTTGTCTGCGGGTTTTAAAATAACAATCGAGGCATCTGTAAATATGAATATATATTTATTTAAAAATGTGACTACATAATTCTTTACCTAAAGATGTTATGGCACATTTTGTTATAAGCGTAGTATTCCGCGTAATCGGGCGTATTTTAAAAATTCCCTTTAAATAGACAAATGTTCTCCTTCCGCTTGCATAACTATAAGCCTTCAGTTATGTTTCAATAGCCGACTACACTCTGTGTGAATTTTAAATTTGATACATTCCTGAACTGCGTAGGGGTGTTACACAGTTAAATAAAACCTTCGGGCTGTAAGACGGTGATAGACGCACAAATTTAAACAACAATTTTCTATAATTTGGAGTCATGTTATACCCTATGATTTTCCACCAACAGATACACATACCCAATTATCCTTTGAAAAGCAAGTGACTTAAAGTGATGGTAATCTGCCAATTTTAGTGTCTCTATTTTAAAGTGACATTCTAGGCACTGTGGAGCTGCTTGGTACTAAACACTTTTAAGGGTTAATGCTCAATTATGTTGCTTTTCATTATATAATTTTTTTTCGGGGCGATTTTCTTAATGTTTTCAATTCCATATTGTCACATCTGTAATTTATCCCCTCATCTATCTTCCTTCTTCTTTCACGCGGAGGATCATATACTTCTTTTTCGTCATTTAAACTTAAAATTCTTCCAGTCAATTAGGCCGCTAGAGTTCATACATGGAATATTATCTGATCTATACGGAAAGACTGGCACTGTAAAACAGACATTGGTGTAAGATTCGAGATATTGTAAAAACAGTTTTAAAAAGTTTTGCTGAGAGTTCCTATGTTTTTCCATTTTTTTCGTTTTAGAAACTAGTACTTTTTTTAGAGTCTCCACAGTTGTTTAAATCAAGTTTTTACAGTTTTTTTTCCATCATATGCCTTTTAAGGCTAGACAGGGTATAATCTTTTAAAATATATTCATAAAAGAGCTTACAAAACGACGCCCAAGCGCAATTCTGTCTCTTTTTTCCTTTGAAATTAAATTGGCTAAAAAAATCGACTCCTTTACGTTAGGTAGATTATAACGATAAAGGAGATGATCACCTTTATGTGAAGGGGGTATCAGTTCACATGTATTGTTTACGAACTATCTCCCCTAGCAGGCAATTCATTCGAATTCAATTTACAATCCTACTATTTATTTTGAGGGGTTTCGTGACTGTCAAGTTTTGGCGGGGCTGGGATCAGGTTGGCTGCACAGTCACTGTCGTAGATAAGAAAATTGAAAAGACAGTCAGCCACAGGCACTGTAGTTTGTTGGAGTGGAATGTAGGAATAAAAGGCAATGTCAAAGAGCGAGAAATATAATACGAAAATTCGACATACACACGCGCATTTGATTACTGTAATGTAATTTTCTTTATTTTTTTCAGTTCAAACTCACTGCGTAGTCGGTTGGGGCTTCTACGATAAACGACCGGCTATTACAATCCAAGAGAGATGAGGCTGTCAGTAACACAATAAGTGATATGTTTTATCGCTCAGTGATAAGAAAATAACGGCCTAAGTGAGATAGTTTCAGATCTATGGGGAATTCTTTTAAATATAATATAACATCCACTGCTGATTTCTTCCTGAGGTACACAAAGTATCTTTTCTATGTCCAAAAATACGAATATGCGACTTCATTTTGCCTTGTCCTTGGCAATTTTCCTTGTCTTTGCTCAAAGTGCACTAGTCTACTAGTTTCTTTGGGGCTACGTTGCATACAGCATCTCAATAGTCTATCGTTTGCGCAATCTTTTCAACACTTGAATTAAGATTAGGACACTTCTCTTTTTTGCCGATCGAATCGCTCAGTTTAAGATAAAATTTTCATGCACCAAAAAACACATCACCCAACGCTGATCTGAGTGGGAAAGAATACTACCTTTTACACAGTGGGTCTTGAACAGTTAAGTCGGCAGCCCCATTATATCATTCTAAGCGACCCGCATTCGGCTTATACAAGTGCGTCCATAACTAACTGTGTAAATTGTCATCCTGGATCCTCTCTGACATGGTGTCTGTCTCCCAAGGATGCAAGTATACTGTATGATTTCTTAGTCTTCCCATTGTATTAAGATATAGTAATCCAGTGCCCGCATTACTATTATTTACCGTACCATTCGGTGGTCTTCCCGCTGCCCATTAATAAATGCCATGTTACTTTGTCCTAAGCATTTTTCAATCTATTGGTAGGCCTATCACTGTTGGACTTTTTGATTTTTGCTCAACAGTTACCAAAAATATAGAAACGCCCTTAAGTGGTAACGCTGTCTTGAGATTCGTGGGCATTAAGTTTCTTTTTGGGTAGTGCCACTAGAGGAATATTGTACTAGGAAAAAATGTCGTAATATGAATTTAATGCTGATAAAATGTGATAAGTAAAAGAGATCCACTTTATCTGAAAATGTGGAAGAATAAGACGTGCGTGTTTGGTTCCATGACATCCTTAATATACATGTACGTACACCGTCAAATACTATCTCGAAATGTCGAATCGAATGAAATTCCAAGATTTTTCCACTTCTTATTTACTTCCTATAGCCAATTAGGTTTATCCGAGGCGTAGTTACTGCTAGTTGAAAACTATTATACTTTTAAATGTAACCATTTCCCTAGTTCAAGCAATAGCACTTCCTACAGATTTTATGACACAGATTTTATTTATTTATTTATTTATTTATTTGTTTGTTTATTTATTTATTTGGGCAGAGATCCTTTCTTTGAGAATAAGTCAAAACTTAAATCATCACAGGACGTAAAAGAATGTTTAAGGCAATGCAATAAGTGAAATGTAATGGCACCTCTTATATTACTGTTGGCAAAATAAGGTAATCCTAATGTATATTAAAATGTATTTAACTGTGAACCTTTTCTAAATGAATGGACATTTAGCACATCTGCCCCTGAAAATTTTACTTAATCCTTCCGTGTACCATCTTTTCAGAAAAACCAATCTGTTCTCATATTTACCTCGCATAACATCAAATAATACTTATAGTATTACTTAAGTGTCTGCAAATCAATAGCAAGACTTGGGATGCTGTTAAGAGTTTTAAAAATGTTGATGAGAAGTTTTTTCAAATCAATATAAGAAAATAAATAAATAAATATATATATAAATTAATAAATTAAATTAAAGATAAAATAGTGATAGATAAAAATCAAAATAAAATAAGATTGCTGTTTGTTGCCGTTCTGAAATACATTTCCTTTTTAGTTTCTGACTTGCACTGACGAAACAGTAGTTTCTGAATTGAAATAAAGGAATACTACATTGAAAGTAATATATTTCAAAAACAGTTGATGACTTGTTCGCGAATATGAAATTGTTTTGGGAGTTTAAATAAAAAATCCCCAATTTTTGCAAATTTACCCAATATTGTACATAGGTTATCGCGGTCTCCGTATTACGTCAGTAGCCCGTCTCAGTAGTCATTATTGGTCACAAACCGATTTGGAGAAAACCCAATCAAATGGAAAAAACTATTGAAATCGCATTACTTGTTTAGATTAGAAAATGAAGAAAACAGTGTCATGCAAAGTTCTCGTCTCTATCAATTACGTGCGCGGCATTAAATATATTTCCGAGATACACTGTTTTTCGCAGCTTCTATGGGGACATTTTCACGTTAGGAAATAGCCAATTTACGTGTCAGACACAACTTCATTTATGTCTTTATTTTCTTAGAGCAACAAATTCCAATACGTTTGGTGTATTACAAATTGGTACAATTTCCCTTTTTCATTACGCTCTCACTCGTAACAGATACATTCATTATGTTGCGAAGAAACAGGGAGTAAAATAAATTTCCAGATATTTAGTATTCTTTCTCATTCCACAAAGCACTGTAGTAGTATATCGATATTTTTCAGTGAGGAAAAATTGTCTCGATATCCTCTACAATACAGCCGCGGGCAAATTAATCAGATTGGAGCTAATTAAAACATCAAGCTATTAAAAAGACATTACATGCTGCACAGATTCGACTAAATGAAAAGTGGCATATGGGCTCATTTATGTCTATATTCCAATTACAAGCCCTAAAGCCTTGTATAATTATATTCATAGAAATTGATAAAACATATCAATTTCTGGATTAGGCCTGCTCATCTCTTAGTCCTCGGAGCAATGCAGGCTACGTGTTCGATCTCTTCACTTTACGCTTTACTGCGCGGAAATATACGCAACGAGGCAAGATGTCAAAATTTTAATTTTCCAAAGGTTAATTCTATTACCTTAAAACAAAAAGTCATTTATAAGCAAGAGAAAGATCAATTAAAACTCCTGGGAGAAGCTTAGCTCAGCTGGCAAAAAGTTAGAAATAATTACCGGCTAATAAGCCAACGCGCTGCGTATCAGTTTGGTTTTAATACTATTCATCTCAGAAGACTCATTTTATTGAAATAACTCGCTGAGCCTAGATTTTTAATTACAGATAGACGTCCTGACATCTCTATTATACACGACTTTGTTTCCCATCCCGTATCAGAAAACGGAAGATATTGATATGTATGAGTGATGCGAATTTGATTGAACTGCGAAAGTGCTGCTCATCTCTGGAGCGGAGAGGTTTGGAACGGTTCAGGCGCAATTCATATATCAACTCAAAATTCGATTTTCGTCGCACTTGTTGTAGATTTTATATTTCCGTAAGGAATTGGTGGATGAAATACGCTAGAAAAAGACTACGATTCTTTGAGTTTATACACACAAAAGGAAAAATATATAAGACATTCTATGGATACTGTGAAGATTGAATAGAGCTATTGAGTTACAGTTGAGACAAAAATTGTTTAGATTTTCTAAAATGGCCACAGCTTTTGGTCTTTTTCTTCGTCTCCGACTTTTCCTCTTCATTCGGGTAGTAATTCATTGACCATGTAAGATACACTTTTCAAACCCTAAATGTCTATAAAGATGTTCCAAGAAGATTTTCATAAACAATGAATACATCCACAGTCTGTTGTTGGGATTATATTACAAATACTATCAAATATCGTATTCAAGAAACAATAACTGCAATAACCATTGATTTAATTTCGAGGTGTTTATTAAATTGAATTAATTGCATTATAAACGTGGCACGTGTAATCTCCCAACTGACTTGTGCTATGTCACAATAAATTATCCATTAAGCTTTTCTTTTGGCTAATAACTATCTGATACGCTTCTCGCATCTATTACTTTTTTTCAAGTTATTTGATTTTATCTCAGTGTAATGGTTTTCTGATTGGACTCTCGACAAACTAAGTTACTCGAATCACTACAGCTTATGGCGGTCTGTGTATCGGGGTTTCAGCTATTCATTATCCCATTTTACGCTACGCAGATGACGACTAGGACAAGAAAGCCAAGTGAACTACTGCAGCAGAGTGGAGTGCTATTTGGTGTGACTGGCAAAATCAAAACGCCCGTGAGACGAGTAACTCAATAAAGAACGCTATATGTACTTAAAAGAACGCCTTGTCCACAAAATGAGACGGCACTAAATGGGATTCTAACTAGAGAACTAACTCAATAAAATGCCGTTCGTGTTTTGGCCCCTTAAGAATGCTACGCCGAGTACACTTCGATTAAAAGCATGACAGAGTTACAGCGTGAATTTAAGTACATAACATTTTCGATAAGAAACGCTGTTTTCATCTTTGCAATTTTTGGGCTGATGATGGAATAACGCCTTGTCCATAAAACCAAGATAATAAATTGTTGTATTTCTTTGTGTAAATTGTAATTTTGTCTAAACTGTGGGACACTTCATCATCAGTGGACTTAAACAGACATGGGATATTAAGTTATTAAAAAATATTTCTAGAGTCCTTTCATTTACATGATTGAAACGTTCGTGACGGCTATTCATCTACAAGATATCTCGAATATTGGCAGTTGTACTTCTTACACTGTTTATGTTTACAAATGGACTTGTTAGTAAAATTCCTGTATTCTGACAGTTTACAGTCGTTACTAAAGACCTTTTTTCTCAGAATCTAAGTATCTACAATATTTCATATTTCAAATAAACAACATACGGAGCAAAACCATCTCGGCGCATGTTTTTTAATGAAACATATCAAAACTGATAACATATCAGCAGCACGAACGAAACATCATTACATTTCAAGGAATTTTGGCATACACATCAAGTTTGCACAACGTTAAAATAGTCCTTCAAACCTTAGTTATATTTACTTTTATTGGTTTTGTTTCTGTGGCATTTCTGAATCCGGCTCAGAAACAACAGAGTAATCTAGAACAGCAAACTCATTATTTTCAGGCTCAGTTCCGTTGTGCGTTTCAGGCTCGACCCGCACGTTCTGTGGAGAGCGGGCCTCCGAAAGTCGTTCTGATTCCTCGTTCTCTGGTATTTGCTCCACCATAAACCCAACCGGCTGGTTTATAGGGTACAGAGGCACCATCCCTAATGAAAAGGGATTCATTGATTTGCTAGCCTGTACCCTCGGGTATTTTGAATTTGGCCTTCTCCCCCGCGGGACTTTCGGGGCTTCTAAAAGACAGTCAATACTAAACGCACTTCTGAATGTTAAAACGCGGTTACTATTTTCGTCATGTGAGGAGGGCTCCTCCGAAGCTCGTGAGGCGTCACCGTCACTGTTGTCACCAACGACGTCAATAGCATCTTCCGAGTCGTCTATTCGGCTGTCAACGTCCTGCGACTGTGACAACAACACGTCTGAGTCCCTACTAAGGCCACATTTCGAGGAGCCCAATACTCGCTTTTTTTCTTCAATCCTTTTCTTCCTTTCTTCTTGCTTTCTTCGTTTCTTTTCCAGACGCTCTTGCTCCCTGCGTTGAACTTCCTCGGGATCTATAGGCTCGCCGCTGCACGTTTGTGGATGGGCGTTGTGGGCAGGGCGACCAGGACCTTTCTTGGTGTGTTCTCTTTTTCGCCACTTCGCACGGCGATTTTGGAACCATACCTAGAGAAGAAACATTGAGGATGACTTCTTATATCGTTGCACTTCAACAGAAGGTGAATCATTTGAATAGGCGCGGTTTATTGCAACTTTTATTACACCGTCAATTCATCCTATGGTGACCTAATTAAGACTTGCATAATACATGCAGAGTACAAAAATCGAATTCAATATTTCTCTCTCTCTCTTTCTTTCTCTCTCTCTCTCTCTCTCTCTCTCTCTCTCTCTCTCTCTCAGCTGATCAAAATCCATTTTATTCCCATTATATTCACTTCCATAGGGTTCCAGTTTTGCCCATGGCTAATGACATTTCTACCAAATAGTCACATTGAACCGCCGTTTTTTCTAACAAAAAGGGAAGTCAAAAACACGTAAATAATTCACATATTTCCCCGCTTATAGGGACCCCTTGCCAATGATACAAGACATATCTTTGATAGGTATTCCTTCAAAATTGATTACGGGTTCTAGCTGTATTTACAAAAGCAGGCCCTCTCGGTAATACATTAATGCCCTATTATATTCCGCGAAATGGAACATTGATCCGACTTTGGGTGAACGATCCTCTGACTTTATACCTTTTTGAAAGGCATGAAATTTTAACATCTTTGTCGGCATTAAGTAAACACATTAATTGTTTTTCGGCAATTAAGTTGGAACTTAAGTCGCAAAAAATCAATTAGCCATTGTGTGAAGTCCACCGCTTTTAAGAACAAACGGCGCGAATGTAAACTTTGAAGCACACAATGCCGGCAACGGCCTACGCGTGATTTTTCCTCATCCCCTTTCAGCTGTTATGTAAAGCACATGCTCGACTGAAAGGGACCGGTCGCAGTGTTAGTTATTTTCGACTTGTCATTACAGTTAATTCCGAAACCTGAGCCAATTGCGCTGCAAACTCATCGTAACCTCGACGATGTCTAAATCTTGCCATTTGTGTTTTAAATCAAATTTCCCTATCATTCTATTTTAGTGTGCCTGTGATAACCCAATAAATAACCATATCCACTGCAGTTTCAATCAAAAATAAGAATGCCAAAGAGGCAACTTAATGTGTTGTCCAGAGACATTTTCTGTTTATTTGCTTTCACAAATTCATGACAATATTTGGCCTCTGCGCCTTTCAATTTGGAAACGCCGAGGCAGAAATAATAATTTAGGCTATCCACGTTCTATTAGCCTTGCTCTTTAGGCTTTAAAAATTCATTACGAATCACTTGGGGCATCAACAAGTCCCTTGTCTCATATTTTGGCTGAGAAAGCCTATTAACGTTCAATTCATCAAGTGGGGATAATTGGTTTGTCGAAGTGCGAAGTAGGAGGAAGTTTCTGCTTAACTCCACGTTTCATTTTCACCACAAGTCACCTGGGGCCCTAGGTTCATCGCATTAGAGCACGAAAGTCAATTCGGGTGCTAACATCATACAAATAAAAGCGAAAATTTACGTCGATTCCTGACCTATGTATTCTCGGACACCTCTTAGCCAAAGCCGGCATTCGGTAGCACGCCGCGTTGGGGCTTTCAAGGTACTGTAAACAGTCAACCGCCTCTGATTGTAAGCTTCCTCTGACATTCAAGACATTCACCCCCCGAATCCCAAATAGTTTTTGTCTATTGACACGACCATATTCAATCATACCCGAATGTCCCAAGCTAATAAAATCCGAGATCCTTTACACCACAATAACAGCTCCATTTCACGTGTAATATTTAATTAATTTAACCGATCATTGTTCAAAGTTTACATTAACTATTAATGGAGGAGATCTAGCACCTTAAATGCATTGCTAATAATGGGCCTATGAACAGCCCCATTAAGTCGAGGGTTCGTTTCACACCTACTTTATTGACGAAGTAAACTGGAGTCAATCATTCTCGAGCTCAAGTTAAGCCTAGACGCTGATCAAATCAAGAAAAGGAGAAGAAAAAACTCGGAATATCCTTGTCAAAAGCATCTTGACTTCGCCCAAAATATAAACAGTCATCTTGTTTTTAAAGACAGGAACATGCAGGCCACGCGCACCACTTGCAATGTGCTGCAAAAACTAAAACTTTTGGTTTGTTGAATCATGTTTCAAAACATTTCAAAATAAATATAATTTACATAAATTGGTTGAAAAAAGATTACAGAAACAAAGGAAATATATAATAATATTAACGAAATCTGTGCCACTGCAGTGGTGATCTTCTCATGACGCATCGTTTGCATATTTGACTTCTCAATCTGATCTCCCCGTTTGATGAAGCAGACTTATCATTGCAGGTCATATTCACAATCATAGACAAACGTCCATTTAACGATATCAAACAAGTCAAAACCGACGCAGACACAATGCGGTTTCAATGCCAGCTATCTAGCTCAGGAAATGAGGGGGAAAGCCCGCGCAAACCTTACAATTAAGCACCAGAAAGCCCGTCTGAATAGCAACCCAAGGTTTCCTTTATGAAATATCAATGCATGTTTTGACTGACTGAAAAGACAAATTAGCCACCGAATGTGATATGATAATAAAATAATTAGCATCCAGTTTTCGTTTCATTTAGCAATTACGTGAAGGAAATGAAGTATCATTGATACAAGGAGTATAATGCAATCCTTCGTATGACAATTTGCCGCTAATGCACTGCTTTGTTGCGTGTTCTTTAAAAGTTAATTTGATGATTTTCAATTAGTAAAGGCAGCGAGGATCAATATCTCACGCACTCGCAAAAATATTGATATGAAAAATAAATACTTCGCTCCAGTTAGCTATCATTTCTGTTTGATTGAAAGGGTCCCGCCTGGGGAAGTGGGGAAAACACGGCCATAATGAAAAGACGGAGTTATTTTGAAACGGCCAAGAAAGTCAGATTTGTGAACCTTTCTGTGTTTCCTAGTAAAATATTCCATTTCGTCTTCTGTTCCCAAAACTTCTAGGAAATTGATTTAATGTATCCCAAGGACTATGAGAATATGCGTTCCTAAACATGAAATATGTCATCTTATTAACTGTAACCGACATCCACATGGCATGTCTTTTTACGTTAACTTCTGACTTTTTTAAAGTCGAAGTTAAACGCAAAAGAAATTATTTAAACGCTTCAGTGTTTCATTATTTTTATCTTAAAGGACTTTTGACGTTGTTTTCCTCACATTCATATTTCTTTGAATAAAAAAACATAGTTATTATTAGCCTAACTGTTTATTTGCTATAAGGCACAAAAAAGCCCAAAGAAAATTATTCTGATATTTTTCTATTCCACTTTCACCATGCCTTCAAATACGACCAATTTGATATTAAAATTCAGATTTTTATTACAAAAAGTCGACCTGTCCTTATTACTCCACCGTATGTAAAATAAACAATCTTTTAAACAAACTACATGTACTTCATTTCATTTGTAAATGTTCAAGGGAAGTCTAGTTGATTGGTTAATCCCTCTCGGGTGTTTTTACCTGATCCCTCTCGGGTATTTTTAACAAGTGCTTTTATTTTACAAAAACATCGGTTAAAAAGTAAAAAAAATTTTCTAGGAGTAGATGAATGGTATGGAACTTCACTCATATTCAGTCTACTATCCAGTTAATAGTACATGCACCTACACTCATTTAAAGCAAATACCTTGAGTTGTTTAATTTTGAAGAAAACGGCGGGTCTATAGATTTTAACATACCAAGACTATTTAGGTCTATCAAATGGGCAGCGACTCCAGGAGATCACCAATTAAATTTTATTGGACACTAGGGTCCTAGTTACAGATTAACCTTTTTATGGAATAGAAAGTAACCCATGAGCACCAGTGCCTATTTTATTTGTGATGAAATGGCTTCTTATAGACATCTGATGTAAAACTCTTAAGGCCAACTTTGTGCTAGAGGACGGCTTGTAGAGTTTAAATAGCGTTTCAGTCTACAGAGTACGGTCGTTTTTCCACTAAATATCCGAATAAACCTACACCAATTCCTTTTCTTTAACAGCAATGTAAACGTAGCTGGGTACCAAATTCCGCCTAAGTCTGGTCTTAGGCAAACAGTATTCAATGCAAGGCATAAACATGGTCTTATTCAAATATATATTCCATATATTGAAAAAAAAGTACCTGTACTCTAGATTCTACAAGGTCCAGCCTTAGAGCGAGGGCTTCTCTCATGAAGACGTCAGGGTAGTGACTGTCCTGAAAGGCGCGTTCCAGCTCTTCTAGCTGCCAACCGGTGAAGTTGGTCCTCGTGCGTCGACGCTTTGGGTGACAGTCATCTTTTTCGCCGTCCTTGAGATCTGCAAAAACATTAGTCCTTGTTGAATTTGGATTTCATTTTTTTGGGGGGATAACGTTTGCTTAAAAGGATTCATAATGTGATGATTTTGTCTTTTGTGTTTTTTTTTATCAAAGTACGTTTTCACTCTCATTCATTTGCGATATTTAATGGCGAATATATTGGTTTTCTTCGCGTTTTAATTTTCTTAATAATGTGATCTAAAACTTTTTATCACATTATGAATGATAAATTTTTAGATTTTCAGATAGAACTAAGAACTTAATATTCAATTAAGAAATTTAGTTCAATTAATGGATGATATTATGAGCAAATCAAATTATTACAACATTATGAAATCGAAAATTTAACATAATCTGCAATAAGTCCATGATACAATTTACACTGAAATAAAGCACCAAGAAGACGGAGTATTGTATTTATCAAAATAACCATAATTTTGACACGTGGTTTAAATTAGTAAGCAGCAGTAAAACTAACCCACGCTTATACTATCATCCCTTTAATGTACAGGCCAAAGGGATCCGCACCAATTACATGAGCTTACAAATGCTATTTAGAAAGTTGGACAATAATTTTATGGACACATCAAAGAAAACCGACAGACGATGATGATGATGATTTCTTGTCGTAAATCAAAAAGTACTCAAACGGTTATATAAAATTTTATGCGAGTTTCGTACACATGTAAGAAACCTCTACCCAAAGAATGAGAATTCCGCTTGAAGACATCCTGTCTTTAAAAAAGAAAAGAAAAACAATTTTGTGGAGAACACAGTTACCACGAGAGTTCCTTGTAATAATAACTTAAGTCCTGGGGGTCTGGCAAAACAAAAATTAACCATTATACACATTTGGTCTGTTGTTTAGCATTGCATCAATGTTAAACACGCAAAAATATTTGTTTAATATTTGGGCTATTTGACGTCCTCTTCGGTGAGGAAATTTACCTAGAAGTAACACAAATATGCTTTAACTCAGCAATTAGATTAACCCTACTTTCTCTTGTCACTTGTCAATTACAATAACAACTACTGGAATTGGGAGGAAAAAAAAGTAAAAAAAAAACGTCTTACCTGACCCGGGATCTGGCGAATGATGAGACGATATGCGAGACCCTGGTGTAAGGGAGGTAGGCGATCCCTGGCCTCTGGGTAGTAGACTTTCCATGCTGAAGGAAGAGTGCCCCAGGTTTCCACCGGGAAATTCATACCCGTACGGCCCGCACGCCGGTAGGGGCGTCGGATAGGAATGCTGCGAAAACGGAGTAAAACCTATACCCCTCCCCAAATGAGCGGCGGGAGAGTTGCCAAACACTCTGTTTTCCATCTTTCCCGTGACTGATGACACTGCGGCGGCGTTGGGAAAATACGACAGCATCGTGATGCCTCCTTGGCTCGCGCGCTCAGTGAGTGTTAAAGGGAGTATTGACACTGTCTCTCACAGTACACTGTGATTTCATCCCGCAGTGCAGTTCGGGTTTGTAGGGCTCAGCCAATCAGAGCCCAGCTTTCTCATCTTCGAGCAACTTGGAAAGCATCATCCGTAAACGGTACGCGGCTCACGCCTCTCTGGACTATTATTTGCTTATCTATTGATTGCTGGAAACGATGTTCATTTCCCGAAATGAATATTTGAGTCTAATGACTAACTCCATAATGAAGTGACTGAGTGACAGTGATAGTGTATTGGAGGCAAGCAGATGCCTATACGCTCCAGGGTAACTTTTTACAAACCTATCCTATATTAATTCGTTTGACATTACTAACAGTTAAGGTTGAAAGATATCTTGTACCTAATACGCCTTAAACCATCATCATCTTCAACTTTTATGGAGGTCGTAAAATTTTGGAAAAATAATTTTAAAACATAAAAGTCAACATAGAAAATACTTTCACACGTATTAATGGTTGAACGTGGGAGAGGAAAAAGTTTCTTTAACGAAAAATTCCTTTCGGCGACATATGAAATAGGACCCCGTAAAAATAGATAGCCTATGGACACATGGGGAACAATATCAGTGAGCATTTGCGTGCTAAGATAAATTTTCTTCAATAATAAAGGTATATCCGTTACATTCAACATACTTTGTATTGTCGCGTTTAAATAAATCCAAGGTTAGTATCATACCCGGGCGTCTGAGTGAATAGCCACCGATTTTACATATAGACATCCGGTGAGAACGTCTCATAAAAGTGTAACGTTCCCTCATTGTTTAATGAAAATTAATCACTAACCGGAACGATCCTGGTTCCCTAACATTAGGCCACTTTTCTGTACAGGTAAAATATAGAGTAGAAACACTGATCTGTATTATGTGCCTCTCTCACTATAGTAATTAGATGCGCAAAGTTCATCTCAGTATCTGTGACTTTGACAGGAGTCAATTACAGGATTCACTGCGAAAGAAAAGAGCTGGGACAATGCTAGACGAAATATTCCTCGGTCGTATTCATCGCAAATTGAATCTGAGATTCAAACACTTGATAGTTGAAATGGATAGGACATAAAACGTTTAAATAAAGTAAGCAAGTTAAACAACAATAGTAAGGTGAATCGTGAGGAGACTAGCATAGAGAGATTATATTTGGAGAGAAAAAAGTTCGCAACGGTTGAAATAATCTAAGTTTTAATTGGCGCCACCGGGTACTTTATTTTGTGAAGTTGATTTTTTCATTCACTAAAAGTAATGGAAATATCGTTTGGCAATTCTTATTTTTCTTCCTCTTTTTTATGTCACTAAATGTGCACTTCTTTATCTCTTCCGCCAGCATTCCAGTAAAAATTTCTTATTATGAGATAAAATCCCCGACCTATGTATTTGAATGTATTTGCGATCGACTTTTGTCATAAGACGCAGGCGGATTCCTTTGAAGAACTATTCCGAGTTATTAGTTCGTTAATGGATTTCTTTGCTAACTCCTTTGCCGATCAAATCCCTTAACTGTTACGTATGTATCTTAACTCACCCATGCAAATTTTAAGCCATCCCGGAATTGGTTAATTACTATTCTATGTATTGGGCACGTGCGCTTGAGTCCTCCTGGTGGAATATTTGTAAACAAATCTTACGTTTATAGCTGTGGTGAGGCTTAACAAACAAATCCAGTAGACTCTTATCTAGATGGTGTTTACACTCTTTTTTCTTTGATTTATTTTATTTTTCACTATTTTTATAAAACGAAAGGCATAATCTTGCATATATTGGTCAAGAGAAATACGAAAGCATTTTTTTCTTAAAGGATGCATCAAAGGTATTGCAATACACGCTACTCTTTTGCAACCAGAATAAAGCCATGTATACAATTTGATCAAATTGTAATGCTAATCGTAGCATTGATTGCTCTAATCACACTTCATTTGGCTTCATTATTGATCAGTTATTACATCTGTTTGACCGCTTTGTTTTTTTGCATTCTTTCTTTATGAAATTAATTCTTAATAGATAACGTCATTGCATTCCAAATTCAAAAATTTACTTTGCTATAAAATATAGGCCTAATTTTAACATCTTTCGATGGTATTTATTGCTCCATTATTTCCATTTTTGATCTTTATAGAAATGCTTGGCTATCCAATTTGCTCATTTACATTTCTTTTATTCTGATTCTTCTTTTTATTCCATATCAGTATTTCTGTTTTCCTCATCACGTTGCGATAAAGTTATCCGGCTTTTTTTCCGGGAAACAATTTGTATGCGTACATGTTATGTGCCAGTAAAATCCTCGAAGTGAAAACCTATAAACGGAAGCGTAGAATGTAAAATTACGTGAGTGCGGATTTGCACCTCATCATCGATTCCTTGTTAGTGTCACCGACACGCTATATCCTCATTTTGTTAGGTCTTTTGGTAGTTCCGACGTTTCGCCACCTTCACCTGTTTCGTTTCATTATTGGGCGGTACTGAAGCCTTCACCCTCATTTCCTTTCTTTTATTCATGACTGACGCCGCGCTTCTATTTGTCTCAACTTCACCTGTCAAATTTAGGCGAAACTAGTTAGTTTCAATTATTCAGTTAATAACGCATAATTCTGAATGGTTAACAATGGAATTGAATGCAGCGGGTAGAGAGCAATATACGGGTTGACAGAGAGACGGTACGTAAAATTACTGAGACCTTTTTTTATTCATGACCCCAACAGCAAAAATCCACATACATGTGTATATTCCAGCGTGTGCACTCCGTCCACCACTAAAACACCCAGCAATGTACTTCTAATATTTGAAAAGAAATTAACGTAAGATAATCATTTACATCTCTAATAAAAGTTCCGTGATGAGTAATGATGCTGCAGCGGTCGTATCTTGCTATCTCTCCCCCATCTCTCTCTCTCTCTCTCTCTCTCTCTCTCTCACACACACACACACACACACACACACACACACATGCACACACACGGACTAACGCTAACAAGGTAGCGTAAATATTAATGACCATTGCACCTGTCTGTCCACCGTTTAGTTTCCCCCCTAAGCCAGAGCGGTGACGTGACCTACTGTCCTTCCCTGCCCTTAAATTATCAAAACAATTGTTGCTTGTTTAATACAATTACAGTGAAACATATGATTTCGGAAGATCACAGGGCTGATACGGTCCTATGCTAGTTTCAACGATCTTAATGAAATCTAAATGAAACGGACACACAGATGAGGTGTTGGCCGGGGCGAGATACTATAATAGATTACACAATATTAAAAAGAGCACTGCCCTTGGGAACCGCCCATCAGCAGTTTTTGAAAGGACACCGTGGGCCCAAATGCAATGACTATCATTAATGATTTCGCCGTTCATCAGATGTCAATCCAAAACGACCTTTTCGTAAAACACAATATGCGAAGAGTCATAATGATAGTAGTTATCGTTCAAGCGAGATACACTGATGACAGAGCCAGAACCAAAAGCCATTTTATGATCATTTAGATCGTCCTACTAATTACAATCGAAATGAATAAAATTTTCAATTTTTCTAAAGGTGGCCCCAAGGAGACGGAGAAGATTTATTCCCAGTCCTTATTGCAGCTTGTTATTACAGAAAATTTTCTACAGATAGGCGTATAACTCTTGATAAGCATGATTTTCTAAGAAATCACTGGTATTATGATAAAACTTAATGTAGCATTTCCATCTTATTTGGAAAGTCTCTATAATCTTACAACATTGCATGGTTTTCATCAAGGCAGCCATTTTCCTAGAGTTACAGGTATCTTATGGTTAGCTTAAAATATTGGACAAAAATATTAAATTGAGAAACATAACAGAGCTGTGAAGGCCGATTTCTTTGACAATTCAGTTTGAATTTTTAAAAGAATAACAGTCAGGCATGCTATTAAATTCATAACTATTAACAATTCACGAAATGTTCCCTGAGAGAAATCCATTTAACGACAAATGCTCTTACTGTGGGCAAAAGTTTTGTAACATTTTATCTATTATTATTGTAATATATATTTTTAAAGCACAGGAACTTTAATCATTGCGACATTTTCCATTGATTATACATATTATCGATAACGCCGAATAGCTATGTAATAGAATATATTTTCCTCTTACAGTTTATGTAACATCGCTGCGCCCAGGTTTACAAAATACATTGATTAGAATTTGGAAATTTCGTGATTTACTGTATTATTGAGTTATGAAATATGAGTCATTACCCCGCTACCGTATTGACTAATATTATCATGTTCGTTTCGAAAAAAAAAGTAAATTCGCGATTTAAAAACGTGTCCCTGTAAATAACATCCCACTGTTAAAATGCCAAATGCAAGAGTAAACGCTTCATTATCAGATGAAATCGCACGTTTTTGATCGGATTTTCGGGTAAATGATTTTATTATATCTGCTGTCAGTAGATTTTGATGATATGGCCTTTGATGGCCGTTCTTCTGGGAGCCTGTTAAAAGGCAATTCAATTCTGAATACGCTGAAATAAATTCATATAAAAATACAATCTAGTAGGGTTATGAAGAATCCATTTATTTCAAAAATTTGATCGGGAATGTAAATAACAGAACTGTTGCAAAAATACCCTTGATCACTTGATGGTAAATTACATGTACATAATTTTACCAAATAAAATAAACCCGGACCTATAAACAAATTTCTACTTGAGTTTTTCTCTTTGAGTACAGTTTACCAAATTTAATATTTGATATATTATTAAATTTCACTCTGTAGACGAGCTTTTATCTATTTTATTTAAAAATGAATTGATATTATGTTGCTAATGTAATTCTAATATCTTTCAGACTTGTATCTGAATCACTACAGCACTATGGAGTAGCACAACAATCTGCAACGTCGGTGGGTCACTGAGTAGGATGACAACTACTCCCTTTGAATATAAATATGAAATGTGATGCTAAAATTAATCTCCTAGTCCTTTTCATTTGCACAATTTTGCAAATTATTCAAATTTTAGCAATTTTCCCTTTACAAGACCTGAAAAAAATTAACACTTTCAATGGCAAAGGTCTTTTGAACGGTTAACATTTCATTCGATAGCGCTTTTTTATCTACAGGTGTTTACGAATT